ATACAGAAAAACTTCATCTCCACGGACGGCGATCAACGAGCTCTCGTAAACAGGGCAGCCGCTGTTTGTCTCAGAATGGGCTGATTTTTCTTCTCATCACTATTTTCAAATACGAAAGTGAGTGACGACGTAAGGAGCAACGAGGACAGCCGTCAACAAGAAACAGCTGCTGCGAGGTGGTCGTGAAACTCCCAAAGGCAAGGCGTTGCTACGGCTCGCGCGCTTCTGAGCAGCCACTGAGCCTGGTTGATGACACTGTAGGTAGGTATGTTTCCGATCCTGGATGGTGGGCTTTTCCTCACTCTCCCGCTATCACTCGAAAATAAGACGCCATCCTCAGCAAGAATGGGGTCTAAGTAAGCGAGCAGTCTGGGGCAACAAGTGGGAGCAACTGGTGGCTTCAGTCACTTGCTCACCTCTCCCAATTCCTTTGCCGCTCTCGCGATATCCGATGCTCGAAGTCCGCGCCGTTCCTTCCGTGTCCGCGTATCCCTGATCTGATCTGTTCAGCGGTGCTTTAGTGCCCCCGCGACACTGGAAGCCAGGGCCGCGACCTCACGAAAATGGCCATGTGTACTTCGTACAAGGACTTTGTATGTACAATTCTAGAGTCCTTGCTTGTGGATTCAATGCGACGCTTGACCGGCCCAGCGAAAAATAGAGACGCGGATGGTGCCGTAGCGGCTCCGTAGCGGGGGTCAGGGCTTCCCCCCCTTCCCCCAGGAGGGGACCAAGATGGCGTTGATCTCGGGCCATGGGTGATAGTTAGCGTTGATTGTGGGAGCATGAAATGCCCGAGCAATCAACAGGAAGTAGTGCCAGCGCTGTGCGAAGTGGCACTGCCTTTTCGTCGAACATATGAGGTCGAGAGGCGGGAGAGCACGAACGGCGACCAAAAGGGCATCGAGAGAGCACGAAGGGCATCTCTGCGTCATCAGTGGCCAGCTCATCGACGGCTATCCCCTTCCCTCTGCTTTTCGTCGCATTGCATCTCCGCCCGACCTTGTCATCAAGCAAAATCAAAAGGGAAACCAGGGGTGTCGACATGACCAGGCCTGCCGAGAAGATGCCAGCGGAGAGCCCGCAGAGCGTCATGGCTCAACAGAGCCAACCAGCGATGGCTTGAAGCAGCTTTGTGATGCGCGTCGAATAGGGCACCAGAGACAAGGAGACAAGGAGACAAGGAGACCTGGGAGATGAGAAACACTGGCCGCAACTAAGCGATCTCGGTTGCTAGGCTTGGGCTCGGATAGATCTTCCAGGTGCCGGTCTAGGCTGTGGGCCTCGTCTGCTAGACACATCCCCGGCCATCCCTAGGCTACTGTATCCAGATCGTCCTCACTAGGCGACGCGCTGCGGACCCGATGCTCGTGGGGCGCGGGAAGCGCATCGGAACATTGAGCCTAGGGATGTTGGGACCAGCGTCGTGTGGGTAGCACTTGGGCCTTGTTGCTCACCTCATCATTTCAGGCTGTGTCTTCTCTTCGCCGTGTCTTCCTCTGCCTCTGCTCATGCCACTTCCTCTCCAACATACTCTGTTTGTGCTCGTTTCAATACCCAGGTTGCGCAGAGGGCCTTTAGCCGCCTGGGCTTCTGCAAAGACCGGGGTCAACACTCCTCTCGAATCGCGATGAGCCCAGGTAGTGAAGGGTTAGACGGCGGTGAAACGACGATGCACAGTCGAGTCTATTTTAGATGCGCCGTGTCTCAGAGTCTGCTCATGATACCTCACCGAGGCCGCTAGGAAATGCAGCGAGGTCCCATATCACCGGTAGGACGGAAGAGAAGACGCCTGTGAGCCTCGGAACTCGTATGCGGTAGCCCTGTCATGGGCATCAATCGGGAAACGCCTGCCTGAGGTGGGCAGCTGCGTTGCGCCTGTGGTACCGGTCACGAATGCGCCACGCCATCTCATCAGAAGTCTAACAAGGATGTCGATGGTAGGGAGTTAGAGAGCCCAGGGAAGCCTAGTGGGCATCGATGCGGACAACCACTTGGTTAAGATTGTGTGGCTTTTTTCTTTCCCCCTCTGTCCTTTCGTTTTGCGTCTTATAGCACGGAACGCGGCCTTTATGTCGGGTTGTCTCGCTGACCTCTTCCTAAGACCGCCGCGCTCGCAAATATTGCACCGAGAGTCTCGATTTCACGAGACTTGACGGAATCGCCCAGCGGCAGCTCACGAATGGCCCTGGTCCGGAGCAGGTAGCACAAAAGTTCCCACATTGCCCATATCATACATTCCCCATCAATGTCACGGAGGCGCAACAATCTAGGCAAAAGACAACCACCATCGGGGCCTCCCTTTCGCCACCTGTTGCGCAACCTGGTACGAGTAGGCGTGGAAAGAGGAGGTGACAGCGGCAGCGCGTGCGGTTGCGCATATCTCAACAGAGGCGTTGTGAGGTGGTGAAGTGGCAGATGCGATAGAGGTACATGTGCAACCGCTTCGTGAGTTTTTCTGCCCGCTCTGTGTACAGTCACAGCGGGATGCAGGCCCATCCACCTCAGATGGAATCTGTGAATGATGGCGCATGCAAGTATCCATTTTTGGCACTGGGAAACAGAGAAGACACAACGACCGCCATCTTGACTCTTCATGATCTCATATGAGCCTACGCCATAGGCTTGGATGCGTACCTACCCATCACACACATGCAGCTGCTAGCGCAGGACAGGCTGTCGACACACAAGGTTGCTTCCGCTGGTGGCCATTATGCGTGCCGCCAAAACGTCAGGCCGGCGTTAGAACGCATAAAAGAGAGACTGCGAGCGGGTACAAGGCCGCCGTCGCTGATCGTCCGAGACACCAAGGGAAATTGAGCTCCGGGTTTTATGAAAGAATGGAGCATTGCGGTTGGATCGGATGTAGGTCCGCTGTTTGTAGAGTAAGAAGCGAGATTGATCAAGAGACAAGACAGACAAGACAGCATGAAGTGGGCACTGAGTGATGCGTGTGGCTAGCTGGACCAGAACATGCCTTTTCCGGTGAAGTCGAGATCCAGAGACCCGGCAGATGGGATGTCGTACAAAATGCTTGCTCAACCAAGCGTGCAACTCGCCGCCTTGAAGCCTGATACCGAGCTGGACGGGGACGACAATTGAGCATCTTGTGGTGATACGCAATGTATAGAAGATGGTCTGTTTCTCTCCTGGTCCGTTGCAGAGTGGGATCTAGGCCAAAGAGAGCAGTTGCCATTGGCTTGATGCCAGTTCAGCAGTGCTCGTGATGAGAGCCCTAGCTCGATGCGACAGCCTGTCCATCGATGAGTCCCCCGATGAGGCCCCCCCAAGCCGTCACCAAGTCCATGGTGCCGTGTCTCGCTTGGGGTGCGGAAATGCCCCATGGATCGTCTGACATCACCTCGACATGGTGCAGCTAAAGCAAGGTACTCCAGTCGTATTCGAGTGGCAAAGGCGGCTCGGGAGATGATCTTGTTGGGATTAGGATGTGTCTGTGTTTGTCCATTCAGCGATGCTCACCTGCTGCTGACCCATGGGGACTCCTCTTGCTCGAACCTCGCCGACTCTCTCTGCTTCTTCTCCGGATTGTCTCCAGCTCAGCCACATGCTTGACGTCCATCGGAGTCCCCTGAGATGAGGCAGCAAGATGGCGCTCGGCCGCATTGCGTACAGCCCCCCGGCGCCCGAAGACCCGTGATGGCACCATATATGTAGATGATGGTCCCTGTAAGCAGCTGCAAGCAATGAGCGGTAACGCCATGGCTGGACGAGGCGCCGTTTGATGTGCTGGTGGGAGCTCAATGGACGACGAGGCGAGTCGCTACAATCCATGTCCAGCCACTGGAGCAAGACCCTGATTGCCTGACCTGCGCTGCACGAGACTCGCCCTTGCCTTAGCACTGTACCTTACTTGCTCACTGGGCACGAAGTACATCCAGACGCAACGCAAGCTGTACCTGTACATGTCGATACGTGTCGGAATAGCCGTTGATGAGGGGAACAACGGTTGAGGACCCCGATGCCGTGACGTTCAGCTCTCCATTGATCGGTAGAGGTACGTGAATCGAGGTATACCCTATCTGTAGCTGTCAAGTGCCCGCCCGTGCTCCTTCCAAGTTGCCGTACAATTTCCATGTGTCCTTCCCGTCATCTGCTTGGACAGCGTCATTCTTGCTGGTCCTGGACAAGGTTGTTCGTTCCTGCCTGCCACGAAGGACTGTCTGCCAGTCAACAGTGCTCGAGGAAGGCGCCAGGGGAGGGCCGCAGGGACATGTGGATCACGGCTCGCGCTACTGCGGCTAGTGGCTAGCGGCATCACTAGTACAGAGCTGCAGCAAATCCTTTGCTGCTGCCACGCCCACCGGCTGCGAGGGTGTGGGGTCGGGCGAGGGTGTGCTCGCCTGTGCCGGGAGGGGGCGTGCGTATAAGAGATGCACCCCTTGTGTTCCCCTGGGCTGCTGCCAGCTTGGATGTACTTCAAGTTGAGGCCCTGCAAGAGAGACAGCAAGGTACCCAGAATCATGGGATGCGTACTCGATACTCTGCATCACGCAGTAGCAGAGCCCGTTTCGGCCGTACCAATACCTCGGCCATACCTGGCGGCTTCAGCATCCCAGCCCCGGCACCCTTAGACGGCTAGCGGAGACGCTGCGCGGGAACCTCGTCTCTCTCCCGACCTTCTAGTGCTTGCACTCACCTCTGCATCGTATTTGATCCGATATAAGGCATCTGGGGGACGATTCTTAACCTCGACCGACCTCGACGCGCATCATATAAGAGGCATCGCATCTCCAAGGCCGCACTTGACGTCGGCTCGCATATTTTGCTTAGTCTGCGGCACGCATATTGCACGTATTATCCCATATATCAGCACCGACACTGTCCTGCTGCATCTTGCGTCTTTGCCCCGGCGGCATCGAGTCATCATCCCCATCTCATTCTGTCCCAGCTCACATCTTCCCGTCGTCTCATCTGATAGTCCTGCCCTGCTCTCTATATCTACTCTGGCATCCTCTCCACGAGAGGCCTCCCCGCTCAGCATGTCCTTTTCAACTACAATCTGGGATTATCCCTCTCCCTCCTCGACCACGCCCCCAGTCACCTCAGCGTGTACTTCCTCCACCTCAGTGGCATCACCCTCAGCTTCGCCGCCAGACACAACGTTCCAAGTTCAGTCTCAACCTCTATCTTCGGAATCGACACCAAAGGTCTCGACCCCTCCTGGGACGGTTGACCCGGCAGACATTACGACGACTCCTGCTCCGACAAGCAAGAAGAAGAAGAAGAAGGCGTTGATGCCGGTTAACCACGGCCCGCTTCGGGAAGAAGACGACTGGACCAAGGTCAAGGACCCCAAGGAGAAGAAGAGAATACAGAACCGGGTTGCACAAAGGACATACCGTATGGCTTCCTGTATCCAAGCATATTAACTCATATTTCGTTCAGACGACATCATGACTGTAAAGGAGCCCGTTGTTGCTGACCAGAGAGACCCCAAACAGGCCACCGCATGAAAGCACGCCTGGGCGAGCTGCAAGCCCGACTGGATAGCCACGAACGGAGTCAGACCCAGCAGACAACACCAGACAACGGTGACTCCCCTACCACCACTGAACTCGTTCGAGGCTTTACAGCCATCAATCAGATGTCTGGCATCGAATCTCCATCATCCCCCAACGCTCAGGATAAGGCCACCATGATTCAAGTGCCTACAATGCAGCAGCCTGCCATGTTTGAGCAGCCTAGCGATGGAACTGAGCTCATGTTCTCACAGATGCCTCGCAACACTCTTGGCAGCCCGCAGCACACACAGTCGTCTCCCGAAGCCCACGGTCTGCTGTCTCCACCAGGTCATACCCTTGGTGATCGGGGTTCCAAAGTTCCCCAGGACTTCGTACTCGACTGCTTGCGTTTCCAGACGCACTTGCTAAATCGCCTCAACAGTCTGCAGCAAGAAACCAGCTTCAACCCCTCCTACACACCCAGCAATGGGGTAGCACCACAAGGTGAGTCGCAATCAGCGATTGCATCAAGGAGTTGCAGTGTGGACTAACTCCGACTTAGGTCCAGACGGCGTGACCCAGGCTGAGCAAGTGTCCTGCGCTGACGCATTCTCTCCCACTCACGTGGAATCTATGGAGTTCTCATTTGATTCCAGCATGGATCCGTGGAAGAATGACAGCATGTCCAAAACACGGTCCACGCATACAGCTACCAGTTCCATTTCCTTCCCAGGACTTACTGCTGCTACAACCCCCAGCGCAGTTCTGGGCAGCCCCATCATGACGGACTCAAGCCAGAACCTGCGGCCTGCATCTCAGCCAAGCACTCAGCACACCTCTCTGGGCGACAGCATTGAGAGCATCCTGGAGAATGTCCAGGCAGCTGGTTTTGACAGCTTCGACGCCCTTGTCTCGGCCTACTACTGCGATACTTTTGCTGAGGCGTCTCCCCTAGCCAATGAGCAGCGTCTGAGTCGCAACAGGCGGCTTCCCAAGGTCATTGACGACGTGTTCCGAGCTACCAAGGGATGGAGCTCGTGGGAGCGCCGTGGCTTTCAGGAGGAGATTCTCAAAACCGCCGAGTCTATGCTCACATCAGAAGGCGCTGGCGCACGATCTTCCTTGATGGCCAAAATTACACCTCTGCTTGAGTCGCACGACCCATCCAATCCGGCGGCCACAACAGAAGCACTTGTCAACCTAAAGCGATCCATTCAAAACGAGGTAAGTAAACGTGCCGTGAGAACTTTCCAGTCTTGGACCAGACTGCTGACTTTCACAAAAGCTGCCCAACTCGTGGGCCCTGACAATGGCTCTCGCTGCTGATTCCCGGAACTCATGGCAGAGAGACCGTTCGAATACGGCACTGGCGACGACTCTTCTCGTCAACTTTGCAGGCCGGATACCCAACGATCAGCTGCTGCAGATTCTCGGTGCATGTCTCTGAATGAAGTCGCGCGGCTGACCTTGCTGGCTAAAGACACGCCCTGGTCTTTGCTCCCTGCAGGCTGTATTCCCTCCAGCTTTGCCGCTCGACTGCGCATAGAATTGGTACGTTGCCTTATAGGCGCCACAGCAGGCAGTGGTCCCCATAACATTCGCACTCTGGCTGACAGAAGTATCTAGCTATCGCACCTACAACTTTTCAAGAGTACTGATCTCTTTCGGGAATTTCGAGGTTACGTTCTAATCTCAGTTGGAGCGCTCGGTGCCGGCATTCGAGGCACATGGCGATGATGATGCACATTAGCTTTCGATGGCCGAATGGTTCTACATACTTTCTTGAGCTTCTCTTTCTTTTTCTTCTGATTTGTTATGCGTTCGAAAGTCATTTCTTATATCACCCTTTTCTCATAAAAATAAGGGAAGCAATTCTCTGGGGCTGATGCACATATACACGCGTACCGGATACAAGCTGCCTTGGGTGTGGCAGCTCATGATCGCATCAAAGGTTATCGGGGTCGTCAAAAGATTTGTTCGCGAATTGCCGCATTTGACAGACCAAGAGTTACATTCTGGCTGGGGAAATTTACAAGCTGGCTTTGTGTTGGAAACAATACGGTGAGAGGCAAAATGGGATACCTGGGGCGTTTGAGGGGGTTTTGGATATCAGCCAGCAGTTGCAACCCAGAAAAAGCTTGGAAATATACGCTCGTTGGTCAGCGTTCAGTTTCAATTATTTATTTGTGCCAATTCGTGCTTCGTGGGGATCGGATATGAGATTTTAGCGTCATCTTGTTTCGGAAGACATTTCATCAAGAGGACAGGCCCTGATTCGCTGTGATTTTCCTAAAGGAGAAGAGTGATTGCCGATACCCGGACAAGGCTTGACAGTGGGCGTAAGTTTGTAAGAGTTGAATGCTGAGCCTTCTAATCTGCCCGGTGGAGATGAGTTCCCCCGAACGTTGCCCATGTTTGCCAGGAGCCAGGAAAGAGTCCACGGTATATCTGAGGTAATCATCCCACTTCCTTGGCAGACGTCCTTGGCAGGAAGAACAATGGACAACACTGTCAATACTTGTTATTCGTCGAACCTCAAAACGAGACGGTGGTGTAAAACAACCCCACGTCGGTTGCGAAAACTAGTCATGGAGCACTTTGGTCCATGTAAGAGTGTCAACAAACCAGTACGGAGCAGCGTGCAAAGGATGAAGGCCAGAAAGGCTGAGGACAAGGATCGATATCATCTGCGTACCATCGTCGCCACGTGTGTGCCTTTCCAGACGTCATCCCACTGCCGTCGGCGGGCGGGAGGGTTTCATTCTGGGAGAGAGTGTGTGGCTCCCAGCTTCTGGCAATAATAAGCGTGCTCTAAGTGTAGACGCGAGGTTGGTTGAGAAGTCGGAGGAAGAGTATGAACTTTCCCGTGTTCTTCGAAATGGAAATGCTTTGCGATGGCCTTGGCAATTTCTCCGTGATAGGAATGTGCCAGGTTCATGGAATCCCCCAGATGACGAAATTTCGTAAGATATATCACGTATAACGGCCGGTGAGTTGTGCTTCCGTAAAAAAGGCATCTTCTTTCAGCGCAGAGGGTCCAAAACCCTGTTCTGATAGGTTCAACTTACGCGTGATGGTTGTTTGCAAGCGGCCGTAGACAAGGGACAAGCCTGCGACAACCGGTGGCGGAGAGGGGGGGAAAACAAGGATCAGGCAAGAAACCAGGACAAGGACAAGGCTCGGGAATCTGAGCTTATTGTTCTTCCAGATGGTCGTCTTCTTTTCGCCTTCTTTCCTCTTTCCACCCCCTCTTTCTTTCTCTGGACTGCGCGGGTTGCGGAACGTGATACCCCTGTGGCGTGCTCGGCTTAGCTGCAGGAAGCAAAAACTTCGGTGAATGTAACGGTTCAGGGGTCCAATCCTCTGAAGGGCTGAACAACTCGCATGCGGGGGAGGATTGGACAGTTTCTCCACAAGCGACGCTGACGGGGTGGGCAGTGTGTCGGGGTCCTTTTCCGCTTGGCTCTTGTTGTCCTTGATTCTTGTTCTTGTTTTTTGTTTTCCCCCCGCGCTGATGCTTTTTTCTGTCAGCTTTCTTTGTTGGGTAGTTGCCTTGCCGTTGTGGGTTGTGTACGTCGTCTTATTGGCATGTGCGTTGTATGTGTGATGCCGTGGAGTGGCTTATGTGACGTCGAAGGAGTAGCTGCTGGCTTTTCGTTCTTGCTGGTGGCGCTGCTGCTTGCGTTCAACGTTGCGGTTAAGGGGGTCCGAGCGGTGGAAGTTGATGGATGCGATGTAAGCGAGGCTCAAGGTATGAAATGGTCGGATAGAAGGATGGGCGATTCGCGGTAGAGCTGTCATGACCGTGTTCGAAGGAAAGGGACATTGGCTGTATGCGGTGCAACCCGCTGTTCAACAAAGAATCCCATTTTCGCCCGTACGTATGCAAAGTATAGTCCCGCAACAAAGCGAGATGCCACGGCCGAACCAAAGAAAGCTCATCGTATCTGTACGTGGTCAGGCTATTGTCAGCTTGAATGTAACATCAGCACATTAGCTGAGCCCCAAGACAACCCGACGTCCCCCTTCGCTTCCATGACACATTCTAGAGGATTTGATCCAGTGGAAAGGGGGTTTCCTCGGTGACATAGTTTCCTCGTGTGATATGTTTTCCTGCGAGGGCCAAGACAAGGACGCCACTTGACGAGCTGCCTGAATAGCATCCCACACCTAACCGACCGATGCACAATCGGTTTGTCAGAATTCGATGTGTTGATCGTTTTGTCTTTGCTCTTGGTATCGGGGTTGTGGCCATTTGCGAAACTCGGGACTGCGATCCTCGACATTTGCGGAAAACTTTCGTAAGGTTGTCTTAGGAGGCTGATAAAGGTACATGTACCTCGCAAGCGGCATAAGCATAGAGGTCCAGGGTTAGAGCAGAGTTGAAACGCATGTACGTCGTAGGAGATGTGTGAGAGACAGGTGGGGATTCTTTCGAAGAACTGGACTGGCTGGTAATTCTGGGCTCAGAGTTGAGGCAGCTTCTCGTAGAGGGTGTAGATCGCGGGTGCCAACGCGAGAGGATAGTCTGTCTCCTTGGAGATTGGTCAAGGGGGAACCGGAAAGATTCGTTCTGTTCGTGCTGAGTTGATAAAACGATCAAGTGATACTGTACATGTTCGTTTTGGGTTGCCGGTGCATTCTTTGGTGTATCGAGGCCCGTGGTTCTCAACCTTTTGTACAGGCATCTTTCGTCGATGCTTTTCATCCAGGCATCGAGATAGAGTACTTTGGTGCGGCGTCCATCCGTCCTGCTTAATTAAGAAGATTTGTACATCGTTCAGCTTTGAAGCTGTCTTTTGGAAGACAAGGTTTATGATGCTTTTTGTGTTGAAAGGTAACAGGTATCAAAGAAGCCAGGGAACCAATTGTGATGTCGTTGAGGCGCATGTATGCATTTGAATGTCGATATGGTCTCTTGAGCTTTACACCTTCTCTATCTTGGGAAGCAACCAGAGTGCGGTGGCAACATAGTCTGTTTGAGTCGTCAGAAAACATGTCTGTTGGTTATCCAGAGAGAAATGCGATTAGAAAAAGGTTGTGTCAATGATATAACCATTGCTCACTTACATCTCTGTGGCAGTTTCCATAGAGCAACACATTACTGCAAGGTACCGGCGGGGGAGAAAGATGGCCATTGAGGGATTGATGGCCAAAGTCGCTTTCCTATTGTGAAACCAACGACGCAATTGTCGTTGGTTCCAGGCCTCAGCCTGAAGGTTTAGCGTATCACTGGCAGCTGGGATGTTGTCTAGGAATGTCTCGAGGACAATGCTCTGGTAGAGTCTTACTTTCAGAGCTACGAAGTGTCCCTCTCATAATCTTCAAGTGGATCGAGTCTCTCCCGCCAGTGTATGCATGCGGACAAGAATCCATTTTCAAGCGGTGACAAGGATCGACAAGTGAAACAATCGCGATGTCGTCGATATATAGTTGATCGAGCCGGCCTGACACTGATACCCAACTCTCGAATCTGGAATCAGCAACTGAGGGCGGCATAGGGGCTCTTTGGGGTAGTAGCCGACCGATGGGAGATATCGAGGCCTCGCTCAAGACTCGTTTCGAGTCCCTTGTTGCAGTCGAAGATTCAAGTAGCGTCCAAATGGCCTCAATTCTATGTTCATCGAGGGTTCTCTGGGTCATCTATAGGTAAGTCCCTTATAGCGTGCAACACATAAGGAACAGAAGACGCTCTAATTGGGGGCATGCCGAACTCATACAGGACTGGGGGGATATCATCAGATATACCAAGTAGCAGCCACCCTCAACGAGAGCAACGTCACATGTCTCTCATTCCTTCGTATGCCGTGCATGACTACAGCACAAAGGATCCTATATCGTACGAGATGTCAGACTCGGCCATTCATCACAGGCAGTCGGGGACAAAGATACCGGCCCTTGGCGTGAAGGAGTTGGGGAGGGTGGCCGACACAAGACCCTCGTACGACGTTTGCTTCAGCCTCTTCAGTAGCATATAGCTACCTCCATCTCAATGGGTGCTCGGATACTGTAGGACCCTTGTTTCAAGATGGATAGCCTACTCAGCACTGAAAAGCGTCGATTTAACGAAACGTTAGGTATGTGGAGGATGATAATGGAGTAACGCAACTATGATAAGCGTCGTCTCAGCTGCAGGCTTCAGCCTCAATCTGAGACATCACACGCTGTGAAAGTGGTCTGAGCAATGATTGTCACAAATGTTTGCTGTGCTTGGATGAAGGAGAGGGATAATAATCTCGGGAACTGTGTTACAGATACGGGTAGCCTGTAAAGAATCTCATGACAGACGAATGTAGGATTTCTTGTACGGTATCTTGCGATTCTACTAGATTCTATGAGGCCCATCTCAAACACGACTCTGTCTATCCGGTGCGTTATCATTTGACCAGATCCTAGCGTAGTCATTGTACGATGATGCTCCGTGAAGCCCAGTGTACAGTACCCGAAGCCTAGTGTTGAGTTGACTCCTGATTACCCAAAGAGGTAATCAAAGGGCTTTTCTGGGGGCTATAACGGTTATGCCAAGTATATAACACCAGACGATTATCCCATCAAATTGGGATACTGTGTTGGTTTTTTCGATTCACGCTTCTTGATGCCAGATGACCTGGGCATGGGCACAATTCCATGATAAATAACCTTCTATTACTATCTATGCCTATATAAAGACCGATCTACCTAGCAAAGCCCGATCTTTAAGGACTTACCAAAGTAGAGTCACATTTAAATAGCCCACTTAATGCAGTGCCTCAATCACTTTTTAAAAAGGACAGGCAAGGTGACTACCTCTTTACTGGAGACGTAGAAAAGGCAGACACGGCGGTTGAGCAACTAACCTAGACTCTACGTTCCGCAACTCGGGGTCCGATAGTGAACCGACTTCATTGCAGGAGAGCTGGACTCAGAGAGAAGTAAAAACCGGGACGAAAGCTGTTCAATCGGTCTTCTGGAAAGTCAAGCTCGGGCACATTGTGTACATTGGGCCTCCGTCGTATCTAAGAAAAGACGGCTGTTGCAACCCTTCCGGGCTGGAGGCCGCACATACGCGACTGGCAAGGCTCGATACCCGTTGCGCTGCTGTGCTGACGACCATGTGAGATGTCACTCTTTTCGAGTTCCGAAGGCATTCTTTTCTAGTATCCTCCGGGTACTTGGGAACCTGAATGCCTTCCCGTTTCCATTTCCACTGCAACCGTGCTGAAAAGCACCTTTCCCCTCTCGTTCTCGTGAATAACACCGTAAGGGGGCATACACGAACAGCCGCAGCCAGGCTAGGCTATGAGCCCACAGGTTACGGAGACGCGAATTTCATCAAATCTCCCTCATCCTCGGCCTCGATGCGTTTCCTCTTCCAGTACTCATACATATCCCGGCTGCATCCAGGGAAGCAGGGGTTCGTCCTATTACTCAGACGGGGTGTGCCATCTGAGTAATACTTGTAGTAGTACCCGTAGCCAGGCAACAAGGCTTAGTGCCCGCAAAAGAGACGACACGCCATGAACCCATGTCCCGCTTCCCTGCCCCTGATCACTCTGGTGCTGACTCTAGGCGGCGATCACTACGGCGAAGGGAGTGGGCGTATCAGTACTACTACGACAACAGGGACAAGTAGGAAGGACAGCTTCGGAGTTGCTGTAGAGTGTTGGTGCTACAAGGAGCTTCTAAGCCCTTTTTACCAAGCCGTGGCGCACGGGATGAAATTGAAAGCTGGTGGTTCTTGCATCTCCGTAGTTCGTATATGCACAAAGCCAAGCTTGTGCCTATTCAGGGTGTTACTGTATTTGCTTTTAGTATTACTGTCTTTTCTTTTTGCGTCGAAGCGACGGCGAGGTAGCAAACACACATGATCTCGGCAGGAGGATGCGGTGCAGCTGGGAGAGGGCGCTCTGCATGTAGGGCAGGAGATTGCGTTATGGAGCGGCTCCGAAGCACTGCGGGTGGTGGTTAACGCCGCCGCTCTGAGACCATGACAGCTGCAGGGCGAGGCGGCCGGTGTGCCATAATGCACGTTGGCCGACTTGCTTCGCAAGGAGCACCAAGGCCAAGTGCTTACTTGTCAAGCCAGGATCCTGTACTCCGCATGAGATAGATGAGGCCGATCATGACCAGTCTAAGGCTCAGGTCGTTTGTGGCTAGTAGTATTATCGAGACTGACACTGAATGGCCAAAGTTTGCGTGTATGCAGGGAGCGTTGGGGAGGGGAAATGCTGCGCCGTCTTGCTTAATCTCGCGGCTTTTTGTAGAAGCGGTGTGTGCACTCCGTACGTCGCCCATTATTTGTAGTCATTATCCATTCGTTTGTATTGTTGATTGTGCAGCAGCCCGACCGCTTCAGACATACTCTTGTATACAAGATATCACTATCACGGTCCAACTTCGTGTAAGCCAGATATGGAGCATCTCGGCAGTCGCCCTTCCAATCCAGTTAGGGCGGATCTCCCTCTAGCCGATCATCGTACTGTAACCGCATCGCCGGGCTCATGAGAAGTTACGAGATTATGGCATGTTTCCCCCCCAGGCTGGCGTGTGAATATCGCGGGCCCGCTGCGAACCCGCTGCGACACCCCCTGGTATCGACCTGCTCGTGATTCCTTCATTTCTAGGAGCAAGCTTACATAAACGTCCTGTGCTACTAAGATAATCAGCACAAGCATCTCACTCTTAGTAGAGAAGGCCTATTGCCGGCGTGGAATAGCTTTCGCCCGGACTTTGAGCCCAATATTGTGCGACGTAAGACGCCGAGATGGCTCTGAACTCATCGGGCGGTGATTGCGAGAGTGAGAGATTGATCGATGGCATTCTCTGTTTTACAAGCGTGCGCATTGTTTGTCCTTCTGCAGCGGCTCACTACATGAACCTCCCAGTCGATTCGGTCGCGATTCATAAATCTTCATAATGTACGAAGACGGCCCAAATCCCACCAAGGTCCAGATTACTCCCGCCTACAAGCGGGCGAATCCGCCTCCTCCGTTGGTCCTGATTCACGATGGAGGAGGCACGACGTTTGGGTACTTTATGCTGGGGAATCTCTACCGCGAGGTTTGGGCGATTCACAACCCGCACTTCTTCGATGGAGGCGCCTTTGAGGGCGGCATGGACGAGATGGCGCGGCTGTACATCCAGTACATGAAGGACACGGGCATCAAGGGCAACATTCTGCTGGGCGGTATGTGTAGACTGAGAGGCGATTTCATTGTGTCATTCAACCAGGAGGGGTCGTAATCTGTGACTGTGGTATATCCCGCGAGACTGACACCCTCATGCTGTACCTCGCAGGCTGGTCCCTCGGCGGCTTCCTATCCCTGGCCGTGTCGCGCTTCCTGGCCGAAGACCCCGAGGCCACGATCAAGGTCCTGGGCATCGTCATGATGGACACGCCGCATCACCTCCCCTGGAGCCAGGTCGATGGACCTACCGACGATCCCGTCATCGAAAACATCCCACCGGCCATACAGAAGTGTTTCGAGCGGTGCGATGAGATGATTGAGCACTGGGAGGTGCCCAAGTGGGATGGGCCCGCGTGCGACGGCAAGACTGTCTTCTTTGGCGTCGGCGGGAGACGATATTCGGTGCCTCCCGGAAAGGTCTTGCATAAGTCGTTTGAGGGGGCGTGGTCACCGGTCGAAGTGCCACAATACAGCAAGCCGGCAGAGGAAGCATCACAGTCCGAGAAAGCATCAATAACACCGCCACCTACAGTCCTGATACGAGCCATTCAGCACATGCCCCTCCCGGAAGGCAGAACGGAGCCGTACATCATAGACAAGCATCGCAATGATCGGACGCTCGGCTGGTCGGCCAATGCACCGGAGTTCATCAAGGCGGTGATTGATGTGAATTCAAACCACTACGAGATGTTTGACAAGACGAACAACGCTCAGGTAAGAAGCCGAAGTCATACATGGGGGGCAGATTGAAGGTGACTGACAACTGCGCGCAGATTAAGGACATGACCACGCAACTGAACCTGGCACTGGAGATTTTAGATAGCATCGGAAATAGTGTGAGCCCGTCTTTTGGAGGGAAACCGAAGCTGGATTACTTCTGATCTGATATAGACCATGTGGTGACCGCTGGAGGACGTGGGCGCAGGTCAGGTGGGCGGCATAAGGTACTGCGTATGCGTAACTCTAGAGTAACTCTTGCAGAAAAGCGGCAGAGACTGGAGATTGTTCGAACAAAGATGGACTCCGTACTGGAAAACGGAGCAAAAATAGATGTGTTACAGATGAGCGTAATGCCAGTTTTGCTATTTCCAACCCTGTGGTCTATTGCCTAGGTATGGAATGTGATGCCTTGTATTAGGAAGGCCGGTCTAGAAACAGGCCTTAGCATCCAAGGAAACCAAAGTAAGCTTCAAGTTGACAAATTACATATAGTGTATGCCATGAAGTGTTTCATGGCTAAAGATGAGGCAGCCACAAGATGATACAGCTCTCTCGGGAATGAAAGCCACAGAGTCGGCTAGGCGCGGAGGATCATCTGCACACAGTTCGTCCACTGCAACCTAGACATGCGTTCTGATGCTTGCTGAGTAGTACCTAATGCTGTATGATTCATCTCCAGGATGTTACATGAAGCGTATAGCTTGCTTCAACCGACAGTAAGCGAAATTCCCTTGTCCAGTGGCCGGCCACTAGAGAGCACATGTAGCTGCATGTCTGATGTCTCGTGATGTGATACTGGCATGTTCTACTCTGAATCGAGGTTTGTTACTACCCGTTGGTGCGGCTTTCAGAGACCAACTATGAGGCAAAGGCCTCATAGTTGGTCTCTGAAAGCCGCACCAACGGGTACATCTCCGTCACGTAGAACGCTCTGTTCTCGGCGTAATATATCTATCCTGACCGGTAGATGCTGGCTACATTCATTGCACAGCTCGGTCAAGTGCATTTCCCTTACAACGAGTAGTACAAGAACAGTTCATATGAGCGATTGCCATATAGACCTTGGCGCAATCAGATGAACGCCGTTGGAGTTGCCCACCAAGCTCTGAGCACCTTTGGATTCATCTCAGGTATTCAGTACTATTTGCATGCACCAAAGAAGCTGTTCATAGTCCTCAAGCAACAGTGTTTCAGTGGCAAGACATTAAGCTGTTGATGGGATGAGCTGCATTACGTGAGCTGAAGCATCATGGAATAAGTCGGGAAGGGCACGAGATGGTCTTACGGGACTGCCCCGCGTGGAGCCACCCCGCCTCATATCCTCCTCATTATTCGCGGCTGAGATACTCGTGCATGTAAGTGTCATAGGGCATCAATTGGCGGGGCAATGAGCATACATGTAGTCCAGCTCGGCAGAAGTAGGCAGAGATAGAGACTATAACTTCTTTGTTTCAACGGGACCTCACCAGAATCAAGTAGTTTTTAAAACAAGAGAGCACTTGACGAGAAAACGAAGCAAAGATGGCGACTGAACGACCCATCAACTCCTTCAAAGCCCTCACCTTCGACTGCTACGGCACCCTCATCGACTGGGAAGCCGGCCTCTACAACAACCTCCAGCCTCTGAACGAGCAGCTGCCCGACTCGCACCCGCTCAAGAACGACCGCCTCGGGCTCCTCCGGGCTCTGGTCCGGCACGAGGGCCTCGTCCAGGCGGCCAACCCGACGCTCCTCTACCGCGACGTCCTGGCCGCTGCGTACGGCAACCTCGCCGCCGAGCTGGGCGTCTCCGCCGACGACGCCGCAAAGGAAAAGTTTGGCCTCGGCGTCGGCGACTGGACCATCTACCCGGACACGCTGGACGCGCTGCAGCGGCTGCACAAGCACTTCAAGCTCGTGATCCTGTCCAACGTGGACCTCGACTCGTTCAAGCGCACGCTCGAGAAGCAGTTCAAGGGCTTCCCCTTTGACGCCATCTACACCGCGCAGGAGATTGGCTCGTACAAGCCCGACCTGAACAACTTCCGGTACCTCATTGAGCACTGCGACAAGGACCTTGGCGTGAAGAAGGAGGACATCTTGCACACGGCGCAGAGCTTGCATCACGACCATGTGCCGGCGAAGCAGAGCGGGCTGGCCAGCGCGTGGATCGAGCGCGGCGAAGGGGGGGTTGAGAGCGTCATGGGCGGGGATCTGGAGGCGTACGCGGACAAGGTGTCGTACTCGTGGAGGTTTAAGAATATGAAGGAGATGGCGGATGCGGTGGATGCTGCTGCGCAGAGCGGCTGAGGTCGGTATTGCGGGTATAGAAGAGGCATGCGGCTGTCTTGTTTCCCTTGATCTGGGTCTACTCTTCGACATCATCATGTCTATATTAGACGGTTGCAAATACCGCATAAGCCATAGAAGAAGTTGGGCCTTTGTCGACTTGGCAATGAAGCTATCACTACATATCCCAACACATAGTCAAGAGGGCGCATGTTCATTGTCAGCCTCGTCACCGAAAATGTGCCTCCTTCGCCATTCGGTCGGCACTCGAGGCAACACCTATACCCAAGGCGCTCGAAGCTCGCGATCAAACAGCAGAATCAGCGTTGCACCTTGTGCCGTTATTGGCTCTCGGGAGTGGCTGTGCATTGATCCTCTCGCCAGTTCTGGCTCAACGCCTCGCCAGCGCTGCGTATTACCGCATTTGGAAACCTAATGGGCCCAGGATGAAAGTCAAGATTCCCTGGCAATGCGCATATAAAGCAAACTTTCAGGAGAGTCAGACAAAACCATCATCCTCACCATCTTCAGAATCATTCTTACCTCAGATTCAACGAAAAAAAGTCACACATCAATCAACAATCTGCTCTGCTCCATCCACTTCTTCCAAACTCACTCACAAGCAAAGACCCCTGTCGCCATCACCATGGGCTGCGCCGAATCAAAAGAAGCCCACCAAAGACTCCGCAGCGCCTCGCTCAGTGGCGTCACAGTGCCCAACTCATTGGAGCTCTCCTACGACCCCTCATGGAGCAAACTGAGGCTCCACCTCCTCAACAGCTCCTCGGAGCCCGTCTACACCGTCAACCTCCCCGGAGGCTGGTGGGGGAGCCTCATCTTGTATGACGGCCCTACCGTGGAGCACCCGCCGCTCGCAGCGGTCCGCAACACCGGCAAGTCGGGCATGGGGAATCTCGTGACGCTGCCGCCTCTATGGCCCGGCGAGGAGGTCTTTGAGGAGAAGATCTCGCGCCGGAACAAGGGCTGGATGGACGCCTGGTCCTTTGCCGTGCCTGTGCTTGACCGAGCGGGGGAGAAGGCGACGACACGCGTGGAGCGGTTTGAGTGGGTGAGCTCCGGGGGGAAAGAGGTCAAGGGCTTGCATGAATGGGGTCGCGGATGGAAACTGAGGCGAGTCGCGGGCAGTCAGGCCGCTGCATATGCAGACAAGGCCTGGGAGGATGAGAAGGATGAGGGAGATGCAGCTGCGTACGAGTATGAGAAGCTCCAGGCGGACAAAGAGGTCCTGGCTGTGTGGGCAGATGCAAACGGCTTCAGCAAAAGAGCCGCCAAGTTCGAGTTCGTCAATAGCGGAGCGACCGGTGAGCTGGGGGAGGCGTGGAGGGTCATGGCGGTGGTCTCGTTTGTGAGGGTATGGCAGAGATACATGCAGATCGCAGTGGCATAGGCGAGGGTCGGGTGATGCCCTGATTTGGGTCGGAAGGATGGTTGTTGCATGTGGAATAGGGGGGGTCATGTATGTAATATCTGCACATGGAATTGGCATCTACCTCATTTCATTTGCTCGCTACTGAATGAATATATCCGGTTATATAATCACACACACTGCACACAAGTAATAGTTGGTGAACTGAATCTCATTGATGAGTGAAGTCAATTGGGGTGTGATGATCGTCCTAGTGGTATTCGGTTACGACGAGAAGTATGGCACCATCTCTGCGTAGCCAGCCTCTTCAGATGCTCCTCCTCTGCTGGAAAACAACATCTCCTGCATATACTAATGTTGTACGTCCGCCAAGAAGGCCACAAAGGTTTCAGGGACAGTATACAAGGCAGACAGACACAAGACTACGTGGTCGACCAAAGGCCAACAATACCAAGCCATTTCACCATTTCATCTATTATCCCAATATCAGATGAATCCTTCCTCCATTTTACTTGAAACTGCATTCGCATGAGCGCATTGCATTGCCTCATGTCACTGACATCCCTCTTTCTCAGGCGTACCGCCAATGGCTTCGCTTCGGCCCGCCACCATCTTGCGTCGGCCTTGCGTCTCTCGTCACACCGAGATGCGTGTAGTCAGAAGGCCATGTTGACATATCAATTTCCCAATGCTTAACAGTGTATGCATGTACAATGATTAGGCCGAATGCTGCAAGCACTCTCCATTTGCGTCTGTTCGGCGGCTCGGACACTTTGCCTCTTCGCATCGCCTCTTACAACCGCGGCATCACGACTGACTACATGTTGAGAATGCTCCCCAGACACACGAGGGGCTGTGTGTAACTTGATCACGACAGCCCATACTACTACTAGTTCCCGTGCTCATATTCCAGATTAGGATGACACCGCGTGTGGTGGCTCTTCTCTCTCGACTCAGCCATGACAGTAATACCGTCAGTGTCTCACTGGACGCGCCAGGTAGACGCAGGTATCGCCGTGTAAGTTGCTTAACCCCAGACGCACTTTTGTCTCCCTCTGGCACGGCACGGCAGGGCTGATGCGCCGCAGCCGCAGGTCACACTCACCGGCTGCTCGTCTAGCCCGCCGACATATGCCAAGAGGAACATCATTGGCTAGCTGTCGATGCGTCGGTAAGACATCCTACATAATACCCCTCGCATCGAGTAACGCTGTATCGGGGCAGGTTGGGTGCAGCATGTGAGGGCTGGTGTGCTTGCAAACTGCGTCCACCAACATCTCCTTCAGCTCGAGTCCAGGAAGGTATGTACATGCATCATACTACAGCGAGGGCTTGGTACGTGTAGGTAGTTTCGATGTCGACATATGTAAGGGAGAGTCGTGTCGTGCCGTGCCGTTTCAACTGACGTACCATAGTATATACTGCTACTACTTGTACTATGACGAGAGAAACCGGTTGATGGAGTTCGGTAGTCAAACATGTCTCATCATGCAGTTGGTGGATCGGTACGGCGCTTCTTGCTTCTCCTCGGCTTCGGCTATTGCAATGCCTATTGTGTGTTTCGATGACTTTATAACATTTGCGTAGGGATAGCAGACGCAATGAATGCTCAAATGCTGCACCGAGGACATCAGAAGGCTGTTGAGACACATTCACACCATCACTCATCCGGTCGTTACCCCTGCCTGTACTTCTAGTAAGCCTGCATCACGGTAGACTAGAAGTCCCTGAGCTCGCGTAGGCATCAACTCCCCTCCTTTCGGCCGTATACTGGCTGACATCAGAATCCGACGCTAGTGTGTCTCGAGGCTGGCTGGAAGGAGAAGACACGGGATGCCATTTCGCCTCGTTGCTCAATGAGGCAGTAGTTCGCGGGGAGTTATGATGCCATGTTCTTGTAGGAGGTATGACTGCCTCAATGAGGCCGGATCGAGCGTCACGATGCTGTGCTTCCTTGGCTGAACGGCCACCTCCCTCCCTTTCCTCCGTCTCCCCCCTCCCATCACAGGCCGTTGTGTGTCTCATGTGGCCCTCGTCCCAGGATATGCCCTCTTGTGAATAAGAAGGCGCCTTTTCCCACCTTCCACGTTTACTTGACTCACCTCCCTCGTCCTCGGTTGCACAGACAGTCTGCCTTTACCTCTTCCAGTTCGTTTACCTTTTCCCTTCTTCCTGCTTTCATCCCGCCATCTTCAACAGGGCAGCTATCCAGAGTTCGTTTTTACGTCTCCTATTGGAAAGAAAAGTGTTGACAGTAAAGACAGCGTCTTTTTTCCAATTGAGGGCTATCCTGAGCCATACAAACTCAAACTCCTGATTCTTCTCCTTTGTCACAGAGGGCTATCCTGAGCCACTCTTTCAACTCCTGACAGAGAGCTATCCTGAGCTACTCTTACAAACTCCTGATAGGGGGCTATCCTGAGCCACTCCTGAACTGACTCCTGATCATTAAAGTCTTTTTTCTTGAACAAATCAAAGAATTGAAGATCTTATTTGTTTTCTGTTCTTTTTAAAAACAAACAAATCCTCTTCTAAATCAGGGACTTGACATCTCATCTTATCCATCGGTTTTGACGCTATTTCAACCAACATGTCTTCGTTCAGATCCGCTCAACGTGCAGTTCGTGCTTCTGCACCTCTGCTTCGCTCGTCCCCTGCCGTCACCAACCGCGGCAGCCAGCGTCTGTTCCACGAGTCTAGCAAGGCCAAGGCTGTCGAGGCTCTCTCTACTCAGACGCCCCGGAACGGCGGCCCGCCCCCTCCCCCCTATTTGGGCCAGCAATTCCAACAGCAGCAGCAGCAGCAGCACCTCCCCACGGAGCCCTTCCCCCAGGTGGAGGGCTTCACCCAGCTTAACGTCAGGGAGCAGGTGTACAACCCCAAGTTCTACGAGACGGTCGGCAAGATCATGAAGCTGCGCGAGAAGTACCTGCGTGACCGCTGCATCTTTGTCGAGTCCGACGAGATGCTGGAGCTCATGCTGGGCCTCGGCGCCAAGGAGTCCGACATCCCCGGCATGAAGACTGTCTCAGACAACCTGTACCACGACCCGACGCTGCCCTTCCGCAGGACGCGCAACAGCCGCTTCTGCCTCGACTTTGACACGCAGTCGATCCGCCGCCTCGAGTTCCAGCCCTTTGTGCTGACCGTCGAGGAGGACTTCAACCGCTACGACTCGGGCGCCATCCGCCGCTTCGACGAGGTGCAGAACGACCTGCAGCTCAACTCCATCTTCCAGGCGCTCTTCGCCTTCAAGGCCATGATCATCCACGGCATTGAGATTGCCCACCGGCCCAAGCTCGAGTACGGCGTCAACAAGTGGGTGTGCACCCTCTTCAACCTGCGCACCGTCACCACGCCCCATATCCTGGGCGAGCCGGCCCTCGAGGGCGTGCACTCGGACGGCGTCGACCACACCATGACGACCTTCCTCGGCAGCTACAACATGTCGGACAACAGCGCCGCCACCTTCATGCACAGCATGGACGAGAAGACGGGCATCCCCCTGGAGGAGATCCAGCCCAAGCACCTGCTGGCCCGCGTCCAGCACAAAAAGTTCCTCGACACCCTCATGATTGTCGACCATGAGCGCAAGCACAGTCTTTCGGCCGTGTATCCCGTCGACAAGACCAAGGAGGCTCATCGGGACATGCTTGTCTTCTTTACCCGCAAGCCTGTTGAGCAAACTCACGTTTCGGGCTCGATTGACTCGCTCAAGCCGCACAAGGAGCTGCCCATGGAGATTCCCCTCTACTTGCCTGGTGCCAACTAAGGTAGACTTGGCGTGCTGCATTGCCACGCGAGATGAACTAGCGGGGTGACTGGATCTTGGGTTGTGTTCTCAAAAGGGGTGAGTGTCAGTTCCACCTCTTTTGGTCGTAAATGGTCGACCTATCGGGGTGTGGCTGCATGATACTGGCACCCTCTCTTCTCCATGTCTTGGCCTTGTTTGTTATGAACTTATGAAGAGAGTCGAAGAGAAGAAAAGAGGTGTACTTATTGGTTTTCTTTTGGTGTCATGATTTATCTTATTGGCATTGGCTCATGAGTAAGATTGTTCCCTTTGGGAGAGCTACATCTTTGGATTGTTTGCGCTTTTTTCCCATACATGTTCATGCCCTGAAAGATGTTTTGCATATGGTTTCTGGACAAGACAATATGATAGCTTTGGGACAGTTTCTGCAGACGAAAAGAGAGGGTGATACCCACTGTTGGTAGACCACATCAGACCTTGGAGCTCAAAGATGGGTGTATCACTTGCTATGTTGTTGGCTGAAATACCATGGGAAACCATTCTGAACACTTGTGATAAGCAGAGATGTTGACTAATAACTACAGAATTATGCTGCTCTCCGAAAAGTTCCTTGAACTGACCCCGAGTGTAGAAGACGAGAGTAGAGGGACACCGAAACGCATCTCAACGGGGGGCATCGCAAAGACTCTGAACGATTAATAACATTCGCCATTGCGAGATGCTCCTCGCTCTGTACTAAGACTTGAAGGCCTTTTAATTACCATGCATATATGAAGTGCCCAAGGTGGAAGGACATGAGCTCAGCAGCCTCCGATGCGGCATGTACATGTATACTGCAAGCAACACGCCGTGCAGCTTGAGGCCCGACTGCTCCTTTTGTCGCATACTTGCCATACATACTACTTCTATGCCTGCTGGAACCGACGTGCAGAGTCTTTACCCTTGCAGACAACCCTTTGCTTTCATACAGGAGGGGCATCCTGTTCACACCATTTATCAGACGAGGCGGTAGAAGGCTCTTATGCAGGGAGGTCGGGCTTCAGCATATTATTCGCCCACGCAAGTACCGTGGCTTGTTGTAAAGTCTGCAAGACAAATGGGGTTCAAAAGAGCATGTCAAGTGCTTCACCGCTTGTCTAATTTTGGGGACAGAGGATTAGATTGCACCAGAAACAGCAGTGAATGCAGGGTAAAGGAAGACAATGACTTGCGAGTCTCGGCAGTTCAGCTGGCAAACCGGACTTGAAGAAGTAATGGCCAGGAAGATCAAAGCCTATGGTTTGGGCATGAAGGAGCAAGACATGTGAGTGATATGGCCATATATTCCCCCTCTTGGCTAAACACACCTCAACACGTTGAAATGCTGGGCACCCCGTGTCTTTCTTCAATAGGAAATAGCCGAATGGACAAAACGAGTGAAGGAGGAGTGAGGCCAGCTCCATTGAATCTGACCATACAAGAAGCCATTCAGAGCCATGTGATGCCTCATGCCGTCCTGTGAGCTTCCTTGATCGCCTCCGCAGCCAACTTCCTCAGGTTGGCAATGCCGCCAGCCCCCATGAACGCAAGCACACCAACGATGACCCAAAGCGTTCGGCGCCACCAAGTCCGAATCTTGAGAGCAACCAGCGATCCTACTCCCAACCGAGCCAGACTCAGCCCAAGGTCCAGCTCCTTCACATCCCTCGACATGAGGTATAGATGCACGAACCAATCTGGTTCGTCAAGAAGGCGAGATTGCTCGGCGTATCCAGTAGCGACGTAGCTTGGACGCTATTCATGAAGTGGCCAAAGTCTTCTGCATTCTCTGCTTGGGAAGCAGACGGTCGTCGGAACTGCCTTGGAGATGGGCCTGTGCCATGTCGCGGTCGCTCTTCCAGTTGGAGCGGTTGTTAGGGTCGGAGAGAGGCTTTGTGCATCTTGGACGGCTGGTAAGCTTAGCTGGGTTGAAGAAGCCATCAACCGTCACTTGCGGACGAAGTCGCCGGATGCTTATGAGACGGCGTATAAGTGAGACAGCATCCAGAAGCTCAGTCTCTCCCAGAATGCAAAACTTCAAAAGCGCGAAAGTGCTCCAGCAGAGCCTGATTCTCAACCACGTAGCCGATATCATCTACAACTCTCACATTCACGACTCCCGCAGGCAAACCTTGCTGGGTGGCGGAATTGGGTGAATGCCGTCAAGTAAGCATTGGCCGCCGTGTAGTTTGCCTGGCCTACCTGGCCTACGACATACTAGATGGATCTGAAGAGGGTGAAAAATTCCAGGTCGCAGTGCTTGATGGACGTTGATGGCGCCGTCGATTTTGGGTCCTGCTGCTGCGAAGGGCACCATGAAGCTTCAAGGACAAGTGAAGCATTCTTTACGCACTGAATAGATCAAACGAGGCAGGATCAAAGCCTTGTGGTTGAGAGTCCTTGAAGACGTCCAAGATCTTGTAGTCAATATTGTCATGTCTTTCCACATTGTGCCTAGCATGTTACAAAGCATCTTCGTCGCGAGCCGTGTAGTTGTAGATATACTTGCTATAGTTGCGCTCTCTGGCCCAGTTGATAGGAGCTTTGACAGCCTTAGCAGTGACATCCATCGACCCGGATCCAAAGCTCGAGCACTCTCATGGTTGGGTTGGCATAAGCCAGCAAGCCAAGCAGGATAAAGTAGTCACTCTTAATGCTCAAAAATCTGAACAATTCACCGAATCCTCCATCCTGCTCAAAGGTCTCATCGGTCGTCATGTCACCCTCGGCCCATGCCGCAAGCCGACTGAGGAGCAAGGAGATTTCGGCACAGCTACTCGACAAGAGAGACTTCAGTCTCTCTCTTGGTTTTTTTTTTGAGTTAAGAAGAGCAAGACGTGCGCAATCAGGCACATTATTATACTTGCCGCTGAGAGCTTTCGTGCGTTGCCCAGCTAGCCATGGACAAACCTGGAAAGCGTAGCAAATTAGTATAGTAGAGCAAGCTTCTCAAGCTTTGCTACTTCGACTGGAGGTGAACGAGCCGCTTGGATGAGGTTATTTGGGGCAATCAAATCGACGTGTGGCCTCCAATGCAAGTGAGCAGCTGGCATGGAACCGGCTTTATCGTTCTCATCACTCTCCAAGGGACTAAACTATCTCCATTTTGCAGACATGTATATGACAAGTCATGAATAAGAGGCCGGACCAGGCCGCAATGCGTCAGTATATGATGAAAATGAGGACAAAATGAGTTGAAACAGAGTTGGCCGACGTCCCATGACTCCGTGCTTGTTTGTGTCTTATAATCATACGAGAATACTGCGTCTCTCCAAATACGCGCGTGATATTATTGGCAGTATGGCGCTGTAGCATCTTGAAGCTCGTTATCATGAACCATGTCATCATATCTATTGGTCGTTGGAGTTCAGGGAGTCAATGGAAAGGGTTTAACCGCATGTATCAGCATAGGGATCCTCCACGGCGCAGAAGCACATCTTCATGATGAACATCATTCCAATTCCTCGTCTCCTCTAAGGCCGCGAATGACCGTCCAATCGCAACACCATCACTCGTCATCCTCGCTAGTGTCATCATCAGAAGACTCATAGACATACACCCGGAGCACCGTCGGCACCTTTCTCGCCTTACCCGCCTCAGACATCTTCTTAGCCCGCTCCTTCATCTCGCCCCTCTTCGTCTTGCCACTTGCTGACTTGGGCAGCGCTTCGAGAAACTCGATTCCTCCTGCTAGGCGCTTGTAGTCTGCCAGTTCGCTGTCAACGAAATCGTGAATCTTCTGCTTCAGTGTTCGCTCGTCTTCTTCTCTACCGGCGGCTGAGAGCACTACGAAGGCGAGGGGCAGTTCGCCCGCAGCATCGTCGGGGAGGGGAACAACGCAGACATCTGCGATGTAAGGGTGACGCAAAAGGAAAGCTTCGAGTTCGGTGGGAGGAACTTGTAGGCCCTGATGATAGTTAGCGGATCATGGCACTTTCATAGCCAAGTAGTTTCCATCAACCCTTACTCTGACTTTGATCAGCTCCTTGACTCGGTCCACAATGAAGAGGTGTTCATGACCGCCATCGCTCTTGCGAAACTCCACCAAGTCCCCTGTTCGTAACCAGCCCTCCTCTGTGAATGTCTCCTTTGTCGCCTTTTCATTATCAAGGTAGCCCAGCACTATGCTAGGCGACCGCAGCAGCAGCTCACCAGGAGTGTTCAACTCCGTCACTTCGTCGCCATCGCGGCTTATCAATCGGCCTTCGTAGCCAGGGAAGATGTGACCACAGGAGCCGAACATGATGTCTGCTTTATTTTGCAAAGATACACCCACCGAGGTCTCAGTGAGGCCGTATGATTGGATTAGCTGACAGTTGGGGAACTGTCTGGCAAACTGTTCGTTGACTTCTTTAGTGAGGTTGGAGGCGCCAACTACGGTTGTCTTGACATGATCAAGGTTGTACTTGGCAGTGACGGCTGAGTTCCTGATCAGAGCAACGATCATGGGAGGTACCTGGCATTCACATCTATTGTCAGTGCTTCATGCTCCCGGAGTAAGTAACGGAAAGCTCCAGTCGTCTTACCATCCACAGCGTCTCTATAGAATACTTCTGCACGGCCTCCAGCACATCAACGAGGTCAAAGCCCGGCAGCACGACGGCATTGTAGCCTCGGTACACGCCAGCATGACCAGCGACAATTAGGGCATAACTGTGGCTCATGGGAAGCACGGCAAGCTGTGACTCTGGCTCTCCGCTCTTGTAGGTGGATTCGAACGTGCTGATCTGGAGAGTATTGGCAATAACGTTTCTATGCGAGATCATGACGTTTTTCTAGGATACGCCTGTGAGTCACAGCAGACAAGATTGCTTTGCTTTGGTAGGAGCTCACCGGTAACCCAGATGTTCCGCTGGAAGAGCATAGGAACGCCGTCTGGCGGGCACCTTGACCCTGTTCCCATTTCAGCACCGGCAGAGGAGCCAGCTTCTTCCCTTCTGCGATAAGCTGGTCAACGAACTTCATATCAGCCGGAATGATGGCTCCTTTTAGCGCCTCGTCTGGAATATCCACGAGATAGACGTGCGTCTTGGGGATGTTGGCCGCGGACGCTGCTTCAAGGGCCGTGGGGAGGAGGGTCGCACACGTAAAGAGAGCCTTGCATTTGACTGCTTTGAGCTGCCTGGTAAGTTCGGCAGCGGAGTACGAAGGGCTGATTGGCGATGAGACTCCCGAGAAGCGATGAGCTGCCCATGAGATGGTCATGGTGTCTATCTATTGTCATGTGTAGACGGTGCATTTAGCTGGGGGGGAACGGACTCTCTCTCAGGCATTTTCAAAAACATACCGTATTGACGCTGAATATCCCAATGACCTTGTCAAACTCGCTTCCATGGTTGACCTCAATGCCCAAGTCCGCTGCAAGTGCGGCTGAAAGCCACTCTATGCGATTCTTCACTTCGGCAGCGGAATACGATCTTCCAGTGAGGCCACAAGTGAAGGGCGGGCGAGAGTGCGCAATCGAATATCTGCCATATTTGCCTTCGTTGCCGAATAGAAACTCGTGTATTGGAGTTGACTCTGGAGGGTCGAAAGGTAGTTTTGGGATATAAGAGGGCGTTGTGAACGGCATGATGAAGCGCGTATCGGTCCTTCTGGCCTCGAACTGCTAGAACACCTTTGGCAGATGAATGGCCGGCGTAATCTCCGTACAGGAAGTACTACCAGGTCTGTAAAGTGCAGTCTCTAGTATATGAGGTTCAGAAGATGTAGAATGTGTCTCCGTGCCGCCTGACAGTTTGTTTCTCACTTTCGCCCTCGTTTACACAGAGTACATCCAGCTACACATTGAGATGCCGACGGGCGTGACTACGTGGACTAATCGCATCTTACTATTCAAGACATGCTGTGGAATCTGTTTGGCGGAATGTCTTTCCTCTGATGTCGTACATCTCTCCCTGCTTAAGCTCCAGAAGCCAGGCGCAGTGGTATGAAGGGCAACAGGGCTGCCACGACGTAATCCATGTACGCGTACCTACATGTAGGATTAGAGTAGGGCTGCTCAATTCTCTTGTATGGTGTAGATACAGAAGTTATCGTCCTGTTCCTTTTCCGCACCATTTCCATTGAGGGCTCTGTTTGTATCGGAAAGACCAATGCAAACAGGCCATATCTTTGTTCTTTGTATGTTGCCCGAACGAAGAATTCCGATAAGTTATTTTGGTAGCCCTGTCTTTTCTCCTGGTAAAAGCAATCGCTACGGTAGTATAAGAATAACAACGAATGGCTACCTGCTTGATGATCAATATGTCGGTCGTGATTCGCTCGAAGCGCTATTTCTAACAGGAGAATCTGCAAGCTACGTGTTGAAGCTGCCGCTGCCGCAACCCGAGGGCTCGTCTCCTGTACATCACTGCCAACTATGTCGTAACCGGTCTTCAACAGCAAAACCGCGATGCTGCCCAACATCATCTACAGGCTCAAAAGGAAAAGCTCCAGGTTCCCCAACCTCGGGCGGCGCCAATAACACTGCCGGTCAACCCCGGTGTATTGTTCTCTCCTCTAGCGTCCCCTTCCATTCGTCCAGCTCCAGACAATCCCCAAATATGCGGGGACGGCAGCCAATTGTTCTTCACCAGACTCACCTCCAACAGCGAATCTTAACTCTTCCCGTTCCCTCAGTGTGACAGGCGGACGGCACATCCAGTGAGAAAACTCCCCGGGTGGAGGGCGACTAAGCTGGGCTGTGGCGTTGATCAAATTGTGGACTTACTCGGCATTCCAGGATGGATGCGGGGAACAGTATATATATCTATATAAAGGACGGCCGAAGTCTTATCTCAAGGGCAGATTGGGCATTGATACTTGACTCTTGGATTGTTCACTCGTTGGGTATATTGAACGCTACGATACTTGCTTCTCCGTTGATACCGACATACCGCCTCAATCGACTTATACACATCATCAGGTAAAGCCGCTCCTACAAGATGGGCGAACCCTCGACATCCGCGCAAATCGCTTCCATGGGCTATGCTCTTGGCCAAAAGCACCACCACCACCGTCACCATCATCACCAGCAAGAACAGCAGCAGAAAGGAGGCTGCCTGAGCAGTAGTCCCGAGAGAGACCCATACCTCGAACGACGCAGCAGCAGCAGCGAATCTGCATCATCGCGACGGATGAGCGAGCCTCGGCCCTCGTACTCGGGATCTGGATTCCTGGGTACAATGCGATAACTGCTGAAAGAGAAATCGCGAAAAAGCCAAATACTGTGGAAGAGTTTCTGTCTTTGGCGTTGGGTTTGTTTTTGGTTTCCGGTCAACAGCAATTACACGAATGATGTGGACATATGCATGCACACGCAGGCGATGATGTCAGTAAACAGGTTGCGGGGTGAAGGAATCGAACCAAGCCTCTATGCAGATCTTTAATGCACCATCTTGGATGGGGGAATCAATATGAGGAACTGCCGTTATGATACGTGCATGGCTGGTGTTGATAGTGCAAATGCTGTCACGTTTGCTTCCCCTGTTGGAGTGTAGATGGGTCTAAGGACATCATTTGATGTCCATGGATATCCTGATCATGAATGAATGCACATCGAAAAGGGCTGAAGAAGTGATATTGCTCAATGAAACTCCATTCCAGTAGACGATAAAACACGCAAGTCACCGCCCGAGGCGCATCGTCTTCCACACGGCATAGCCCGCATATCCCACCGCCGCAACAACCGCCAACCTCCCCGCCCCCGCAAGCAGATTCTCCCTCGCCCGCCTCACGGCCCTCGCCCTGCTCTTCTCCGTGTTCCTGCGGAACGTCTCCCGGTCATTGACATGCGGGAACGGCATCTCCACCTCCTCCCCCGTCGCCTCGTCCCGGACCGTCGGCACCGGAACGTCGAGGTAGGCGCACAGCGGGCCCCAGCCGTCCTGGACCCGGTACTCGATGCGCCGCTCCTCGGGGATCTCGTCCCGGAAGCGCTTGTACATGCCCGTGTACCAGGCAATGGCCTTGTCCTTCTCCGTCCGGTGGTTGTGCCGAAAGGCCAGCCCGGACATGGCCCTCCCAAAGCGAGCAAACGCGCGCGTCGCCGGGTCAAAGGCGAAGCAGAAGAGCATCTGTAGCCTGACCCACGGCGACGCCGGCTGCGCCGCCATGATGACCGACTCCAGGCAGCTGGTGTACCACGACTCCGGATCGCGGTTCAGGATGATGACCTTGGCCTCGGGGTACATGGCCGCCAGCTCCACGCCGAAGAGCGCCGCGGGCACGTCGACGCAGGCCTGCGAGTTGCCGAGGACCCTGTCGAAGTCGGCCTTGGTGATGGTTCCCTTCCCGCCGTAGTGCGCCTCGATGAGGCGCGCCCATTGCGGGCATTCCGTTTCCGGGCTTTCCAGCAGGTTGTGCATGTGGTAGCAGTCGTTGAAGCCCAGCTGCTTGAGGGCCACTCGCACGCCTGGCGGAAAGGAGTCAGTGAGGGCTGTTTTGCTTCATTGTTCTGTTGTTGAGCAACTCACTCAATGTTCCTGTGCGTTGCAGGCCGCAGACGATGACGCGCATGGGGACGGCGCGGTCCGTCTTTGCCTCGGCATACTCATTCATGGTGAATTGCTTTTGAATACTAGACCCTTGAATGCTTGAAACTGAATGGTGAATCGAGATTGGCAAATATTGTGGTAGAAAAGCTGAGAGGGCGGAGTTGGTGATAAAATGGCGTTTGGGTAACGCAACCGCCCCCATCACAAGCCGTCTCACCTCTGATACTACACGAATCCCTGTTCCTTGTAGAATCAGGATCGATGTGCAAGGCCACTACCACTTCGCACCCCGTTTTACTCCTGGCACTCAGCACAGCTCAAAGCGTCATCCTTCGATTGATTGATTTCCTAGAGGCTCACTAATTTTAGATACATGCCATCATACCATGCGTCGAGGGTGATGCCGTTGCTGACCACATGACAGTTCCCTGTTCCATTTACCTCTCTGCTGCCTCGGCTTCATTCATGTAACACATCGGCTATATTGTGTCGATGATCTTCATTCAGGAGCCATTCATATGCGTATCACTAGAATATGTTACTTGTTGTCCACCCGTGGTACTTCATGGCTACGGATGGTCGGGCTATCGCCGTCCGAAGACCGATAGCCCGGGTAGGCTAAATGAAGCACTCAGCGCCGAAACCAAAAGAGTGTTTGTAAATCGGGCAGAATTAGAGTGGCTCGACTGCAATGGATAATCGATTATGGTCCGTTTCAACGTGTGTCATCAAGGCAATCGATGTCTCTTCGCCCACATGCAGAGCGCTTTTCTGATTTACCTGCTCAATATGCCGCTTCGGAAAGCTGTCCATGTGGATTCTACCGGAAACGCTTCCTGTCCGTCTGAACAAGGATCCCCGGCATGTCTCCAAGGTGAATCTCCCACTCATTTTCCAACAGAATCACTCTGTAAGAGTTGGTAGCCGCTTCTCGTGCTTTGTGCCTGTTTCTGGCCGTGAACTTCTTGCCGCTTGGCCCCTGCGTCTTCTCATGTTTTCACCTTACATGCAATACATGATGAATAGCTCGTCAACCACACCGATTTCGCAGATATCAAGGCATCCAACCTTTGGACAAGGCATATTGTCATTTTTATTTCCCGGCAAATGTTTCGAATCTTTTCAGCCATTTGTTTGCCTTTTGAACTCCCATCCAGGGTATCACTGCATCCATGTCTCACGCCTTTCGTCTCTTTCCACCTTCCGCCGCCTGCGCCCCCGTAGAATTCGCAGCCGCGCTGTTCGCCGCAAGAATCGCATCCAAAACCTCCGGACTCGTATTCAGCACGTCTTGAGACTCCGACTTGACGCGCTTGGGGTCCAGCTTGCCGACAAGGGGAACCGCCGTGGCGAGAATCTGCTGGAAAGGAGCAGCCACAAAGTAGCCGCTCTCGTCGAAGAAGGAGGCAAACGGCTTGGCAATCTCGATGATGCGCGACTTGGCGGACTTGTCCGTGACGGTGATGCTGAGGCGGTATGTGGGATCCAGCTTCTTCGTCGACGTGGCTACTGTAATCTGTGGGTGTCTCCTCGTCAGCCTTGCGCTCCTCGTTTCGCTTTGAGGGGTTGAGTCCGCTCCATACCTTGTCTCCTGATGGCGCAACACCCTGATAGACAACACCCTTCTCCACAAACATCATCCAGAACGTCAAGAGACCATTCAGCAGAGTGTAGACGGCCACGGCAACTGCTGTGTAGGTCTTGGTGCTCTCAAAGCCCAGCTTGTAGTCCCATGCAAAACAGGCGGCAGAGATGAGAAAGGCGCTGTAGCCGAGCACTAGTCGAACATCGCTGAGGAAGTGTGTCTGCTTGAACTTGAGGGAGTTGAGGTAGTTGGGGATCGCATCGTCGGCTGTGTTCTTGAGGTCTATAGTTATGGTCACGGTGTCAGAACAGGGTGGACTGAGCCGGTAGCGACGGTTGGAGGTGCACTGCAAGAAGAGCTGAGCTTACCTGCCAGATTATACAGAGAGACCTTCTCGGCGGCCATGGTGATTTTATTGTTCCGGTGATGCGAGACGGAACAATTGAAGATGCTGGTGTTGATCAGCTCGTCGGCTTATGGCAGAGGTGGCCTGTAAGTTAGCAGTTGGCTGCAGTGCTAACGCCCACTAAGATCGTGGGGATCTGTTCAGGTTACCTTGAGCTCAGTGGGCCAATCGACAGCGCTGCTGCTCCGTGCAGTGGGGCTGCCGGCTGAACGGCGGTAGGATACTCCGTGCTGCCAGAGCTGCAGCTGAGCTATGTACATGATTCAATCTTCCACCTCAGCCTCTTCACAAGCTCCCCCTCCATACCAGCAGCGTCATCGCCAGCTCCCAGGCCGCTCAATACGGGACAACAGCGTCCCATCATCGCGGTGACCAGCCGAGCGAATCCATCATGGCGCAAATACCGCCCCAGACCCTGCATAGGGATCCCCAGCTCTTGTTCGTATCCCAACGTCACAGCGCCGAGATATGGCGACCAACGAGCTAACGTGGCACTCCCGCGCATAGCTACTGGATCCTCATCCCCATCACCATCGTCATGGTCCTGACCGGCGTCCTTCGCCACTATGCATCCGTCCTCATGGCCACGACCCCGAAAAAGGCCGACATCAAAGCCATCCGCGAGCAGCGCGCCCTCGCTCACGGCGCCGCCCTACGGACCAACTACCACGTGCTGTCGCGCAAGTCATTTGAAACCCGACGAGACTTTCTCATTGAGGGATTCGAGTCCGGGGCCTACCTCAAGGCGCCTAACCAGAAGGGCCAGCCGCCGGCGAACCCAATGACGGACCCCAATGCTATGGAGGGCATGATGGGCATGATGAAGAACAACATGGCCATGATTATCCCCAACACGCTGATCATGAGCTGGATCAATGCCTTCTTCAGCGGATACGTCATCAGTATGGTATAATGGCTGTCCGATTCTCTGCTAGTGCTAACGACGAATAGTGAAACTGCCTTTTCCCATTACAATCAAGTTCAAGAGCATGCTGCAGGCGGGTGTCCTGACCAAGGACATGGACCCGCGGTGGATGTCCAGCATCAGCTGGTACTTTTTGTGCATTTTCGGTCTGCAGTTTGTCTATGTGTTCCTTCTTGGTAGTGACAATGGTGAGTTGACAAACGCAACCCCTACTGAACGATCCGGTCTAATAAGTCAACAGCCGCAAGCCAAATTGCTCAGCAGATGCAGGCCCAGCAGATGCCCGTTGGACCCATGGCTCCTGGACAGGATCCGAGCAAGATGTTCAAGGCTGAAGCCGAGAACCTGGCCGTCATTGAGCACTACTCTGTCCTGGACGGCATCGAGGAGCGACTGCTGGAGAGGATCAAGGTGTAGACTTTGTATAGCTCAACCAAGGGAACAACTGATTAATCCACTGTACTCTTTATTCGCTGTAAATCATCCAATCAGGCACCATCCCACCACAAACACACGCCCAGACCTTCGGCAGCCATGCTGCCTTTGATCTTGTAAGGCGTCTTCGCCGGCGTGTCTTCTGCTTGGGTGGGCCCGACTGGGGTCTGATCGTGCCATTCTTCGTCAATGACCTGGAAACGGACCATTTCGTGATTGTCGTAAAACAGGCGCTCTTCGTCAAAGTTCCATATCCAGATTTGTTCGCTGTGGTTACTGTCCTGCTGTCAGCTCTGTTGCTGCTGCTTCAACCTCAAGCCCATGGCAAACTTACTATTCAGCCCCCTGGGGGAGCTCCTCGTACGGCACAAAAATGTCGTCGAAAAAGTCTGTTCTCAGGTGGATGCCAGAAGGAGTCGAGCTACGTATCCTGCCAAGCATGACCTCTCCCTTGAAGGGCCTGAAGACGATCATCCGAAACTCGACTGTCGTCATGTAAGCATGATGAATGGCGGCGCAGAGACGAGCAGGGTTACCGTACCATTGACGTTGACGAGGCCGGTGCCGTGGCCTATCAAGCCTTCGGACGTCCATAGGACATCAAACAGAGATATGCACAGTCCGATCTTTTGAACCACCTTGTTTGCGTATTTGGCATTGATGTTGTCCTCAATCGCTACAATACTGTGCTTTGAGAAATCTTCTGGAGAGATTTGCACCAGGTCGGCGAATTTGGTCTGTGACTGCAGATTAGCCTTCTGTCGTGAGAGAGAGAGAGCAGAGATGATGCTATTCTGAGAGCATCAGCCACTTACGAGGATGAACATCTTGATCAGAATAAGGTGCTCAAGGACCACAGAGCCTTCAGCTGTAACTCATAAAGTGACGATGGACAAGCACAACCATAACGGACGAGACGCCGTCATATCACAACATGCATCTCTCGTCATCACTTTCACCCAACAAATGAAGCCCTTCAGTCTCATCCGCTGGCAGCCGAAAAGTAAAAAGTCAGTAAATCCAGCTCGAGGCGACAGCGCCTAGTCCATATCCGGCTAGCGCCAGTGCCCGCCGTCCCGGACCATGTCTCACCGCCTGCTCACAATGGCCTAGCGGCCACCTTTTGCCCAACCGCACTTAATGTTCATTTTGCAGCCAAGGTCAGACATCGTGGAACTTGCCGTCCGATTGCCATCTTGTCACCGTCCAGCAGCATCTGTGCAGCGTCTCTGAGGCGCCACCACCGCTTGTCCCAGGTCCTCCGGCAGCGGGATTCTCTCCAGGTCGTCGCTCTCTGTCCATTTTCCTTCTTGTTTCGATTGTGTCCCGAGTTGTCGTCGTTGAATTGCTCCTCCTGCACCGAACCGCCCTCCGTCGAGTCCGAGAAGTCTCGAAGTCCGACGCTCACCGTCTTGTGTCTCTGTCTCTGGCCCCCTTTTTGCTCGAATCATCCCAGCAGCCGATTGTGTGTCTGCATCAACCTCTGCAGCAGAAACCAGGTCCGCATTGCGCCAGTTCTCATGACCCCTTGAGCAATGTCGACGTACAACTACGCACCACCACCCCCTCCGCCCCCTACGTCTGGCGGCGCCGGCTATGGACAGTCGAGTTCGACTCCCTACGGCCAGGGCCGCGGCGGCGGGTCAGGCAGCCGTAGGGGCGGCCACTATCACGGCGGTCGGGGCGACTATCACAGCTCGCAGCCGCGGTATGAGTACGCTGGGCAGCCATATCCTCCTGCCCAACACGCAGTCCCGTATGGCAGCGCTCACCCGCCGGCGAATGGCTATCCGACTCCCCAGCCGCAGTGGGCTCCCGAGCACGGCCATGCTCCTGCGCACCACGCCCATCCGCATGCTCCCATGCCGCTCTCTGCGTCCAACTACCATCCGAACTACGCCCCTCAACCGTATCCCCCGTCCCAGTATCCCCAGCAGGCTCCCTATGCAGCCCCTCAGCCTTACCCCTATCAAGCACCCCCTCCTCCACCGAGCCAGCCGCCGCAGTGGAACAGTCAGGGAGCTCCTCAGGCATTTGGCCCCGGTGGTAGAGGCCGTGGAGGCTACGGTGACCGCGGTGGCCACAAGCAATCTCACAGTGCACCTCCCGTCCGTCACGGCCACGAGTATGATGCGGCGCACCCTCCGATGATCGGCGGATTCCCCCAGCCGTACCCCCCTGATCCTCGAGTTGCTCATTATCCTCCACCGCAATATGCTTACACAGCACCTCCACCCCCTCCCGTTAGCTCTCGCCATTCAGACTCTCCCCACAGCCAGTATTCTCGTCGAGGTCGTGGCGGACACAGAGAGGGCGGCAAGGGACGAGGTGGTCATCATCATTCTCATCACCATGGAGCGGGTGATAAGGCACGCCCTCCAAAGCAGTCGGGTAACCATGTTGACAGTGCTGCAAAGCCCGACAAGCCCGAGTCTCCTTCGGCCGGCAAGAAGAAGAAGAGAAAGACTAACACTCTGGGCTTGACCCCGGGCGTCGATTCGGAAACGGAAGACGATGAGGGAGAGGAAAAGACACTCACGGAACTCATCGGCCAGGAAGCCCTCAAGTAAGCAATCCGATGTCCTCGTTGTCCGCTGCGTCGCCACTAACCACCGTTTCCTGGCGTAGCATCAGCGATGTTGCAGCTTTCATTGCAGAGCGAAAGAAGAAGTTCCCCACCAGAGCGCGCGTCGAAGCCAAAAAGGCCGCCGAGTTGGCGCAACGGGAAGAGGACAAGGCTGCCTCTTTGGAGAAGGAGGCCGACAGACTTAGAAAGCAGCTGCGCAAGGTCGAGTTTTCCATCAAGAGAAAGCGAGAACAGGGCGATGAAGGCGACGAGATGCGCGACCCGTCCGAAGACTCTTCGGACGACGAGCCAGAAGTCATGTCCAGCCGTACCCAGACGGCCCCTCCTTCTGCCCCAGCCAACAAGGCTGACATCACCAGACACTGCAAGTACTACTCTACCGGTGGAACGTGCGGTAAGAAGGGCAAGTGCCGCTTCGTCCATGATCCCCAAGCTCGGGAGGCGGCCATCAAGGAACGCGAGGCCAACAATGGTCGCCTAACCATTCAGCAACGCTTGATTTTGAACGACAAGGAGCAAGAAGACCTGGCCGTCCTGCAGTCTATCCAGTACCTTCGCGAAAAGGGACTCATGAACGCTGCTGGAGCGTCAGCGGCGGTCCAGACCAACGGCGAAGAAAAGAAGCCGACGCCTGTCTCCGCACCTACTAGACCTGAGTCCGCATCAGCACCTGCGCCTGCTCCTGTTTCTGCCTCTGCTTCTACACTGCCTCCCTCTACGTCTTCCCTCCCTGCCATCCCACCTCAGCCCGCCAAGAGGGAGCCGCCTCGCAGAAGCAATCCGCCTCCCTCCATCATCCCCACGGCTAATAGTTCCAGCACTCAAGGAATCCGGCACTATCAAGGCTGGCTCCTGAAGCCGTATGGAAGCTCAAGTGGCAAACAATCGCAGAGTGACGATCTTCCTTGATTCAGTTTGCGTTTGCACACATGTCTTTATATACACCGCCTCCCCCTACTTGCACAAAGTCTCGGCACCAGCCACTGTTGGCCTTGGGACGTTGTCGAACCTCGATTCTGCAATTCATGGGGCGCTTTTTGGTTGTACTCTTTTGGTTTTTCAAGACTGCATCGAACAAAAAAAATCATCGGACGGCGTTGGCTTCTCAGTTTTCGTTTGCAAGTGTAACAAGGGTCGACTTGTGGGCAGGAGGGGCGTCTTCGGTGATATTTACAATGAAGACGCCCCCGTGCCTGATTGTTTCAAGAGCAGCGTTTCCTCTCAAGTTGGATAAGGGCTCGGCCAGTAGCTCACAAAAGAGCCCAGAGTTAGGTATCTTGCGGAATATGGCGAGCAGAAAACAAGTCATTCTGCCTTGAAGGCGTATGATTTCTTCTAAAAATTGACTCTTTATAGGATCCAGATTGCTCCGGTTTTGCTCCGGTTTGGGAAAAGTGGTGGAAACTTTGGTCCATTTTACCTGCTTTTTGCCTGTGTATCTGCAAACACATGGAATCCAAAAGAAAAAAGAAAAGAAAAGGGTCACTGCTAGATATTGTTTCTTTCTTCTTGTTTTTGTCTTTCTTCTCGGATACAGGGTCCTGTTGTATAGTACGTTGCAGTATCAAAATCAAATCAGACTTCATTCTATCAGACATCGTTCCCTTAACACTGCTCGAACAGTCCCGTTTTCATCAAATGTTTTGCTTGGTATACCTAAGGTAACTAAAGCATAATCGACAAATTATAAACGCTGTATCGACTCTCCCTAGTCAAGAGAATTGACGCGAAAGAAGCAACTACCTAATAAGTCTAGCTAATGGAACGCAGAATACTGTCCGAACTGCCGCGTAAAATCGAGAAAAGAAAAATTCCTAATTCTGCGCCATACAATGCATAAACAAAACTCCAATCCTGTATAAACACCGCTGGCGGGGGGAGAAAAACAAACCAAAAGCTAACAGCATGACCAGGAAAAGGGGATGGGTAGAGAGGAGCAAATAGGGGTGGGCTGTATATGTGTGTGTGTGTGTGTGTGTGTGTGCGTGTGTGCAATAGAAAGCAGCAGGGAACATTGAAGTCCATAGAACAAGAGCCTGCAGCAGACTCTGTTCTTCTTTGAAAGGTGTAAATAAAGGAAAAACTCCGTCGCTAATGACTCTGAAATGGCAAGACACACGAGCAGGTGGAACCATTTCTCCGCTGCGAAATTCGCTGGCACACTCGACGATCTTTCATTTCCTCCCCCTGAGCTTCATTCCATGAATGCCAACTTCCCAAGCGCGACTTTGAAATTAATGTACGCAAATGAACCAACCCCAACGCCCCAAGGAGAAAGGGAAGGAAATAAAGCCATACCAGAGGACTGTATCCTCCGTTAGCGTCGGTTGGCCCGCAACGCTTCGAGAGCTTTGCGCTTCTTCTCTTCCTTGGCCATCTTGAGAGACCTCTCGAGCTGCTCCTCCCGCAGATCCTCGCGGCGAGCGATCCGCTCAGCCATCCGCTCCTCGTCGTCAATGTCTTCCAGGCCGGCCTCCATGTCGGATGAGCCATCAGACGCATAACCGTAGCGCGGACCCTCGTCTTCCTCGTCGTCATAATCGATGAAGTCGTCCATGTCCTCGTCATAGTCATCCTCGTACCGGGATCGTCGGTTGGCCCCGGGTCGGGGCGGAGGGGCGTTGAGCAGGGCACCGCCGCGTGGGGCGTTGCTCTTCTTCGATGTGTTGCCGGGTTTGGGGCGGGCTGTACCGGTATAGCCGGTCGTTGCCAGGGCTGCCTTCTTCACCTTTTTCTCGGGCTCCGGTGCCGGCGCCTTCCGTGACGACGTCATGGCCTTGCCAGGGGTTCGGGACGCAGCACCGTTCGCGGTTTTCGAGGGTGCATTTCCATTCGTACCGTTGCGCTGTACCGGCCTTGCTGATCCCTTGTAGCCGACTGGAGGTTTCCTGCTCTGAGCATCGGATGGTGCACCCTTCGCATCGGTCCCCTTTTCCCTCTTGATAGCCCCCTTCTCGACCTTTTTATGCTGGATCTTGCCCACCTGACCCATTACCTCTTGGGCCCGTTGAGCCCGTGCGAGGATTTCGGCATAGGAGCCCTTCTTCGGAGGCGCTTTAGGCTTGTTCGGGTCGACTAGGGGCGCGGACGGTGGTTTACTAGCAACAGCAGGCTTCGCTGGTCGACTGGCAATAGTGACTGGCTTCGAGGGGTTCGGGGTCGTGACTGGCTTCGAGGGGTTCGGGGTCGTTTTCGGCAGGGTGGTGCTCGCAGGCCGCTCTGGGGCCTTTGTTGGCTGTGTGAACAGACGCGGTGTCTTGGCGTCGGCCCTGGAAATATCATCATCTGCCTTCCGCTTGACCGAGACGCTTGGTTGTCGTTGAACGGCGGGCGCAGGGCTGTCCGAGGACTGGCCACCGGTGATTTGAGCCAGGAGGTCCCCGATCTGGTAACCCACGTTAGCCACCACAGGCGCTGATGCCCAACACCCCAGGGACTGGGCGAGAACAAGAAGGGGAAAAAAAAGCGACAAACTTACCGGCATCGTGACTGCGTGAGACCTGTGCTTCTTCGATTTCGTATACGTTCCAGAAGAGTTTCACGTAGCCCTGCCGAGATATTCACACGCCGTGATGCATAGATGACGCCGCTCCTCCGCTCGACCGGCGAAGAGCAAAGCGAATCGGCACCGACGCAGCCTCCCCTCACGCAACGCAACGACAGGAAAGACCCTGGAAGGGGCGTCTATCGGACAGGATGCGCGCTTCGACGAACTTGGAGGACGTTGTTGATGGAAATGAAGTAAAAGAATACTTTGAAAGGCGGGTAAGATATGCAGCGCTTCGTCTGCAGAGATAGACAAGTAAAAGTGACACTTTTTCTCCTCCCAGGATATCTATCACGTCAAGAGAAAAAGCGTTGATTAGGTGAGAGGCTGGCCAGCGCACCTTTTGCCGGTAGAGCTACGGATGAAAAAGGGCGGGCGCCACACTGCGCTGGACGAGGCAAGGATCCACGTGATGCTCAAAGCAGCCAGCCTGTGGCGGTGCGATAAAGGCACCGTCGTGAGGCTGAGGATCCCCGGCAGCCGGAGCTGCTTACGTACTGCCCGACTCCACGGCCCTAAAGCGGATCGCCCTGTGGTTTTTTTCGGCTAAGCAGCTCTTTTTAGCGCCCACAGGATTTGTGCGGTAAATTGCCCTGGCGACTTTCTACTTGGGGCAACTTTTTTTTTCCCTTCCGACACCTTTTCTATCTCAACCAACTCAAACCACCAGAACTCGAAGGTTTCAGTCTCCGCCCAACTTGCGGTTAAAGTGATTGATTTCTCGTGTTCCTCTTGAACTTCAAAAGTGAGTGTCTTTGTTCTCTCTATCCCCTTTGACAGCTGCGCATTGCCATCGACGTCAGGTCGTGCTACCTCCTGCCCCTCGTCGAGCTGCAGAATCAGCTGTCAGAGATATCACAAAAACTCCGATACTAACAGATTCTTTCCTCGCAGAACCTTCAAAATGAAGCACCTCGCAGCCTACCTCCTCCTCAACCTCGGCGGCAACGCCAGCCCCTCTGCCGAGGACATCAAGTCCGTCCTCAGCTCCGTCGGCATTGAGGCCGAGGATGAGCGTCTCGAGAAGCTCATCTCTGAGCTCTCTGGCAAGGACGTCAACGAGGTATGTCTTTTTTAGCATACCTGAAAGGAATTCTGAAGAGGCAATCCAACTAACAATTTGTTCAGCTGATCGCCGCTGGCTCTGAGAAGCTCGCCTCCGTTCCCTCTGGCGGTGCTGGTGCCGCTGCTGCCGGTGGCGCCGCCGCCGGTGGTGCTGCCGCTGCCGAGGAGAAGGCCGAGGAGAAGAAGGAGGAGGAGAAGGAGGAGTCCGATGAGGACATGGGCTTCGGTCTCTTCGACTAAGCGCTCCATTTCCAAGGATGCGCAAAGTTACGACCCTCTACGATTTTCGGAAAAGTTGCGAGCATGTTGGGCGGTTGGTCTCGGATGGCTCTGGTGGCATTGGAGGATTGATCGCTCGTGGATGGCTTGGCGGCCGGTATAGGTTGGCATAGAATATCCAGTCAAGAAATTGACGACTTGCCGTTTTCTCGAATATTGTTGATCTCGATTTCTGTGCTGCGTGTAACCGTGAATCTGTGATTGCAAGTCGTGATCGACATGGTCATTGATATGGACATCCATCTTATGCGGATTTGCCAACGAATAAAGAAAGTACACTGCCTGATTTCTACCGGTCGTTCTACAAAACTTTGTCCTGGTGCTTCTGTTAGAATTGTTGAAGCAAATCCGCAGCGTACGTCTGCACTCCACCCAGCCCGACTACCCTGCAACAGGGGGCTCGTCAAGGGGGGAGGGATTCTCGAAGACCAACTTCTTAAACCAAGAGGTGCCCTCTTCCATTGGAATAAACTACAAGTCAAATAGAATCGACTTGCTCATCCGCAAAGTAGTATTTCCGTAAATTAATAAATGCAACCCAAAAGCATAACATGCTAACTAAATCCCAATCCTCGTCTCATAAAATATCATCAGCTACATATCTCATACTCATGCCAAACCCCATTAGATCCAACACAGAAAGCAAATTCAAAAGCGCCCAAGATACAATCCTTTCAACTCCCCTCAGATCTCAAAAGCTCAATCCTCATACCATGACTTATCCGGCCTATACGCACTCTCCGGCGCAGCCCACGAAAACAGGCGCGATCTCGCCTCGCTATCAAGCTCCTCATATCTGGGCAGAGTCGGCCCCCCATTCTCTCCAAGTGTGTCAGGCACGGGCGAGATTTCAACTCCTTGGCTTTGTCGTTGAGGATTCCGCTGCTGCTGCTGCTGTTGTTCTCGTTGGTCCGGAGAAGGGGACATTGGCCTGCGAAAGTTCCAGTTAAGACAAGTAAAAGAAAGAAAAGGGGAACACGGTGAAAGAAATAGCTGTACTAACGGCCAATTTGCAACGTCGAAGAAACCTCTTCCACCATTCAGAACAACTTACTTATGTGACACCACGCTGGCCCCGTCCAGCTCCTTCACAACAGGAGGTTGAAAGCCACAAATAGACAACCCATCAACCCGCCTCTCCGTCGACCCATTCCCCGGCTTAATAACCCCCAAAGATTCCACTGTATCGGGGATGTCAGCAGGAAGTTCAACCGCAGGCTCAGCCGGAAGCTCAGCAGGGCCCTCAATGTGCTGCTGCTGCGGCTGCTTGGCATCGGGCTTCCCCTTTCCCCAAACAGTCCCGAATCTCGTCTTCACAACCCCTAGCCCGGCACCGACATCCCTCATGGAAAGACGATGATCGCCGTCATGTGCAAAACGCCCTCCACCGCGTCCTCGTCTCCCAAAGAAAAAGAAGAGCGCTGCCACGAGACAAAAGAGAGCACCGCTTCCGATGGCAATACCGGCGATTTGCGCGGCACTTATATGTGTAGATTGGGGTGCGGAGGAAGGCGCGTGGTACTCGGTTTGTTTGGCATCTGGGGCTGTGGACGTTGACGAGGTGGACAAAGTTGACAAGGTTGACGAAGTTGATGAAGTTGACAAAGTCGGCAGAGGCGATATTGTCGGGGTGATTGTCACTCGAATGACAGGCAACGTGAAGAAGGCCGCAAGAGACGAGGAGGATGAAGCCCATGTCATGGATGAGGAAGATTCAGTGTGAGTCTCAGTAGTAGTCGAGGTAGCAGTCGACGCCTCAGTCATCGTCGCAATGTCAACATCCGATATCCTATGGATCCCTGACAAACACAATCTGGTCAGTATCATCCCAAGTCCAACAAGGTGATGCTTCGCATGTATACATACTAGTCGCCGTCGTAAGTATCCCATCATACCGCACATAAGTAATCGTCGACGTCCAAATCGACACAAAAGCCCGGGAGGGTATCCCCATCCCAGCCCGTAACTCTGGTCCTCCGAGCACATTCTGCCCCAACAAGGCTCCTGCAAATGCCACTATTCGGAACCACAACACCATGGCTTCAAGACAAAAGAGCCCAGGATCTTCTGCAAACAAACTGTCAAAAAGATACCGTTATCCGCAAACCAGCTGCGAAGTCAAAAAGAAACCCAGACTGAAAAAGAAAGAACGAACTCAAGGCTAGAATGCAGGCCGTAGACTAACCTATCTGCCACCTTAATGTGCGAGCAGAGCAAGCGAACAAGTATGAGTTACCTTAGGTGGGATCCCTCCCGAGCTTGTGAGTATTATCGTCAAAGACCAACACCCACTGCACGACGGATACGTACATGAAACGCAATGCATGTACCACATAACAACACATCTACACATCAAGGCAGAAGAAGAAAAAGCTCGGCGGTCACAGAAAGGCAATGGCCACGATGCGGCGTTCCGCATCCTTTGGAGCTGCGAGAAGCGCACACAAAGTGGCCGGATTGGGGATGTCGTCAAACCCTCCAAAAGAAAGGGGAAGGGAGGGGCCCGTATGCGATGCATGTTCCCGTCTTGTTAACGTTGGGCTTGCTTGCATGGGATACTGCAGGATATTGCAGTAGATTGGCTGCGAGTGATTCGAATCAATGAAGTTGTAGTTGTTGAAGATTCGTTTAACGGATAGATATTCTATGGAGGGTTTGACTGCGTCAGAGCTGGCCTCCCAGCCCTCTGTTCTTCGGCTCTTTCTTCCTAATAAGGCCTGCTGCTTTCGTGGCTGCCTGCCGCTGGATTGCGCCGTTGGGATCACAGAGGACGCCCAACCGCACTTCACTCTTGGTGGTGAGCGTTTCTGATACATACGCGTCCCATCCAACAGACGCCTGGTCCAGGCTAACGTGCGCGTGCTTCGGCTGTACTGACGCTCTGGTAGGCCGGACGCTCTCCTCTCAACTGCTTTTCCCAAACAGCTGTAGCCATCTTCACTGCGTCTTCGTCTTGACCTTGGCGCCGCTGGGCAGAAAGCCTGTTTCTCGTAACAGCCTCCAGATACACCACAAATAGCAGACAAAGAACCCTGCCGCACCCACACCAACATTCGCAACTACCCACAGGTCTGGCTTGCCCGGCGGCGGCTCGACAAAGGCCTCGACGACATGCCACGCCGCCATCGCGGCGTAAAAAGTCCCCTGCAGAAGAGCTGTGCCCCATTGAACGACCTGAGATTGTCCTTCTTGAAAGGGTGCGCTCCAGGACGTAGGAGGGAGACCAAGGAGATACGCCCAAAGCAGAGTGAAGACCGCATACGGAACTCGAAGGTCGACGCGGTGCAACAAAGGAAACATTGTCCAAGCGCCCAGGAGGTTGGCAAAGCCCACCCAGGCACGGACTTCGCCGCTCATGCCGTGTTTCCCAGCCAGAAGCAGCGTCATTGGCATGAGCGGAAGAAGAACGCTCTTCTCGTGAACCTGCCAGCTGAAGAGGAAGAAACCCCATGCCGTGGCCGCAAAGGCAGGCGGGAGCGCTGACTTTCGAGGGCGCAGAAACAGGATGATGTTGGGTGGGAGAATGGATGCAAGGGTGGCCACGAGAGCCGCTTTCTGCAGAAGATGGACAGGGTAGTTGCGCAGCTTGATGACCGTGTTAAGAGCACACCAGAAGTTTGCAACCTTGTCCTCAAAGAGACCGCGGGCAAATGGAAACACACGATGAACCATCTGCCCGAGCTGCTCGAAGATGGGATAGTAAAAGTGATCAGGGCTGATGTAGTTGGCAACAAAAGGCGTAGCTCCTTGTCCTTTCAGCTCGGGACTCGGATCGATGCCTTGCTGCTTGTCGTAGAGAGCGCCAAGGGCCAGAGGGAGAACCAGCACGCCGAAAGAGACGACGGTCACCAAGGCAATGCCAATCAGCCGGGTGGGGTTGATGCCCGTGGTGACACATCTTCCCAGCAAATAGGAGAAGACACTGAACGCGTAGTAGAGTGCCATTTGCTTAAAGCCTAGGGCAGCGACAAACAAAACAGCCGCCCACATGTATCGTTCGGCAAGCATGCTCGACATACTGCCCACGACAAAGCCCAGCATCACCGTGTTGTACTGGAAATGCACATGGTCGATAAGGATCAGCCCTGGCTGCATCAGAATGGCCACAAGGGCCAGGTTGCTCGTCCAGGTGCTAATGTCGCTCAGTCTGCTGAAGCGTCGCACAAAGACCGTGACGGCAGGAATAAAGATGAGGTATTCAGACACAATAACCGTCGCCCTCATAAAGATCTTGAGCATTGGGTCGTGGGAGCCGCGCGAATCCACCAGGGCGAACCAGTCGGGGTTGATCATGGAGCCAATCTTGCCCAGAACCCAGCTGTGGTAGGCCGTGAGAGGAGGATAGTCGAGCCCCCACCACTCCAGGTCGTGAAAGTACCACTGAGATATCGGCAGATGCGTCGTGAGCTCCATCCAATGGCGCTGGGCCTCGTAGTCGCCGAACATGGGAGGTCGCTGGAACCCTAAAGCCGCTGTCAGTCTACAGAACCACCGCCGCGAGAGCTTTCAATCCGCTCACCAGAGTACCCCCAGAGCCCGGCCGCCCATCGGAACAGCCCGACGACCATCAGCACCAGCGGCAGCACCTCCCATTGCGACAGCGACGTCCGCGCCGGCCACAGGAAGGCCGCCAAGGGAAAGGCCGGAGCGCGCAGCTTGTCGATGTCGCCCTTGTTGGCTTTCCGCCGCGGCTTGTGCGCAGGACTTGTGGCGGGCATGTTTGTGTGTCACCGCATGGAATTGAGGAGCTGTGACGGCGATGCTGGCTGGGAATTGGCAGTCCTCTAGCTGTGGAAGAGAGAGAGAGACTGTCGACAGCTTGACAAGGGCGAAGTTGAAGGTTGACGGGACACTTGGAGCTTATGCGCCGTGCCAGATTGGGGAATTCCAGTGGCGCGCTAACATCTCCGAAGTCCGCTGAAGAATTACGGTGCGGATTGGTGGCTCAGTGACACACGCACACTGTATTGTGATGCTCGGTGTACGGGCCTTGAACAGGTGATGAATGCCAAGGCTGTGGTGACATCAAAGCGTTCTTTTACACCGCCCTCGCCTCGTGATATAACCGTCAGTCTTTCAATCGATATCAGAGCCTCAAACTGTCTCTCAACAATCATGCCATATCCCTTTACTCTTCCAACCACGTCCGCCTTCTCCTTCTCATCGTCCTTCTCCTGCGACTCTCATCCCTCGCTGCCCCTCAGCGCCAGCACGTACCGCGGGGTCGTCCGCGATGCCCTCAAGAAGCACAAGCGACTCCCGCCGTCCTCGCAAACGGCCAATCTTAGCACCGTCATCTCCAGCCTAGAGCACTATCTCCCGTATCTCGCCGCGGTGGACGCCGGCCTGAGCAACCAGCCCGTCGGCGGCGAAACCGTCACCACAATCCTGGAATCAACTCCCTCCATCTCATGGCGGCCTACGCTGTCCGGCGATCTCGTGCCTGGACGCGAACGCCCCCGCGTCAAGATCATCTCACTGGAGCATGAGCTCTACTTCACACTGTCGACCTTGGGCTTCGCCAATGTCTTGATGGCAAGGGCCACGCTGCAGCCCCTGTATTCCACAACTCTCGACTTTCAGGGGGGTCAGGAGAGGACGACTGTGATGACGACGGCGACAAAGTATCTACTGGAAGCCGCTTCCATATACGACTACGCTGCCACAAGAAGTGAGCAAATCATCGGTAATCCGCCTTGCGTCGACATTTCGCCCGCCACGCTCCGAGCCCTGGCTTCTCTCTGTCACGCCGAGGCAACGCTGTTGGCTGTACTAAAGGACGACCCTTGGCCCGCGGCCGTGGCGCAGGATAGGAACAAGAGCGACAAAGAATGGATGTTCAAAGCGCCCGACATCCCCAAAGTCCGGGCCCATCTCTACGCCCGCCTCTGCCTCGCCGCATCGGAACATGCTGCAAAAGCCGCGGCACTATGCCAATCAGCGAGGTCAGCATCAGGGGCAGGTATCAGCTCAGGGTTTCTGCGGTACTTGGAGGACTTGCGGCGGACCAGCCGCGCAAAGGCCTGCCGCTTCTTTGGCATTGACGCAGAGCTGGGGCGAGATACGGCGCAGGGAATTGCCTGGGCGCGCGCCGGCTTACACGAGCTCGGCGTGGAGGCCAAGGACACCAACGCAAAGAAAGGCCTGAGCCTGAGTCGCACGATTAAGGGCCTCAGTGAGAAGAGGGAAGATCGCCGAGTGGACAAGGAAACCGCCTGGGGAGCCGACGCCGGGAAACTAGAAGAGACCCGGATCCTCGAAATGCTAGACGCAAAGTGGAACAAGATTAACGATACGGTAAGCCCTGTACATGGTGATACCGTCGAGTCTCCGTGCTAACCGTGTTGTATAGATGAACACGCGGCCTATTCCGCCTATAAGCGCGTTGATCAACAAGATGCCTTCAGGCCGCGAGATTCACTCCATCAAGCCGTACCAGCTCCCGAGTCTGGATCGAGATGTGCTCGAGGCTATGCGTGCACCTCCGGAAGGCGGCGAACCTCTCGAGGGTGAGGCTAGCTCTGACGATGAGACTCTGGTAGATACAACAGCCAGTGATGCGTACAACAGGAGCGGGACACCAAGGGGCCAGTATTATTGAGCTTTGGACGTTCATGGGCGTTGGCATGTAAGCTGTACGGAGTTTTGGATACCACAAGTCAAAGGTCAGGATATATGTAGCAGATAGCTGTCAAGCAGAGAGCGTATTCACGCTTCTTTCATTCATCTAGGTGCTAGTCAAAGATGCTCTCCATCGTCCCAAGCCCATCGAGGGACCACGAAAGAAGCCATATCCTCAACAGAGAGACGCTCAGTGAAACCAAGGGTCGTCCGGGCTAGGAATAAACGGCACAGGCTCCTCATCCCACTCCGGCTCCTCCGGCTCCTCAGGCTCAGGCTTCTTATGCCCCTTAGGCTTCTTAGGCTCCTTTGGCTCCCCAGTCTCCTTAGGCTCTTCAGGCTTCTCAGGCTCCTCGGACGCCTCCGGCTCCTTGGGCTCCTCCGCCGCCTCCCCAGGCAAAGTTTGCGTCGTGTTGCCCGAGTCAGTCAGGTCAGGGGGACACTCAGGAATCGTGATATTCCATGGCAGACAAGCAGGAACACAACTATCCAACCAAATCAGTCAATGCACTCAAACCTACCGCCAAACTTGGCAGAGTCCCAACTTCGACTAGGTAGAAAGGGAAAAGGGGGGTAAACGTACTCTCCAAAGGGGATCCCACACGCATTCACCCCATCCACACAAACAATGATATCTTCGCAATCCTCATCACCGTCCTCCGGGAGAGGCGTGAATGGTGTCGGAGGTTCCGTATCAAACCACGCATGCAGGTAGGGAATCGTACAAGCAGGCGCTTCAGGAGCATCTTCGAGGCAGGGGTCGTAGCAACTATCAAGGATTTCTCATCAGCACGGCACCCCAGAAAATCTCCAGTTGGAGCAAGATGATTGAGAAATGGAAAGTTGTGAGGGAAACAAGTAAGATGAATACATACCCTCCGTATCGTTCGCCGCACTCATTCACGCTGTCCACGCAAATGATGCCACAAACCGCATCTGCACCCGTCGCCAAAGCCGCCGCTCCTCCGAGCATCGCGACAAACACGGCAGCAACAGCCCTAGAAGACATATTGAACGATTTTTCCCTAGGTCAAAAGATACGAGTAAGGTTCGCTTTGAATAGGTGTCAAGGGACAGCGAGACGTTATATGTTTGCGAAGAAGCCGATCTGCAGAGGCCACGAAACAGTCTCTTCACTCGCAAGCAAATGAAGAAGACAAAGTCGTGCCTGCCCCAGATCTGTAGACGAGACGAGGGATGAGCGACTTAAGTGTGACAGGATAACATGATCGACAAGGGACGGACCGACTCGGCGCAAGGGAGGATGGCCAAGACGGAGGTGTCGGACGGAGTATGCTGGTGTCTCCAGGCTGGAATGCAGAGACTCACGATGTAGCAACATCAGCTCCGGAGTGAATCACCCTGACTAACAGAATTGGAAGAGATTCTTGACATAACATCGAGCCTGGACACGCCAAGAGTGTGAATGGTAAAAATAGATTTGCTTCTCCCTAATCGAATATCAATGAATACAATTCCATCGGTGATTAATACACAGCGGCACCGGAACCCCCAAGATATCCGCCCAATTTTGTTGCTTTGCCTCCTCCTCCTCCTTCCATTCCCATCACCCTATCCACCCCTCCACAATATCAAAACTTCTGTTATGCGCCAAGAGCCATCTGCTTCTTGATCTCGGCGATGGCCTTTCCGGGGTTCAGACCCTTGGGACAGGCACGCGTGCAGTTGAGAATGGTGTGGCAGCGGTACAGGCTCATTGAGTTCTCGAGCTTGGTCTTGCGCGCCGCCGTGCGCTCGTCTCGGGAGTCGACCAGCCATCGGTACGACTGCAGCAGGATGGCGGGGCCGAGGTACTCTTCGGAATTCCACCAGTACGAGGGGCACGAGGTCGAGCAGCAGGCGCACAGGATGCACTCGTACAGGCCGTCCAGCTTCTTCCGGTCCGCCTTGCTCTGGCGGTACTCCTTGCCCTGTGGTTTTTCAGTTAGCGAAACGTCTCGTCAGGGGGGCAAACATGTAGTGCTTCAAGCTGGGTGAGCGTACATCTTCAGCAGGGGTGTCGCGCTGCAGATAGGGCTGGATGGACTTGTACTGCTTGTAAAAGTGCGTCAAGTCGGGCACCAGGTCCTTGACAACGTAGGTGTGAGGCAGGGGGTAGATCTTGACGTCGGACGACGACTCGGCGGGGATCCGGCACAGGCATGCCAGCGTGTTCTGGCCGTTGATGTTCATGGCGCAGCTGCCGCAGATGCCCTCTCGGCAGCTCCTCCGGAACGTCAGCGACGGGTCCTGCTCGTTCTTGATCTTGATCAGGGCGTCGAGGATCATGGGGCCCGTCTTGTTGAGGTCGATCGAGTACGTCTGCAGCCGCGGCTTCTCGGTCGGGGTGTCGGGGTTCCACCGGTAGATCTGGAACGACTTGATCTTGGGCTGCTGCTCCGTTGTCTCGCTGACCGTCGCCATGGAGCGCGACAGGACGGCGCTGGGGCGGAAGGCTGCCCTCGCGGAGGAGCCGAGGATGCGTGAGGAGGAGCGGAGAGCGGCCATGGTGACGAATTGTCTCGTGGTGTTGCTTCGAGGATTCTGTGTCTTGTCTGGTGCTCGGGGTTGCTGGGATTTTTCGGAATCTGCTTGAGCCCCGCGATGGACGACTTTGCGCTGCAGAGGCTGATCAGGGGAAGATCGGAGTGGCGGGATATATAAATCAGATCGGATTCGGGGCTCTCAGGGCTCGTAATTCCTCCTAGCAGCCGCGCAATGGCGAAGTTTGTCTGGTGGTGGCGTCTCGACGTCTCGTCGTCATGGAAGAAGCTGCGGGTGGAAGTGGCTCTTCCTCGGCTATGAGGCCTCGATACAAGGCTCCGGGGCAGCCAATCAGCGCGCAGACATTGACAATTCGGCTAAGCAGGAGAAAGTCGGGATGGACGATCCCGTGACAGCGGAGCTTGTACCTAGGTACCCTTACCGACGGCAAGCTCGAAGCTCGTGACAGCCGGCAGAAGCTCGGGTAAATGGCCGCCGCATTAGCTAATCATTACGTGCCTTAGCGCGGAAGAGGCGCTGCAAACGCTGCTCGTGGCTCGTGGGGGGGATTTGGTGGGGTTGGATAATCTCGATTGAGAGAGTCTTGATTATCCCGATTATCCTGGTTATCCTCGCCGTGCAAACGCCTCGCCTCACCCTCGTCTCTTCATTTCGGCGCAGACGGAATCACTGCGCCTCTGCCGCGGTACCTCGAGAGACTCTTCTTTTTGCTGGAGAATGGCGAGCGACTTGTCTCTCTAAAGTATTGCCGGGATTGGCGATTGCGCGCCGTTGATCATCTTTGATTCCTCGCGACAATCCAGCGCAGTCCAGATCTTGTAGACGGCCATGTTTCTCTCGGGCAGGTTGCCTGCCTCGCCATCACTGCGAACGCTGTATCATGGTTCGTCCCTCGGACAAGGACAAGTCTGCAAAAAGCCACTTCCGCTAATCCACCCTCTCGAACAGCCTCCAATTGCGCATCCAGAACGGCCCGGTTCATGACCCCGAGGTCTGTCTCGCAGCCGCAGCGTTTCTACTCCGATTTGCCCTCATCTTCCAAGTTCTCCTACCACATTGCCGCGTCCTTCATCGCCAAAGACCGCCCCTACGACCCATCGACTCACGTATTCCACTTCAACCCCTACAACCGAATCCAGCCGCCCCGACACCGCCGAAAGTCGTCGCGCCCCGATTCCGGCCACGATGCCTTCTTCGTAAGCCGGGTCAACGAGTCCGGCTCCGTGGCCTTTGGCGTCGCAGACGGAGTCGGCGGATGGGTGGACTCGGGCGTCGACCCTGCGGATTTCTCGCACGGATTCTGCGACTACATGGCCGCTGCGGCATACGAATATCCCGCGACAAGCAATGCGCCCCTCACCGCACGGAAGCTCATGCAGAAGGGATACGACGCGATATGCAGGGACCCCAACGTAGCTGCTGGAGGAAGCACGGCCTGTGTCGCCATTGCGCGACCCGAGGGCGTCTTGGACGTGGCCAACCTGGGCGACTCGGGATTCTTGCAGCTGCGCCTCAACGCGGTGCACGCCTATTCGGAGCCGCAGACGCACGCCTTCAACACGCCGTTCCAGCTGTCCGTCGTACCGCCCAGCGTGGCCGCTCGGATGGCGGCTTTCGGGGGAGCGCAGCTCAGCGACCTGCCGCGCGATGCCGACGTGGCGCATCATCACCTGCGCCATGGAGACGTCCTCGTCTTTGCCACCGATGGCGTGCTGGACAATCTCTTCAACCAGGATATCCTGCGGATTGCGAGCCGGGTCATGGTCAAGAGCGGTGCCTGGAACCTGTCTGGCAACGAGGCGGTCACCGTGGCCGAGTCCCTGGACAGCCTTACTGCTTCTCCCGAGGATGTAGACGGGCAATTGAAGAAGACGGTGACGTTGCAGAGTCTTCTGGCAACCGAGATTGTGCTGGCTGCCAAGCAAGCGAGCGTCAACACCAAGCGAGACGGACCCTTTGCCAAGGAGGTCAAGAAGTACTACCCCCAGGAAAACTGGCATGGAGGAAAAGTCGACGACATTTGCGTCGTCATTGCCGTCGTGTCGGAGGATGCGCCCAGCGTCAAAAGCAAGCTGTAGATTGGGCAAGGCAGGTTGATTGGTGCACAATAGATTTAGACATGTTTGGGGGGGGGAGAATAGCAAAGAGCATACGCTTTAGATCAGTGGAGGGTTGGGCTAGTTTAGCAATTGCGGCGTGTATTTTTACGGCTCTGTATATTAGATTCACATGATGGACTCAAGTAAATAAAAGAATCAACAATTGCTCATCAACTATAAAGAGAAACAAGCAGTTTGGTGGATTGATCGACCTTGTACCAAAATGGACGACCCAAGTTCCGTGATTGGTGCACGCCATTCATGATGTCATCAACCAACTCAAACCTCACCCAAACTCAAACATCCTGCCCTCAAACTCAGCCCAATCTATCATCTCCAAAGAACAAAATAAACCTTAGAAACTCCTCATAGAAGCGATAGAATGAAGGAAATATACCTGGTAAGTCTGCCCATCTCACACAAAACTCCCACAATGGCCCCTTCAGAGCTCACACAAACTTCGTGCAAAAGGCCGGTGCCGCAGCCGCCTTTACAGTCGACGTCCTCGTCTACCCCCTCGACACCCTCAAAACGCGCTACCAGTCCCAAGACTTTATCAAATCCCCCTTAACAAAACCCCTTGCCCTGCGCGGTCTGTATCAGGGCATCGGAAGCGTCATACTCGCTACTCTACCTGCAGGTTAGTTAGGCAACTTCACCTCACTCACCCTATAACAACTACGCGTGTCCCCCATTTTCTCCCCTTATCTCATAAGCCATCATCGTGACAAATTACCTATGGGATAAACTTGAAAGCTGATGATGAAACAATCTATGGATAAACACAAAAAGCCGGCGTCTTCTTCTCAACCTACGAAACCACCAAATCAATCTACACATCCCACCTTCCCCTCTCCCTACCCACCCCCGTAATCCACTCCCTCGCCTCCGCAACCGCCGAAATGGCATCCTGTCTCGTCCTCACTCCCGGCGAAGTCATCAAGCAAAACGCCCAAATGATACAACAACAACAACAAGAATCATCAGCCTCAGCCTCACGCTCAGCCCCAAGCAGATCAACGTCCTTGACGGCATTCAAGAGGGTCCTCGCTTCCGGCAGATTGTTCACCGGGTACTCTGCCCTCGTGGCGCGGAATCTCCCGTTTACCGCTCTGCAGTTTCCGCTGTTTGAGCATATACGGGCTCGCTTATGGGAGCACAGGACACGTTCAAGGGGGACGAACAAGGCGGATGGGGAAACGAGGGGAGTGGCTGAATCTGGACTGATAGCGGGGAGCAGTGCCGCCATTGCAGGAAGTATAGCGGCCTTCCTCACGACACCAAGCGACGTGATCAAGACGCGGATAATGGTTAGCACAGACAATGATGCCTCAACAACTAGGAAAGGATTGGCTAGCATCAAGGTGGTGCAGGATGTATGGAGAGAAAGGGGACTTAAAGGCTTCTTCCGAGGAGGGGCATTCCGCTCTGCTTGGACGGCAGTGGGAAGCGGCTTGTATCTGGGCATGTATGATGCCGCGAAGCTGTGGATCGAGAGGAGGCAGTGAACTCTTCGACTCTCAGGCAATTTTCACCTTGACAGGACTTTGGGCTTGCAATACTTAAGTGGACTCAGGTTTACTGCGTCGAACAAGAAGGCTTTCTGTCTACCTAGTACATGGTGAGGGAGATATTGAACGACCTTTCGTTTCTCGTTCCCCTCCTGAAGTAAGGAAGATAGATCCCTTACAGCCTAAAAACCCACGGGTAGTTTGCTCCATTTAAGTTCACCATAATGCATTCTCGACAAGATAACATAACCCAGACCGATAGCAGTCCTAGTCAAGAACGCCGCACGTCACACCAACAACAGCAAGTGTTTCGAATGTCCGCTGGACGTTTCTCAAGGGTAGGTTTGTTTTAACCCTCTTGAGCCGTGGGAAATGCCCCTGCCGAATGGCTTCTGCCAGCGCTCTTATTCCATCAAACGTTTCATACCTACTTGCGAGGCGGATGCTAATCAGCGATTCTGGTAGCATCTTCACCAACTCGGGCACATTGGCTGGATATTTGAAGAATTCCACGTTTTGTTGACCGGACCCAATCCCGCGATAGCTGATGAATGGTATCTGCAGCGTCTCGAGCCCATCAAACTTGCGGAAACTACCAACATCATCTGCTGGATTATAGGGGAGGCTGCCAATCTCGCTGCGGTATGGGAGAAAGTCAAACCCGAGATATTTTAATGTCTTTCTCAAGGGATGCAAGATATGCTGCGTTTGGCTCCATGTAAGCGGCTCCTTTTCTGTTCCATCCGCGCAGTGGTGATATTCAAAGTGTTCCAGTGTCGGACATGAAATCACCATTGCCGCTAAAGACGCCGCAGTCAAGTTCTCCCCACTGATCTCCAGACGGAGAAGTCGGTTGAAAGATGGGGATTTTAACTTCCTGTTAGTGAGTCCATCCCATTCCACCAATACCAGTCTTTCGACGCATGGCGTCAAGGAGACAAACGCTTCCAGGCGACCAAGGCCAAGGCGGCGATTGCAAGGAAACAGGAGCAAACGCTTAACGGACTTCAGCTCAAACAAGGCTTCCCATGCGTACCCACGTCCAAAAGTCGCACCGATGGCCAGATCTCGTACGTTTGGGAGCCGCGTTAATGTTGGTACCAGGAGCATCTGCACGCGTTCAATGACCCTTGCTTTTTCCTGTCCCTGCTGGCCCGCGACGCGACCAGGTGGAATCATACTGGAATCGTAGAAGGCGCGTACCTGGGCGCCTAAATCTGGCCGTGCAATGATTGTTCGTAGAAATAGTCGAAGCTGCCGAGGACGGACAACATGGTGTAACACTGGCTGTGCAATCTTGCGCAAATGCTGGCATGTCTGGCTAAGAGAACGCAGAGCGGTCACATGTTCTTTTATGAGTCCATCAGTGTCCATTTCCACTGCAGGATCAGTGCAATGCTCGCAGAAGTGTCCGCATATGTTGAGGAGTAGCTCATCAGGCAAAGTCAGGAGCCCCGTCGATGCCATGGGTGTGAAAAGACTGCCAGCAGAGCACTGCCCTATTGAAACAATGTCAGAGATGCCAGTGAGATATACAGGCCTGCGACTCTGCGTACATGTCGATTTTGCCTCTGAGATTTGTCGTGGCATAGTAGATTCAGGCATCTGAAATGGCAAGTCTGTTGGCTTGCGGATTGGTCCGTCCCGAGCTGAGGAGTCTGATGTGGCTGGATGTTTGCGAACTCGAGCCCCGAGCAGTGCCAGCGCGCAGGAGAATGCCTAACGTTGTGCAGATTTGCTGGAAGCTTCCCGTTAGCAATTCGAATCGGAGCATATTGAACGAGTCTTTGCACAAACCCGATTGTTCACTCGCCTTTGGATATCCGTAATACCAGCGTTCGAAAGGAGAGCTTGAAAAGACTGAGGTTCTTCAGCTTTGCTGATCCCAAGATGAAGTGGATGAAGTTGCGAGGAGAAGCCTGGACGGCAAGAAGCTCCTTCTCTTTTTATCAGTCGACACCTGAGGCGCAAATCTCAAGTAACATTTTTCACCGCCCGAAAGAGCAGTTCACTTGGCCTTCACCTTGCAGACACTTTAGTTCTTTCCCTTTTTTTCTTCTCACTCGGGACGAAGGTAGTTCCGGGAGGACGAATTACTCTGCGGCGAAGCTGTGGCTCCGGAGGATGCCACAACTCGACGATAGCACTCAGGCAATCTACACTTACCTTGCCGATTCTTCAAATACATAATATTTTCAGTTCAAAGATGTGTTCTGACAAACAAGAAAGCTCTGTTCAAATGCCTAAGTAATGGCGGAAATATCAACGTCTCCCCCCTGATATCCTTGAGCAACCCAGTTTCTGCCAAATGTGATCCTCGCCTAAAACCTCCTCAAACCCAGGATTGACAATCACCGGCAGCTTGTTTCGTTTCAACCCCAGTCGTAGCGGCAAGGCCAGTGAAATAAGGGCTGCAGATCGCTGGGATTTCTCGAACAGCTCTTGCAGGCCACACCAACAGCAGCAAGTATGCTGCGTGATTCTTCCAAATCCGCACCCTCCAGCGTCAAATATACTGTCTTGAGACGTGGGAAATGGCCCTCCCGGATTGCTTGTGCGAGCACGTCTATCCCCTTCCACTGGCAGCGCAGATCATAAAACCCAAGGCAAAGGAGCGACTCAGGTAGGAGGTCAACCATTTCAACCACATCCGCCGGAAATATGGGAAATAGGGCTTCGAAATCTTTCGCGCCTTCCGTGTTGAAACTTTCTGCGTTCATGTAAAGGGTCTCCAGGCCATCAAAACCGCGGAAACTGCCTCGGTCTGACATCACCTCGTAGTCTTCGTCCAAGAAGTATGGTATAGCCCTGAACTTGAGATGTTTCAACGTTTCCCTGCGCTGGTGCAGGATACGCTGCACTTGGTCCCACCGGAAGTTTTCCAATCCCGGCTCACCGTAAAACCCAAAGCGTTCCAGTTTTGGACAAGAACCTATGATTGCCATCAATGTCTCCGCGCCTATATCATACCCGAAAAGCTCCAAGAAGCGGAGTTCAGGGAGATGTAGAAACTCAGAGCCGTTTCCAAGCACCGCGAGAGCCAATTCCTCAAGGTATGGCATCGTAGATAGAAAGTCTCTCAGGTAACCACGTCCGAGATGAATCGGAGGCATGAAAACCAACCGCGTGACAGAGGAGAAGTCAACCAAGGTCCCCAAGGTGCTTCGCCGGTAGAGGGGAACGTCGATAAAGAGTTGCCTTGCGTTTGGCAGCCGCGTTAATATCGATTCAATAAGCCATCTTCGAATGCCAAATTCATCCAAGCTTTCAATGCCCTCAAATTGACTCAGCCAATTCTTTCTCCGCGGTTGGTTGATCCATGGATCAAAGATTGTATCGGGATCCTCAGCTTCATAGTTTATATTCGAATCAAGGTCGTGACGGAAGCTGCGTACCTGGGCAGCCAGATCCGGTCGCACCATAATGGTGCGTAAAAACAGCCAGATTTCCTTGGGATAAACATAATGATATAGCACTGGCTGTGCAATATCACGCAGTCTTTTGCATGTCTTGCTAAGACGGGAAATGACCTGGCTGGACCGATAGTTATAACGAAATTGATCGTTCGTAGGATCGGTACAATGCGAACAGAACTTTGCACATATCATGTAGAGAAGCTCATTGGGCAGAGCCACAAGACGCTTCGATGCCTTTGCTTGAGCTCTCGTCTGTGGCATGGTAGCTTGAATCGCGTGAGACTGCAAGTCTGTTGGGTTTGATGATTAGTCTCCAGCACCAGAGCTGAGGAGGATAAGATGGAGGGGATCATGCAGACCTGATACTCTCGCCTCGGATCGCAATGCCGACGCTAGAAGACGTTCGATATCCTGCTGATCCTCTGAAAGCTTTGATCAGAATCGCAAGTCGGTGGCAACTAGAAAGAAGTCTGAAGCTATACAAGCCCGTTCGTAAATCTCGTGATGAGTCTGCGATATGAGCGTACCAGGAGGAGGAGGATGAGGGCTGAAAATCGGCAGCTTTGCTTGATCTCTTCCCCAAGAAAGAATGTGTGAGGAAAAAGGAATTGGGAACGAAAAAGCTTGGGCCTTGGGTCCCAAGCAGTCCTCCTTTGGATTGCAGCTTGAGAATTCCCAGGTAACGTGATTCACCGCTCGCAGAGCAATTCACTTGGCCGTTGGCACTGCAGTCACCATCTGCTTTTCCTCTTCCACTCGGGAAGAGGGTAACTCCAAGGAAACTGAGTTCTTCTGAGGTGAATGCCTTCCTTCATTATGCCCAAGTCACTTTCTCTAAAGTGTGCCTGCAGTGAACATAAAGTCCTCTGGCTTGTCCTCGTGGACTTGGCGCGATACAGCCCGTCTTCTGCTTTTCCCCCTTTCCTCCTCTCATCCAGACTCATGTCCCTCCAAGTCAATCAGGAGCAGCATATGGTAAATACATACGCATCTCAAAATCTCACAGGATTGAAATGCTAGACAATGTGTCTAGGTACATGAAGCAAGTAACCCCCTCCATGCGGTGGAGAGTAGACACCAGGCTGATCTCCATGCAAAAAAGCGTCAGATACAGTGTCAGCCAGTCCGGTATTCTTCTTTCACGGCCCGCCCTTATAACTTCAAGCTCCTTTTTCCAAGTGACTGTGGAGAAAAGGAGCAGATAGACAAATATATTGTCTTGACTTGGAACATCATAACGGGGTTACAGCAAAGTAATCGACCTCCCTTCTCATGTTCAGACGATCAAGTTAACAGCAGCGCTTCTCCTACTTTGACTACCTTACCCGTAATCTCAGCAAAAACCCTGCAAGACGCCTCGAACATGGAAGAAGAGCACAGTAAAAGATAAGAGGCCAAGGACTGCCCAGGGAGAAGAAGTCTTGCGGCTCAGATACTGCCGAATAGTCTTTGCACCCTAAGCAAACAAAGACATCACCGCATACAAACAAGGGCGCTTTATGTACTGTATATCTGGTAGTTATAGCAAACATGTTTAAGAACCGGTAGATGTATCTTCATCCAGCCATCCAGCATTACACCGCAAGTATATACAACCTAATGTCTCTCCCCAATACATAACATGGGCCATCACTCCTCATCCTCGCTGCTGCTATCCTCCTCCTCCTCCTCCTCAACCTCATCCTCACTATCCTCCACACCCTCCGGCCTCTCCAGCATCAAAAACGCCGCCAGACAAGTCACCCGGTTATGCGTCTCATACGTCCCCCTCAGCACCCCCACCGGCTTCTCAACCTTGGCCTCCTTGCTTCTCGCCGCCTCCAGCAGCTCCTCCGCCTGCACCGTCCACAGCCGGATCTTGCCGTCGCTGCTGGCTCCGACCACGTACAGCGTGCCCCGGTTGGCTGTGCTCGGTATGATCGCAAAGTCCTTGATTCTTCCCTGTACGCCTTCGCCTCCCACGTATCCGACGAACTTGGCCACGGGGAGGGTTGGCTCGGCCGCCTTCTTGTCGTCCTGTGCCGTTTCTTTTGAAGGCTCCGGTTTTGTCAAGTCTTCCGCCTTCGTCGAAAAGAACATGACACGACCATCCTCCGTAGCCACAGCCAACAGCGCATCGCCAGCCTCCTCGTCCACCGTAACATACGAAAACTGATGAATCTTGACCCTCGTCGTCGGCATAACCCTGCACTTGGGCACACTGTCCATCCCGAAAACCACCACATTCCGGTCAAACCCGACCGCGAACTCGTCCGCCCCGTCCGCCGTTCCCCACGTCACCCTCCGCGCCTCGCCGCTGGCATGCTTGCTCTCGCCCACCTCCCTCAGCATCTCCTTGCTAAAGCTCAGCACGCCCGCCTTCTTTCCGGTGACGAGGTTCCACAGCCGCATGCACCGCTCGCCCTTTCCGACGCTAATCATGAGCTTCATGCTCGGGTGGATCGCAAAGTCGTTGACGCCAGACGGCGTGCCGCCGAACGGCGCTGTGTCGCCCGTCGGTCGCCCGTGCGCCTTTGGCTTCGGCGTCTTGATGTTGCTTAGCATGGACCAGTCGCGCGTCCGCGTAATCGCAATCGTGGAATCGTCGCTCCCGGAGAGCAGCTTCGACCTCGTGGGGAATCGCAGCGCCGTGATCGTCGAGTCGTGGTGCAGCAGCGTCCCCAGCTCTCGATTCTTGGGGTTCTCCAGGATCGGTCTCGGAGCGACGCTCAACATGGCCTCCTTGTTCTTCTTGCTCGGCGGGTGCGCAGACAGATTGTACACTTGGATTCGCTCGTCGGTACTCCCGGAAGCCAGCAGCACCTTTTGCGTTTGTCCTGGAATCGGAGGTGAAGGGGGAGACACGGCGACGCATCGAATGGCCGAAGCGTGCGCATTGAAGAGGAAGGTATCGGCAAACTCGACGTCGCCTTTGGTGCCAATCGAGGCCGTCAGTCCGTGGAGAACTCGGTCGTAGGAGCCTGCGACAATCTGGATCGTCTCCTCCACGAGCTTGTTGTCGCTTGTCGCTGTCGTCTTTGCCTTTGTCTCTGACTTTGCTTGCACGGCTTTTGTGGTCTGCTTGGCGGGCTTTGGCTTTTCGGCAACAAGTTTTGACGGTTTGGTTTCGTCGACGAATTTTGACTTCTTCGTGGGTACAAGCTCTGCAGCAGATTCGCTGACAGCAGCATTTTGCCTCTTTCTTTTCGCCATTTTGTGTTGTTGCGTTCCTGATGATTTGTTGTATGAAGCAAATGTAATGCTGCAATGGTAGAAGAAAAAAATATATGGATACCCTTGCCCGATAAGATAAGCCGCATTGTGCACTTTAATTGCATAGCACCAGTAGGTGCATGGGCCTCTGAGCTTCAGGAGATCCTGACAACCTACTTCGTGCTTCAATTGGCATGTGATGGATATGGTAAGGGAGTCCACCTAAAGAGACCCAAGGCAGAATATCCCTCAGGTCGTTTCACAGGGATAAAAGAAGAGGGAAGAGACTAAAATATTGTATTCCACAGCCGGTGTAATGCCCCCATATATGCTCAAATATGTTGATATATCTGCTTCGCGAAATTTCGAACCGATGCTTTTTCCCGACAGACGTAGAGTAATAAGGATGGTGGAAATAAGAAACGTAACAAAAAAAAAAACAAGGAAATCTATATCATTGCTGCCCATCGCTCTCGCGTCCGCCCTCCCGGCTCAACTCTATAGTGCTCAGACTGGGGAAACGCTTCGTAAAATCCTCAATGTAGTCCTCCCGTTCGCGCGCAGTCATCTCCAGCATCGGCTGCCCGGGGAGGTCGATTGCTATCAAACGCTCAAATGTCGGCTCGTCCCTCTCTTTCGTTGGTGACGAGGCATGCCTACCCCCTGTAGGGATGTTGTTCAGGTGCACCGGCTTCTTGGGGGCTGTTGGCTTGGCCTGGCTTTTGGCGGACACCGAAGCTGATGTCGAGCCCGTGGCTTGTTTGGCATCGACCAAGGAATTGTCGCTTCGTCGTGGATCCGCAACTGCGGGTTTTGCAGCCACGGTCGGCTTGCGCTTCACCTCGGGGCGGTTCTTGTCCGTCGCGCCTGATGCTGGCTCGGAGTCGGTGTACTTTCCATATCCGTGGGCTGTCCGCGGAACGGGTGCCGGCTTCTGTTCCTCGCTCAGCAGACTCTGGACCCTGTTCTGGATACTGGCCGCTCGTGCTGCTCCCATGGGCTTTGGTGCGGTGGGCGGACGAGCTTTAGAGGGCGAGCCGCCTTCGGCAACCCGTCTTCGGTATTCTGCTTGCGCAGCCTCTACTCTAGCTTCTTCCTCTTCCAGCTGGCGGCGCTCCATGTCACGACGCATCTCGGCCGTCATGTGTCGCCCTTCGTCATCCGTGTCGCTCCGATCGTCTGCCGCCTCAGACCCCTGGATGGGCGTCAACGCACGGCGTGCCTGCTCTTTGCCGGGCGAGGAAGCTCTGGCTTCTGGCTCATTGTCGGATGGGGCGTTGTTCTCGAACCTCTTGAACGCACCACCAAACTTGCTCGCAAGCAGGTTCTTGGAAGTTGTCGATGTCCCCTCAGAGCGCTGCCCGGGGCGGTCCTGGTCGAAGTCCTGGACTTCGGTGCCGCTGGAGCTACGCTGGTCCTTCAAGCTCGATCCGCCATCGTTGCGTCCAGTGTTGGAATGTGAGAGAGGGAGATGCCACGAGGAGTGTCGCGTCAGGGAAGACTGGCGAGAAGAAGGCTTTGACGCGATTTCCCTCTCGCGCAAGTACTCCAGGGTGCTGGGCTCAAACGTGGAGCTGAGGGGCCGCTGCTTGCCGCCCAGATCGCCAGCAGAAGATCGCATGTCGATCAGGTCTTCTTGGGAGCTGAGGATGTCAAGCGATGTCCTGGATGAGGCAACCGTGCTCTGGCTCAACCGCGCGGGCTGGACTGACGAAGATCGTGTATTTGCTGACGCCCAGTTACCACCAGAGTGTCGCTTGGCGGTGGTTTGCCCAGTGAGAGCCGCGGCACGAGGCGGAAGCGCACGAGGAGTTTCCACCTCAAAGGAGCGTCTGCTACTCTCCGAGTCGGATGGTTGTTCCTTGTCCGGGGAGAGCTCCGTCATCGTGCCCGTAGACACATACGAAGAGGTCGCCGTCTTGTTCGCAATGGCCTTGAGCTCAGGATTGCTCGTGATAATGGACTGTGCTCGGCTGATTCCAGACTGGGCCGTGGTTGAGGCCACCAGTCTTGGATGGAGCTTCGTCTCCAGCGTTGGCGGCGAAACATCAGGAGGTGGACGCGAGGAGATGGGCGCAACAGAGTGCGGTCTCGGAGCAGGTATTGAAGACGCAGGGCTTCTTGAGGATGCGAATGCTTCATCGGCCAGTCGCTCAGCAACCTTGGTGCTCAAATCCTTCTGTGGTCGAGGCGAAACTGGGCCAGAGTCAAAGTTGAAGGTCTTTTGCTCGTGAAGCAAGGCGAACTCGTCCAAGCGCGGGAATCTAGAGGAGAGCTCATCAGGCTCTGCCTGTCGAATGGGAAGGGTGGTGGCAGCGCTAGCAGCAGCAACGGCTTTGGAATCCAAAGCAGCGAACGGATCGCCGTCAGTGATCTTGCCCGGAACAGGCGTGCGGGATGGTGAAGGAACCGGGCGACCTCTTCTCATCGGCGTGATGTCAGGCAGGGTTTGCTGCTCTCTGGTGGGTGCTGCAAAGACGGCGCCGACCATGGGTGCCTGCAGCTTTGGATCGGTCGCGGAGGATTGGCTCGTCTTAGGTTCGTCGATCGCTCGTCCAGAGTAAATCTGAGTGTTGAGCGGTTAACCTCTGTTCACATCCGAGAAGAATACAGCGGTGATATTGTGGCAAGGTCACTTACATCGTGGATGGGCATCTCTCGGCCCTGCATAGCGCAAGCCTCCTTGAGAACTTGGTATATGTTGGGTCTCGATTGCATGTTCTCCTTGAGCATCCAAGCTACTACAAGTCAGTCCCCGTCGACGAATTACAAACTGAGAGGGCGCAGTTCATACCAATGAGCTTCTTTAGCCTGTCTGAGAAGACGGGATAGCTGGGGTATCGGTAGCTCGCGTTCAGGATGGCCAACTGCCCTTGATCTTCAAAAGGGGTTGTGTAGTAGCAAAGCTTGTACAGCAACACGCCCAGTGCCCAGATGTCCGACTTTTCATTGATCGGCTGCTTTCGGTAGACGTCGACCATTTCGGGGCTCCTGTACTGCAGCGTGGTGTGTTTCTGAACATCCTCATCCATCAAGCGGCAGTCGACGACGGTCATGGGGGCCGCCCGCGGGGGAGCAGCGGAGCCAAAGTCGCACAGCTTGAAGCGCTTGCCCTTGGGGGTGTTTGTGATGAGGACGTTTTCGACCTTGAGATCGCGGTGCAGCAGCGGCGGCTTGAGGTAGTGCATGCAGGCAACGCCCTCGGCGATGTCGGCAAAGATGTTGATAATCTCGGGCTCGGTCAGGCGGTGCTGCAGGCGGGTGTTCATGAAGTCGATGAGGCCGCCGCCGTCGCAGAACTCCATGAGCAAGAAGACCTCGTAGCCGCCGCCCTTGAGCTCGGACGCGTGCGAGTCGATGTAGGTGACAATGGCCTCGTGCCCCTTGAGGCGCTTCATCGTCTCGACCTCGGTGCGCATGCCCCGCAGGGCCTCCTTATCGGGCACGGCGACTCGCTTCAGCACGGCCAGGTCGGTGCCGTCGACGGCCTTGGGCAGCTTGACCAGGTAGACGTGCGCGAAGCCGCCCTCGGACAGGTATTTCTGGATCTGCACGCGGTGGTTGCCGACCTGGATCTTGGTGCCCGGGGCGAAGGTGCCGGCCGGGGGCCCAGGGGCCGGCGGCTGCGAGGCGGCATATCCAGCGTGCGGGTGAGCGTGGTGCGGCTGCGGAGGCATTCGGTGGCCGTACGAAGCCATGGCTGGCGTCGTCGAGGCGAGAAGAGCGTGTGTGTGTCGTACAGCAACGGCCAGCCTCGTGGGCAGCAAGGGGAGAAGGGGGCCTCGACGGCGGTGACGTTACCAGCAGGGGCGGAGGGGCGCGCTGGCGCTGGAGATGGTGATACCGCCTAGATGCGTTCAGGCCGTGGGCGATGGAGACATTGGCGGGCGAGGAATCGGGGGGCCGGCGCGGCGGTTGCTCGGCTGCGAGTGCGTGGGAGTCGGGAGACGCACAGGCCGTGAGGATTCCGGATCTGTCGTGCTGGAGGTCGGCAGAGGACGCTGGGCCCTGGAGGGTGAAGCCTAGAATCAATCGCCAGCCTCGCTGAGACTAACGGGCTGGAGTTGGTTTAGCGACCCCCTGGACTCCGCGTTGAGCGTCGAGATGCGATCGGGCCATTGTCGGCTAATCTCGCAGGACGTCATGGATCCGCCAGGGCAAGATTAGGCATCATCTGTGCTCCAGCTCAGCAGCCTGGACGCCCAAGAGGCTGATGGATGAAGTGACTAGAGCGGCCTCGACGGGACAGCGAGCATCGACTGACTTGGCCGCGTGATCAGGGTCTCTGGATGTTCATACGAAGATGTCATGGAGACTTCAGGTCACGATGGCGATCTACTAACGTTGGGGTGCGGCTTTTTACGGACTAGATCCGACGCATCGAGATGGCTATAGTAAGATGGGGTAGACAAGCTGGAGCGAAGAGTTAAGCATGAAAGAACCTTGGAGGACCGAGCTGGACACGGTTGGCAATGTCTCGACAATATTGGTGAATCGATCAAGGGGCTCCTATCGATAGGCAACAGGCGCTCTGACTTGCGCTGACTCTGGGTTGGAGATGTGATGTGGGAGAAGCCGGATGGACTATCTGTGCGCCCCAATATCACAATGGTGTGCTATGAATACTGACCTACGCAAGTCCAGGACATGAGCAGATGTCGACCCTCACTACGAACTTGCCTGACAGATTTCACGATCAACAACCTTCTGATCGGTTGGAGGTGACGCAAAGCAACGCAAGTACTGCATGATTTTCAGGCACCGCCATCATCGGAGTGGTCGTGTACACCGAAGGTACACGCAGTTGTACGAACCGCACCCTCTCGCCTGTTCAAAGCGGGCTGAGATTCATTCCCAACCTAGGGACTGTTTCTGTTTACCTTATGAAATGAGATCGACGTTGGTTCACGAAGTCAACTTCTTTTTTGGCCTTGCTTCATCTCCCATATACATACAGTAGTCAAGACAGCATCTGATATTACGAGTACATCTCGGAAGGTGACCGCCAGGTAAGACGCGGCAACGGCTTTTCAGGGACCAATTGCCGAGAAGCCGTGAACAGCCACCATTTCGATGGACCCCGTAATGGGGACCCCGTTTATCTGCCTGAGCTGCATCCTCCGACTGAGGAAAATGGAAGGCTGTGGATTTCTGTCGGATTCCAATGTCACTGTTTCAACATTCACTGCTACCTCGCTTTTGTTACCTGGGTATGGGAGTATCAGGGACAACCATCTGCTCCTGCTATTGGTAGGTACTCGGCCAGCTTCTTCACAGTTTGCAGATTGGTAGCGTTCTGTATCATGTTCTGCTATGCCTCGTGTCAGAGAGCGTGGCGTGGCTGCACTATCGTCTGCAATTGGACGAGGCGTCGCAAGGCCCTTGAATGTCTCTAAGACGGGTAAGAATCCCGATAATGGATGGATATTGCATTGTTACTGTATGTAATCTGTGCGAGAAGATGCCCATTGAGATCGAATCACAGATTGGCGTCTACAGAACTTGTACTTCTACTTGCACGTCTCATCGGCATCCTCAAACACCCCAATACTCTTCCCCGTGGGAGGCCGCAACAGAAAGCAACAAGCATTCTCCCTCCGTGGAATAATAATAAACGCCCTTGAACACATCTGGCGTCCTCCTGCAATAACAACAGCAGTTTCCGAATCCCCCAAGTCTCTCCTCCATCCACCAATGAGCAAATCCCATGCTAAGCACCGCTCGGCTCATTCGTGCCGTGCAAACCGCCCGCGGGCTCCCCCCCCTGTCATGTCATCCAAACATGAAGCCTCTCTTCGCTGCCAAAATGGCCCACCCCGAGTTCCATGTCATGGGAATAGTAGTACATAGTAGTCCGTTTAGTGACAGCTTAGGTAGGTATTCGGCTGGGTTGTAAGTACTATAGTATAGCAAGTAGCGTCTAGTACCTTCTTCTCAGGGTTTCGTGCTCCAGATATCTCTTTGGCTAGGCGAGATGGGGTAGCAATTCATGCATCACACCGCACGGATTGGAGACCAGAGAAGCGTGTAGAATGGGCCATGCTCGGGCGCTCGCTTCTTGGGGGATCGTCTTTGATGGGCGGTGCGTATCACTATCGAACTTGTTGCTTGTCTGTTTACATGTGAGTACATGCCGTGGGATGAGCTGATGCTGCGCCCCTGGTTGCGTCTGATGTGTCCTGCGCATCCATCTAAAACTGCTCACGATAGTTTTGCTTTAAAGAGGCCCCCAGCCCCCCCTCCCTCCCTCCTACTCTCCAGATATTCTCCCTCTCACTCTTATTTACTACACAAGCTATACCATATTTCTTTAAATACCTTCGTTTGAATTTACAGCAACAGCGGTTCAGCGGTTTCTTTCTCTAATAATTCAAAATGTCGTCTCCTCAGCCCCAGATGGTTGCCCAGCAAATGACCCCCGAGGCCCCTGCGCGAATCAGCTCCGACCAGCCGGTACGTCTCGACCGATTCACCTCATGCTCGTGAACTCTCCAACCCGAATATCGAACGGAAAAGAATCATTTTTCAAGATCCAAACGCATTCACACGACATGAAATGATTGATTGAGTTACTGACATCGCTTTGTTGGTCGCAGCGCCCCGTCGAGCCCATGAGCATGGAGAGCGACGCTAGCATGCGTGGCGGAGAGGGCGAGAAGGGTGTAAGTCCGGTCCCAGTCTACTCGATTCTCTTCATGGAATCATGTGCGATTAGATCTCAGTGTAGATTTCTGACATTTTGATATGTATATCTCTAGGCCATCTGCTGCGGTATCTGCGCCGGTCTGGCCTGCTTCGAGTGCTGCGAGTGCACCGAGGACTGCTGCGAGTGCCTCTTCTGCTAAACGGTTTCATGAATATCGGAATGTCGAGAATATACACGATCAAGGGACGGAAGGGGGGAAGCGTAATGGTTCCAATGAGCGAAAGATGGCAAAGACGGGCGTGTTGGTCATTTAACGATATGATATCCCAAACTGTTCAGCCTCGATGAATAGAGTAATACCCATGGCTTTCACACACAAGACATTCTACGTTTTCAGTTCTCGTTCAACTGTTTTTCTACGAGTTTTCAGAGATAATCATAACAATCCATGATCCAGCCTTACACCACAATCCCCGCCAGCTCCTTCACCACATCCTCATAATACCTCTCCGACAACCTCTCCGCAACCTCATCCCCCGTCTCATCATCATCCCCAGCACCCAACCCCAGCTCCCCCTCCCCCATCAAGCACCTCTTCGCCGCCCCCTCAAACCTCACGCCCATCTCCGCCCCCACATCCGCCATCCGGTCCTCCTCGAGCAGGTCCCGCCGCACGTGCCGAACCACGTCCGACTGCCCCTTGGCCAGCCTCATCTCGATCCCGAGCACCGCCTCCACGGGCTTCCAGTGCGCCAGCTCCACCAGTATGACCCCCAAGCTATAGATGTCGAAGCTCTTCTTTGATCGTTCCCGCGTCTTGCCCTGGTTGGACTGCGCTCTGGGGTGCCGGTAGAGGTCGAGCTCGGCATCGTGGCCGGGGATCTCGGTGACTTCGTCGGAGCCCACGGGCCGGGAAAAGTCGAAGCCGGAGAGGTAGACTTGGGTGTAGTCTACGTGGCCGGCCTTTGACCGGAAGAAGAGGACGTTGTGGCTGCGGAGCCCCTTGTGCAGCCAGTTGACGGCGTGGAGATGGAGGAGACAGTTGCTCAGGGCGTGCGCGAGCTTGACCCGGTCCGTCACCCTGGGCTTGCGCACGGTCTTGTCGAGGAGCAGCTCTCTCAACGACACGGGGGGGAGGCTGTCATGCACATCATCGCCTTCTGGCCGTTCGAATATCAGGCCCAACCGTCGGTCAAGGATGTCGACATCCTCCTCGGCAACGTCTGGATCCGCCTTGTCAAAGAAGCCGATGCAGTGAGGCGTCCGAAAGGCCTCCGGCTTGGGCTTGTGGTTGAGCAAATACGCCAGCTTGCGCACTCTGTCGACAATGTCCTGCTTGGACAGGCACCCAGGAGTTCCTGCAGTGTCGTAGTCTTTCCACTCGCTCCAGACCTTTTTCTTCCCCTCGGCAGTCTTCATCACGGCCTCGCACCGCGGGTCCTCCGAGTCGTCCACGGTAGGGTCCAGCTCGATCAGATACTTGGGGATCTGGACATGGCGAGCGTCTCCCGGCTGCGCGAGCTCGAGAAACGCCGCCACGGCGTCGTCAACCACCGCGGGAGCATCTGATTTGGGGTCGATGGTTTCGTTGAACGCCTTGAACTTGGCCAGCCTGGAAAGCTGCCTCAGCTCGGCCACGCTCGCTTCTCTCTCGGCCTGCGACATGCGCAGGCGCGTCGGTGCACCGGTAGTATCTCGAACTTCCAGCTGAGCCTTGAGAGCCAACACCAGGTGGCTCAGGTCAGCAATCTTGTGGTGAAGCAGCAGCACGCCGCGGTTCGTATCCTGCACCGTGTGCCGGATTTCCACCTGCAGGGAGTGATCGAGGATATTCATCATGCTGTCGTTCAGGACGGTGAACTTGGAGAGCAGATGCTCGAACCCTTCCTTGTCAAACGAAACCCACTTGAGCCTCTTTAGGCCTTCTTGCGACTTCTGCCTCAGATTCAGCATGGCTTTCTTGATAAATAGCCTCTTCTTCTCGGACATGGGAAAGCTGGCCTGCTTGGCATCCTGCTCGGGCGAGACGAGGAAATCGCCATGGTCGCCGCGGACGGGGGTGAGATTGCTGTGCTTGCCCTGGTACGCGAGGAACTCGTCAAACAGGCACTGGACCTGCACCAGCAGGTCGAGCACCGTCTGCCGGTGGAGGTTGAAGACGTTTGAGTTGAGGATGCGGTCCTGGTTCTCCGTGTTCACGTCCAGGAGGCCAGACGTCTCGCTCCAGGCGAAGAGGCGCTGCTGTTCCAGGCGGAGGCGCAGGTTGAGGTATTTACAGTCGTCTTTGTAGCCGAGGGCTGTGACGAGGAGCTGGATACCTTTTTCGCGGGGGACGAAGCGATGCCGCAGAGTGTTAACACAAGAGGAACACTACTATTACCACCATGGTGGAAGAAACATGGAAAAGCAACATGAATTCATAGGATCGAGTCTAGGGTGGCCAAGCACATGCCTTGGATACAGCCGGTGTAGACCTGCAGGCCCAAGGATGCAACGCCAAGAGCCAGGCCGGCCAGGGAGACGGGATCCATTTGCGATCTCCGGGGCCGTTTTATCTCTCCCCAATCTGGTGATGCTGCGAGGGTATTATGTGACCGAATTTGCTGGGTGGTGATGGTATTATCGAGGCTGGTGTGGAAGCCCAAGCACATGTACATGTAAGCAGCTGCTGTGAGAATACTACATGCATACATCGCACGCTAGACTATCACTCCATGTTTCGTACTTGTACGGTTCAGTCATGTTGCATTGATTGAGTGTTTGTGCGACGAGGGCTGGACCGGACTAGCGAATTGCCGTCGAGATGGGAGTGGAGAGGATGGGAAGCGGGCTGGGAGATCGTGGACCGAGCCGACGGACGGCAGAGGCACGGGACAGGGGGGATAGGGTCGTGATGGTGTTCACGCTGGATAAGGTACTAGGCAGATACGATCGTGCAATCAATGTTTCATGTGGTGGCAGGACGAGATAATGCTTGTCCAACTACAAGAACATGTACTACTAGTAGTACTCGTAACGGCTTCGTGGCCAATCTCTCTGCCAGGGATGCGGCAGATGTATGTAGGCCGAGCTTCAATTCGATTGATGTGAAAAGTGATGGCACGCGAAGGGAACTTGAAAGCACAGCGCACAGCACCTCCTTGCAGTTCAGAATCGTAAAAGACACCAGATCTGAACAATGATCCGTTTCGCTCGCAGCTGCTACCGCATCTATCCGGCATCTCACCAACAGCATCCGTCGATAGATCGCTGCCAATGTAATCAGCGCAATATCGGATAGCCTCCCTCACCTTGTGGCGCTCGCGTCTCAGCGTTTGATGGTTACACGTACACGACAGACATGCCGCCGCACTGTAAACAAGCAGAATGTCATCACGCGCGTCTCGGAAGAGAGAGAGAGCGCGACTTCACGTTGTTCTGGGATCAAATCTTATCCCGAGAGATTGCGTTAGCCTGAGGACAATGTCGCTGCTTGTCTCACTTCAGTGTTGAGGTGCTTGATGTCCTCTTGCATGCACCCCATTGGGACTGGACTGCCCTGTCGCCCTGCATTGGGGGACAAATAGTGGCCGTATAGCCTCATCTCAACCGGTCACTCATCGACCAGTGACCATCTTGAATGAAGGATTCGGTGAGTTTAGCTCCTCCCACTTCCGCCGGATAGCGTCCCATCATTGTCTAGTCGCGGGATGCATTTCGATCAGATACTGCTTGGCGGTGAGACCTGTTGCTGTTGATGTCCTCATCATGTCATTAATCACAAGACATGGGCCGTTTCATTAGGGTAGTAGCAGCAGAGGATTCGATCACATCCCAGGCCTGTTCCATCCCGTCCCGTCCCTGTATGTACCTGCAGGCCTGCGGCAACGGTCAGGGCCAGGTGATGGTGTGCTCGTCATTTGGACAACTTGAAATGGAGGCGGACTGGCCGGCGGGCTGCACAACAAGGAATGCGTCGGGTGGCTTGTTTCGATGGCGCGCTGAAACAGGTCGATAATCTCACAACTTGTATGACATGGACACTGCCGTCTTATCTCCCGCCTTTGCCTTGCTTCAGCCGTTCTCACGCCTCGGCTCACGATAAATCGCAAGCAATTCCTTGTATTCGACTCTTGGCCCGTGGCGCTCAACTAGCATCTGACAGGCGCGCAAGTTCAGCTTCAGCGTTCTCACATGCGGAGAGCGCTCCGACGGGCGGCCAACCACTAGACCCCGACTGCTCCAGGCCCCTACAGCCACTAATCGTGGCCCCCGGGGCTATTGAGATTTCAGCCAACCAGCAGCGGCTTGGGGGTCTTACATCTGGGCTACTACATACCGGGCCGTGGATGCTGCATGTCTGGCAACGCCTTGCTTTTGCTGAGGTATTGGATATTTTGTCTGGTGACACAGGATTTGCGAGGTAGTCAAGGTAGTAGTAAGTAGTATGCAGTGTCGACAAACGGTCTCTCCGCGGAATATTGCCAAATGGGCTTGGCTGATGGCGAGGCTTGTGGCTGGACTTGCATATGTTGGTCAAAGTGCCCGATGAATGCATCCATCCGTTAAGGTATTGGATCCAACAGCGTTTGACCGGCCAAGAGAAGCAGGAAACCCATCACCGCGGTAGTGTCTTGGGTACCTCTTGCGCAATAGCCCCTGGTATCCTCTACTTGAGTCGACGAAGCCTGTGTAAGGTAGCTTGCCGATTGCAAGCTGGAGTTGATTCTCAGGTCATGGCCGTTCAGGTGTATTCTCTGTCCAGCAGCTGAGCAACTGCCAGAGAGCAGACACAAACCCACCAAAGCCGGGAGTTTCGGACTTGGGCGAGCAAAGCAGCACTCACGAGTCCGTGTCTGTGCCTCGAAATCCATTGTCGCATCGACTTCAACAGGGTATTTATCGAGCAATTACTTGTACTGGCCACTGCGGAGTTGCGCAGCCGGGAGTCCCTGGACTGCCGCAGCACCAGACTGGACTTTGCCCGCACCGGGGCGCTGAACCATCAACTAACATTTCCCCACCCGGGTGACAGCCAGCAGCGAACCTCTTCCCCTGGCAAACCAAATCAAACCTTCGCTCACATCGGGCCTCACTCTCGTCCTTCCTCGATCACTTGCCTCTTGTTTTCCGTAACCGTCTCCATCCTCTCCCCAGCATACGCGACGCCCTTCTTCGTCCCATCGCCTCTGCCGACCGTCTCTCTCCAGGTCCATATAGTAACCGCCATGATGGCCCACGGCTCAGGCGTGCCGCAGCCACCCGCCGGGACCCTGTCGCCTCCTGACTCCTCGTCATCTGCATCTCAGTCGCCGATTTCCCCGACGCATGGAGGCCGGATTCCTCTGGCAGTCGCCGACCAGCCCGCCGCGGGCCTACCAAACACCAGCAGGAGCCCGGAAGACCCAGCCAACAAGCCGGCCGACGTCAAGGACGACAGCGATGGCCGCTCGCGTGAATCTGCCGTGCCAGCGGCGTGCTTGGCTTGCGTAAGTTTGTTCGTGCAATTGGTTGCTCTGCCTCTTTTTTTCCCCCGACGTCGCCGACCTCGCTTGGAGCACGACTCGTCGTCGATGCACCCCGACAGCAGCAGCAGCAGCAGCAAGCATTCAGCTTCGCTTGATATAGGGTGTCATGACGGAGGAAAGGAAATGAAACAAAGAAAAAAAAAGAAAGAGGAAAAGAAGGAAAAAGTGGAATTGGGTCATTTACACTGGACTGAAGCTGTTACTGCTGCTCGTCTGAATCCTGTTGCTCCGCGAATCCTGGCAGTCCGATACCATCCCACTTTCCATTGCACATTAACGCGATGAGCGCTCTCTCGCTAACCAGAAGCCTGCCTCCCCCGGCGTCTAGCGGAGCAAACATCTCAAGTGCGATGGCCAGACGCCGTGCTCTCGCTGCGTCGGCTCCAACTTCGAGTGCATCTACGTAGCCTCTCGACGCGGCTACAAGGGCCCTCGCCGGGGCACCGCGCAGAACCCAAACAAACGCCATGCCACGTCTCCTCCGGACACAGACTCCATCAGCCTGGCCCCCTCGGACTGCCCCATGCTGCTGGGCGCCGGCGCCTCCAGCGGCATGTCGGTGCCCGTGCCCGTGCCGATGCCGATGCCGATGCCGTCAACGCCCATGACCATCCACAACTTCAGCCCTACCGGCCTGCTGCCCGAGACTTCTCCGGCAACGCCCTTCCAGACCACCCCTGGCGTCTCACAGGCTCAGCTGTACCGGTCGTATTGCAGCATCAACGGCATCGAGCCCGGCAGCCTGGTGACGGGTACCCACCTCCCCTTCTCCGCCCACTTTCCCATGCAGACCCTCCAGGAGCGCTGCATTGACTCCTTCTACCGCTACTTCCACGGCTCACACCCCTTTGTGCTCCCCAAGGAGCATCTGCTTCGCTTTGCAAGCGAGAACCCCATCGACCCACTCATGGCCGTCATCCGATGGGTTGGCTCGCTCTTCATCGATGTCGGCAAGTCGCGCCCGAGCCTGTACGATGACGCCATGCGCCTTCTGGACGACCCAACCCAGCCGCAGGACGGCTTCAAGGTCCAGGCCATGATGCTGGCCATTGTTGCGCTGGATGGCTCTTGTCAGAACGACAAAGCCGCCGAGCTGCTGGGCCGGACCGAGACGCTGGCTCTTCAGATTGGCCTCAACAAGTCGCATTTTGCCTCTCTCAACGGACGGGGAAACCCGTGGTTGGAGGAGAGTTGGCGGCGAACATGGTGGGATCTCTTCATCATCGACGGCATGATTGCCGGCGTCCACCGAATGACCAATTTTATGCTTTACGATGTGCCCGCCGACGTCAGGCTGCCCTGTGAGGAGCATCAGTATTTGTCTGGTGTAAGTTTCACATTCGCGTCTCTTCCTCCCCGCTGGTCATGACGTGCATGTTTTAACAGTTTTGTGTAGCAAATACCCCCGCCCATGACCTTGGAAGAGTTGGAGGACCGAGACTTTTCTGGAGACGAGCGCCGATTCTCCTCCTTTGCGTATCGCATTCTGTGTGGCCGCAACCTGGGCAGGTTCATGAGAACCCCCCCGATATACGGGCCAGAGGATGAAAACCTCGGGCGGATTGAGAACCTACTCACCAACTGGCGGCTCCACCTGCCAGAGGACAAGAAGGACTCGCTACAGGCCAACGGTCAGCTAGACGAAATGATGTTCCAGGCGCACATGATGATGTATGCCACGTCCATCCTCCTTCACCAGCCCCATTCGCAGCTCGACTCGTCGCCCGCTCAGAAAGTCACCTCGTGTGCGCCCTACCAGCTGGTTCCGGCCGGTGACCTCTTCAACAAGCACACAAAGCACACCATCGCCTCGGCCAACGGAATCAGCAAGCTGATTACACACCGGGTCCCCTTGCTCTCCCACACCCACTTCTTCACCTGTGTCATCACCCTCTCCTCCATTGTGCATCTCAACAAGTGGGCCCTCTTCTTCATCCAACACGACGACGACGACTTGAGACAGCAGATCCGGCTCAACATTGGCGCCCTGAATGAGCTGTCCAACGTCTGGGGTGCCGCAGACAGGGCGCGGGGTCAGGTCAAGGGGGTGGCTCAAGAAATCTATCACATCAAGAAGGAGCAGCAAAAGAACCCGCAGTACTGGCTCGGCTTTACCCAGGAGGATGTCATCAACAGCATGGCTGCCGACGAGTCCATCATTGCCAACTTTGACAGCATGTCGCCGTCCCAATTGATGGGGTGAAGGGGCCTTTTCAAGCCAAATGAGCATCTGTAAAGTCGTAGATATGGTGTGCTGTTGCGCTGCATGTAAGCATGGATGGGAATGCGATTGGAACATCTACGATGATTGTTGAAACATATAGGAGATGCCCGCCTGGAGACTGGCTTGGTAGGTCTATGTTGGAGGCGTTTGGATTCACGTTATAACCATCGAACGAGGCTACAGGGCGCCGTTGAGCATTGATATTCTTGGGCATTCTGGATTCTGTTGTGTTTACTTCGTGAGCCGTGAACGATTGCAGGTAAATCCATCGGTTGCCGCAAATTTGCCATTTGCGTTATATCTTGAACATTTTTGTTCGAATGTCGTCCTGCTGTTGATAGTTCTGAGCGCAAAGCGCGTCCGTGTCTGCCTTCACATGCTGTGATAGAGGTCAAGTGCAGTTTAAGCAATGCTCCACAGCTCCATATTGAACGCCATCAAGAAGTTGAATCGAAGAACGCTGAAACGTATCCTGATACTGCTGATATTCGCATCAGAAAAACACATATCTTACTGAAGTATTACCTTCGTGTTCGTCGTGGTTGGAGAACTTGTATTCCGTGCGGTGCTAAAAAGTTGTAGGGTAGATTCTGGCGAGATGTGACGGTAGAGTGTCGGTGAGTACGGACGGACTTTTACACCGGACATGATGGAGGCAGGCCTTACACTTCACGATTACTACGTCCTCGAAAGCGTGTGTTACGGTCATAGAGGCAAGCGTTATTGCTCTCTCTGCAGGCTTTGCAGGGCCTCAACCCGCTACGTTTTCGTCTTTGCGCCGCTGGCATTCATAAGTGAGAGGTACCACTAAACATCGGATAAAGAATTGGGAGAACATATACAATCATACCTACCGTAAGTATAGACAAAACCATGTCTCTGTATCTACCACATGCACATTCAAAGGCAACATATCCATCATAGAGTATAATGCTTCTTACAGAGAAAATAATACGTACTCTGAGAGGGCTGGCAAAATATGTCCCTTTTCCTGATAAAGTCGATCGATGAGCTGGCGGTCCCGTTTTAGACCGCCTGTCGGACCCCATCAAAGGGATGAGATGGACACGGCACGGTCACAGGAAAGCAGTATGATCGCCGTCTTACATGTGTTTGCTTACGTACTTGTAGCTCCGTATCTGTTTCCTTTGAGCCATCAAATGATTCTCGCCCACGAAACAAACAGCTCGAAGAGGGATTCCTGTAGCTCATGAGATCAAACGAGGGACCGCTGGCTTAGTAGCTGCGGCTGGGTATGCAAAGCCCAGGCACAGGCACAAGCGAGAAACTAGAAGGCTTCTCAACTTGTTCCTTTGCGCAAGCAATCACCCAGAGAGTGCATTCCCCTGCTTTTTTCTTCCATGGGAAGAAAGCCACCTGGATTATCCGGTGGTTTTATTTTTAGGTGCTTCGTAGGGGTCCTGGAGGGCTGACGCCGTGGCACTGTAGGTAGGTACGTTTGGATCCGCTTGTCAATGTCAAGTGTGAGAGTGTACGGAGGGGTGTCGTCGAGTGCGAGGCAAGCCGTCAGGTATAGTAAGCGCAGTGCGAGTAACTGCTACATGTGCATGGACTCAGCAATGCCTCTTGAAAGAAGACATACGAGTACCGTCTAATCGATGCTGTTTCTCGTAGTACTTCGTATCCGTCAAAGTAAACAAACTTGACGCCGACTCCAGCGGCAAAGGCTGGACGAGCTAAAGATTCACGACGAGCTGACCGAAAAGCGGGGCGCTTCCTGCTTCTGGCGCGGATGAGGCGGTGCTGTCACATGGTTTTGCCTCTTCATCCAATGACAGCCATGAGAACGGTATTATATAATCGGTACGCGGATACTCCCGTCGCCCTGCCAACGGCCAGAGCTGCACTGTGGAGCATCCTCTGCTTGTTCCTTGTTCCTCGCCAGGATGCAATTGGGGGGAGCAGGCACCGCCAGTTTAGCCAAAGAGGTGCGCCTTGCTGCAGCTAAGAAAAAGAATCCCTGAAAGCCGCAGCAATTGGCACTCGATTTCGATCTATTGTCGCTTTTCCAGTGCCTAGTACCCTTTCCACCCCCAGCCTCTTTTGGAGTTGGTTTCCCTTGTCTTGATTTGATTGCTGTTTTTCTGTTTTGGCATCTTCTTCCACGGGTGTTGTCTCTGCGTGGGCGGGTATTTGACTCGACAACCCATGGTTACACGCGATCCGGATTTCAGATGACATACAGTGTGTTACAGAGTCACAGACAGACAATTGCCAGGCTCGGACTCGGACTCAGACTCAGACAGCCCTTGCCAAACTCGACGACGTGCGGTGCGCTCCGACAGACGGGCAGTTCCTCGGGCGCCGCAATCGCAATCGCACGACGCTGGCATTCCAGCGCCAGCCCTCGGACGGACACGGACACGGACACGGACACGGACACCACGGCAGCTCTGGCTGGGACACGCGGCGGAGGGCATCGTCGAGCGGCGGGCACAGCAGAGGGCGCTTGGCAGAACCCAGATCGCATCCTCTGCCTGGCTTGAATCCAGCCAGCTTCGGCCTCCAGTCGCCGTCATGGCGCCGCTGCCAGACCAGTTCTCGTCGCCTGGTTCGGTCAGCTATGACTCCGACACCATGGTCGTGGGCGACGGGACGTGGGACTTTACCAAGAACACGTTCCTCCTGCCCAACCTGCAGGGCACCGACTTTGACACCACGCGATACAATGGTTAGAATCCTTCTTCTCCTTCTTGAGTGACTGTTCCCGAGTCAAACCGCGCTGGGCCGTGTCTAACAAACCTCGTCGCAGGAATGGGCAACCGCTTCTCCACCCTGCACCAATACCACACCATTATCCTGGCGCACGGCATCATGGCCGCCATGGTCTTTCTCTTCCTGGTGCCCTTCTCGGTCATGATTGCGAGGTTCTACTCGAGGGAGCCGGGCTATGCGATTCGATACCACGCGCGGCTGCAAGTCTTTTCCTGCCTGCTGCTGCTGGCGAGCTTTATCCTGGGCTTCTTCGCCGTCGGACCAAAGCGATCGCTGTCGAACCCGCACCATGGAATTGGCGTTGCCATCTTCGTCATGTTCATGGTGCAGCTTATTGGGGGTCGGATAGTCAATCGAATCACCAAACTGCGCTCGCTTCGCGTTACGCTCCATCAGTGGTTGGGAAGAGCCCTGGCGATCCTCGGAATCGTCCAGATACCCCTTGGGCTCACCCTCTACGGGTCGCCCAAGGTACTTTTCATCCTGTACGCTGTCTGGATGGCCTTCCTTTTGGTTCTCTACTTCGTTCTCAGCTACCAGGCGCAGGGCCGTCGGGAGCACTACATGTCGGAGGTGCGCTCCGAAGCGGGCAACACTCGCATCACCGAGTCCGAGTACTTCTCCGACCATAGGGATCATGAACATTCCAAGCTTGCATGGCTGGGCCCCTTGGCTGCTGCGGCAGGCTTGTTTGCCTTGGCCAGAGGACGCAACAGGGACCACCGTGATGATCACAGCCGCGTCCGTAGCCAGTCGCCATCCATGCGAAGCCGAGGCCCAACCGTCGTCTCCTCACGCCCAAGCTATTTCTCGTCGGAGAAGTATTCGGATCTTCCACCCCAACGGGACGGCGGAGGAGGAGGAGGAGGACTGCTCAAGGTATTGGGAGGTGCGGCCGCAGCCTTTGGTGCTGGAAAGCTCTTCTCCAACTACATGAGCCGCCGTGATCGCCGAGACGAAGAGTACTCGGCTGTGTCTACCGAGACGCCTCACCGCAACCGGTCCGGACGGGCCACGACGATTAGCGAGTTCAACAGCGAGTATACCGACGATGTGTCCACCATTCCGCCGTCGCGCGCCCCGGCCCCTACTCAGACTGCTTCTGCCTATGGAGGCCGACGGCCGTCTCCGTCTCGTTCAAACGTCCGCAGCAACCTACCCAGGCGAGACACCTATGACGATTCCGAGTATTCATCCTACGTTTCTCCCTCGCGGCGCACACAAGATGCTGGCGGCGGCGGCGGCGGCGGGTTTGCCAAGGGCGTCCTTGCTACCCTGGGAGTTGGATGGCTTGCGAAGAAGATTGCCAACAGGCGTGCCCGGAAGGAGGAAGACGAGCGTCTCAGGGAAGAGGAGGAGATGCGCTCCGGTACGCAGTTCTCTAGCAGGTACAGCAACACCGAATACTCGTCTCCGGTCAGGAGGGACTCGCGCCGCCCACCACCCCAGAGGCGCAGCACGGTAACGGGAACCGAATTTTCGGATACGACGGAATCGACGTTTGACACCCAGACCGAGCTCTCTGCCATGCCCGAAAAGGGGAGGCCCCTGAGTGCCGCCGTGAGGGTGCCGCCGAGCACATCTGCGTTGGTCCCTGGCGATGCGCCCCCGCCCAGGCGCGGTGAGCGTCTGTCTATGCCGGCCATGCCTTCAGATCCCCGCGGCATTCTCGCTCATTCCGACGGCAGCGCTTCTGACTTGACATCTATTGTCGACCGGCCCGCAGGACGCAACCCGTCTCGGCGGCAGTTGGACAGCGAACGAGCTGCGGCCGAGGCGGCTGCCCGTGCCAGCAACCTGGCGGCGCAGCAAGAGCGGACGCGGTTTGGCAGCTCGACAGGCGCACCGGGAGGCGGGAAGAGGGGCCACGACGACAAGGACCGAAACGTCACCCTGCGACGATTGACCGAGGAAGAGTCTCTGGCGCGCCGGGGCCGGATGGACTCGCAATCCAGCCTGTCCGAGTCTCCGACCAAGAGTCGCCGGTACCGCCGGGATGATAGCCAGAGGAGGGCAGAGTCGGCGGCCGAAAGCAGGACGGAGAGCAGAGCGCAGGATGAAGACAGCCGGCTTGGACCGCTTTCCCCGCCCAGCGCATCGCATGCCAAGGGCCGACGTGGTAAAGATTCAGGATACTACTCCGGCCAGCCTCCGCAGCCTGCTCAGCCTGTCCAGCCAGTCCAGCCAGCCCAACCCGGGCCGTCGACTCACCTGGCACCACCGCACGCGCCGCTGCCCACAGCCTCTGTCTCTAGCATCGGCAGCCACGGCACATGGAGCGAGATGACCCATCGCCCGAGCGGGCCTCCGACGGAAATCCCCGACGCGCCGCCGGCCTCACGTCCAGGCGCGGCTCCGGCTGTGCCGCCCGTGGTACCGTCCACCGTGCCGCCGTCCACCGTGCCGCCTACGGAGATCAAGGAGGATAAGGGCAACGAGTCGGCCGCGGACAACAGGAGAAGGCGGCGGATGGAGCGACGGCGAGCGAGCAGCAGCCGGCCGGCGGGGACGGACATGTACACGACGGACACGTATACAACGGACACGTATGACGATACGGAGAGGGGATTCTGAACGTCTTTCCTTGTCCTATCCCTTCCTCGGCGGTATAGCTGGCTCGGCAACACATGTGCCCGTGGACGATCAAACGTACATACAGGCAAAGAGCAAGAGGAGATGTTTGGTGTGATTTACCTCCCCCCCTTTTTTTTTTCTTTTTCCACGGTGGGAAGCATGCTGCATATGCGTTGAGTCGTAGGATACCTTTCCTTGATCTTATTAGAGGCGTTTGGGATGGCATTCTAAAGAACTCTGCACATCTTGCTGCATTTGGACGATAATGTTTGTTGCGCGTATTCTTTTGTTCTTTTTTTTCTCATCTTCTTCTCACTTTTTCTCCTCTGGAATGACGATGAAATGGATGGATGATTTTGTTGAAGGACGAAGAAGACGACGAGGGATGATTTTGGGTGAGAGGAGGTGATTTTTACCTACGTATATGAACCGGATTGTACATTTGACTGGACTGGTGAGAGTAGAAAAGGAGAGGTGAGGGAGATTGGTAGGACTGGCCGGAGGGGAGGGATTTGTGTTTGTGTTTGTGTGTTGTATTGTAGGTAGATATGAATGAATGCCTTTTTACTCGTGCTTCTACCCGATTTTCAGGCTTGGTAGTATCAAAGGATGTGAACATTACTTGCACAGAGGCGTAAGGTCGATGTTGTTGAGGTATTCGGTGATGTGGCCTACAGTACAAACAAGGCCAATTTACCTCGGGCGTCTGCCATCAGCCGAACAAGTGCCGCGGACGTCATCAGGGTCGTCCTAGTAATGCTCTTCGACGCGCATCCAATTGATGCCATTGCGGCGCCAATTGGAGCCATTGGAGAAGCTGCAACGTGCCACAAGATTCCCATCAACCGTGACGGCTCTTCCGGATGTCCTGGAAGCTGGAATAAATGTCTCAGCCTGCAAGAACAGGGACCAGTTCCTCTCTCTGCAGATTGATCTCTCCCGGGCTCCGGCACAGCTCCACTGCAGCTCCTCGCGGCGGCCAACCAGCTTCGCCCTAGGCGCCTCTGCTGGGGAACACCGTAGCCCAACTTTTTCTTCTTCACTGACTTCAAGCTTCTCTTCTCTGCATCTTGCCCTCTGTCCCCCTCCCTTTCTACTGCTCTTCTCATCTCTGCACCGTGTCCTCCAGCTGCACTCACTCCATCCACCCACTGCGCGGATCCCGAGAGGCGGCCAATGGCCAGCACCCCGCCTGCGACTCCTCGCGCATAGAGATAGAACACAAAACGAGCCATGCCTCAGCGCAGCTCCAAGCCGGCCGACGGCCTCGACTACAGGGCCATCGCGAAGCAGTTCGCAAAGGCCAAGGCAGCCCGAGCAGCGCAGGAAGCCCGGGACGCAGAGGCCATCGAAAAGGGCCTGCCGACGGAGAAGGAGCAGACGGAGATCCTGGAGCGACAGCGCGAGCGGCTCAACAACCGCCGGAAGAAGGCGTACGAGCGGCGGTGGTGGTGGACGGCGGCGTTCTGGGCGTGGCTGCTGGCGGTGCACGGCGTAGGCATCTGGCTGTTTGCCAGCGGCTTCCTGCTGACGAGGCTGGTGCTGGAGGACAAGTCGAGCTGCGCGGCGCCGCCGCCGGTCGAGGGCTTGAGGGGGACGCTGGACGTGGCCGGGGGCTGCTGGCACCCGAAGCAGTTTGACCGCGCCGTGGTGATTCTCATTGATGCGCTGCGGTACGACTTCACCGTTCCTGAGGATCCGGCGACGGCGCACGCCTTCCACAACGCGCTGCCCTTCTTGTACGACACGGCCGTCAAGGCGCCGCAGAATGCGTTCCTGCGGCCCTTCATCGCGGATCCGCCGACGACGACGCTGCAGCGGCTCAAGGGCCTGACGACGGGGACGCTGCCGACGTTTATCGATGCGGGGAGCAACTTCGCCGGGACGGCCATTGACGAGGACAATCTGCTGATGCAGCTGCGGGACGCCGGCAAGAAGATTGCGCATCTGGGAGACGACACCTGGTGGTCTTTGTTTCCGGACCACTTCGAGGCCAACATCAGCAAGGCGTACGACAGCTTCAACGTCTGGGACCTGCACACCGTCGACAACGGCGTCATCGACAACATCTTTCCGCTGCTGGAGTCGTCCCGGGAGGGGCGGTGGGATCTCCTCATCGGGCACTGCTTGGGTGTGGACCATGCGGGACATCGGTACGGCCCTGACCACGCCGCCATGACGGCCAAGCTGCAGCAGATGAACGAGTTCGTCACCAAGGTGGCGGCATCCATCGACGACGACACGCTCCTGGTCGTCATGGGCGACCACGGCATGGACGGAAAGGGGGATCACGGAGGAGAGAGCGACGACGAGGTCGAGGCCGCTCTGTGGATGTACTCGAAGCGGCCCTTTTTCGGGAGGACGTCTCCCGAGTTTGTTGCTCCGCCAGCGAATGCCAAGGTCCGACCCGTCAACCAGATTGATCTGGTCCCGACTCTCGCGCTGCTGCTGGGCATCCCCATCCCGTTCAACAACCTCGGGAAGCCCATCGAAGAGGCCTTTGCGGGGAAAAAGGGCAACGACTGGGCCAACCTCGCGGCTGTCTCGCGGCTTGCGGCCGCCGGAATCGAGAGGTACCGGCAGTCGTACTTCAAGGCCCGCGGGATCTCGCAGACGGAGGAACCGGGCTCTCCTGCTGCTCTGTGGACACGGGCCAATGCTGCTGGGCTGAGCGACAAGGACGCCTACCATGCGCTGACCGAGTTTGAGACGGAGACTCTCCAGGTGTACAAGAGGCTGTGGGCTCGCTTCGACGTGCCGCGGATGGTGGCGGGCGTGTTTGTCACCGCCGTTGGTCTTGTGATGCTGGTCATGTATGCGTCGAGGCCTGCAGACGACGAGTTTGTCGTGACCAACAATGCCGAGCTCGACTACGCTGAGAGGCGGCTGGAGCTGATGAACCTCAAGCACGAGGACGAAGAGGTGCATCCGGACCAGCACTTCCACCAGAAGCTCCTGGGCGGACTGGCGGACGCGCGGGTGCTGTTCGTCGTCGGCGTGCTGATCGCCGTGGGGCTGTACCGCCAGCAGCCGCTGGATGGCCTCGCCGCCCTCGTCGTCACGCTGCTGATTACGGGCGTCATCTCTGCGCTGTCCACCTCTGGCAAGACGCTGCTCAACATCTTTCCGCGCACGTTCTGGGGCTGGCTGTCTGTTGTCCTTACCCTGAGCCACTCCGTCGGCTTTGCCTCCAACTCGTACACCATCTGGGAGGACTCCATCCTCCTCTTCTTCATTGCCACGTTTGGGCTGGCCGCGCTCGTCTCCTCGCTGCGCATCGAATCCAAGGTGGACCGCACAATGGCCATCTACCACACCGTCACCTTCATCGTCATCGGGCGGCTGGCGTCGTACTCGAAGCTCTGCCGCGAGGAGCAGATGCCCTACTGCACATCGACGTACTACGCCTCCGTCACATCCTCCACGTCGGCGCCCTGGCAGCTCGTCATCCCCTTTGCCGTCTTCATCATTCTCCCCGACGTCATCAAGGCGTTCCTGATGCCGTCCAAGTCCTACGAGGGCCTCGCCCCGACGTGGATCGGATACTTCTTCCGCGGCGGCCTCTTCCTCTCCGCCCTCTACTGGACCATTGACGCCGCCAGCAACGGCGGCTGGCTCGCCGACAAGGTCTCGGAGGGCACCCTCAAGTCCGCCGGCGTCTACCTCGCGCAGGTCATCCTCGCCCTCTCCCTCATCGCCGGATCGACCTCGTTCGCGTGGGCGCCGCCCAACATCTCCATCCTCTCCACCACGGCCAAGTCGGGCCAGCTCGTCACGATCCTCGGCTACGGCAACGCCATGGGCGCCCGGTACCTCTTCCTCCCGCTCAACCTCCTCGCGGCCTGCGTCCTCGTCACCAAGCCCATGGGCTCGGGCGCCCTCGCCCTCATGATGTGGCAGGTGCTCTGCCTCGCCGAGATCGTCGACCTCAACCGCCTCAAGGGCGAGGCCATCGGACCCGTCATGCTCGCCGTCCTCGGCAACTTCTACTTCTTCAAGACGGGCCACCAGGCCGTCCTGTCCAGCATCCAGTGGGACAGCGCCTTCATCCCGCTCTTCTCCATCCGCTACCCCTGGTCGCCGCTCGTCGTCGCGCTCAACACCTTCGCGGGCCAGATCCTCGCCGCCGCCTCCGTGCCCCTGCTCGTCCTCTGGAAGGTCGGCCCCAAGCAGCGCGGCCTGCTCGAGACGACGGCCCGCGCGCTGGCCGTCTTCGTCGCGTATTTCGCCGTCGAGGCCCTCGCCACCATGAGCTGGGCCGGTTGGCTGAGGAGACATCTCATGCTGTACCGGGTGTTTTGCCCCAGGTTCATGTTGGCTGCGCTGGTGCTGCTGGGGATGGATCTCGCGGGCGTGTTTGTGGCGCTGGCGGGGTTGAGGAGTAACACTTTGGCTGTGTGTGAGGTGTTTGGCTGGGCGGAGTGATTGTGTTTCCTTCTTTTCTTTTCTGGGGGATTTTTTTGTTGGTATCGTATTATATCATATGTAATTGCATGTATGTTGTGAGAAGGGGGATCTTGGGTCATGGAGGGCGGGGCGGGGGAGGATTGGGATTTCATGGGAGTATAAAATGGGCAATCTTGTCTGCTTTGCTATACGAATGAACAAAGTAACATTCGATGTAACTGATGGATAATATGTGGTCAATATTCCACGTCGAAAGATGAATTAGGATATCATCAGGGCAAGTCCCCTCCATCATCAAACCTTGACACCAATACACCCCAAACATATCACAACATCAAATGCACACAACATCGTCAAAAGCATAAAATCAAGCTTTGTAAAAAAGCTGCTTGTAAAAGCTCTCCTGCATTTTCGTAAATGCTACAAGATATAAAAAGCCGAGAAATAGAAAAAGGTACATTCTCGTCTGAAATAGTGAAAAAGGTGTCTTCCCTCAAGGAGTTAAAAAGAAGCAAAAAAGGAAGAGGGAGAAGAAGGTATTAAGAATCAGGCCACAGACCCAAGGAGGATATCGTACAAAGATAATTACACACACACACACACGCGAAGCATACAAAAAGTTGATGCGCTCACCCCTTTCCCGTTCCTTATTCCCCTTTCGTAGAATTCAGGGACCGCCATTAGACATAACTCAGATAGAAAATAAGAGGAAAAAGGGAAAAAAAATTGGGTTTCTTAGATTGAATGTTGAAACAGAAAAGGAAAAAATGAAAACAAACAACGACTCTTACTTTATTGTGAAAGTAATTGATCTTGTCATGGGAGTCGTTCATGATGACGATGACTTGATCGCATCATCTGACTTACCGGTACTCGATGTCCCGTCCTTGGTCTGCTCCTTTGGCCTTGAGGCGAGCGATGTGGAAGAGCTGGAGGGTTTCTTGACTGAAGAGGATGTTGTGGAAGAAGCAGCGGGTTTCCGTGTCGTAGACGAGGACCGTGTTGACGAAGAAGAAGTAGTAGTAGGTTTCCGTGTCAACGAAGGCGAGGCTGGCGCCGCCGTCGCAGACGAAGACACCTTTCTCGTAGTGGAAGAGGATCTCGCTGCCGAGGAAGGCGTCCTTGTTGTTGACGTTGATCTGGCTGTTGAGGATGACCGGGCTGCTACTGAAGAAGACCCTGCGACGGAAGATGTTCTTGTTGTTGATGTGGACCTCGCTACGGAGGGGGTTCTTGTTGTTGACGTTGACCTCGCTGCTGACGGGGTCCTCGTTGTTGATGTAGATCTTGCTGTTGACGGAGCCCTTGTTATTGAAGTAGATCTAGCTGTGGAAGGCGTTCTTGTTGTTGAGGTAGATCTGGCTGTGGAAGGTGTCCTCGTTGTTGAGGTGGATCTTGCTGTTGAGGGCGTTCTTGTCGTGGACGTAGATCTGGCTGTGGAAGAAGCTCTTGTGGTTGAAGTAGATCTTACTGCTGAGGAAGAGGATGTGGATGCGGAGGGAGTAGAGGAAGAAACCTTTCTCGTCGTGGAGGACTGAGCTGAGGAAGGCTTTCTGGCGATGGAGGAGGAGGCGGCTGGCTTCTTGGCCGAGGATGGAGACGAGGCAGGCTTCTTGGCAGACGAAGCGAGGGTTGATGTTTTGGACGTGGACTTCGACTTGTCCTGATCCTTGTCTCCGGGCTTTTCCTCTTTAGAAGCAGAAGAAGAAAAAGAAGTTTTTTTTTTGCCCTTTTCGGGGCTGGACTTCTTGCCCTTTTCCTTGTCGCCCGTCTCATCCGGCTGGGCCGTGGCATCTGGGGAAGGCTCCGGGGCGGGCTGGGTCGTGGTGACGGTCTCGCCCTCTGCAGTCTGCTCGGCCTTTTCGGTCTCGTCTCCCTTGTGTGCCTCCGCCTTCTCATCAATATCGTCGGTGGTATCGTCATCATTACTGTGCTCGTTGCTGCTGCCCTCTTCGTCCTCTTCCTTGACCTCCTCGAGTTCTTCATGTTCCTCGTGTTCGGGTTCGCTTTCGTGATCATGAGATTCGTCTTCGACCTCCTTTGCGTCGGGCTTGGGTTCGGTCTCTTCCTCCGCGGCCTTTTCGTTCAGGGTGTCATCCTTCTTAGCGTCATCTGCTTCCTTTTCGTCTTCCTTGACAAGCTCCTTCTTGTCCTCCTCCGGCTCCTTGGTTTCTTCTGCCTGGGGTTCCTCTGTCTTGGGTTCCTCTGTCTTGGGTTCCTCTGCCTTGGTCTCATCAACCTTGGCCGCTTCCGCCGCCGGCTCCTTGGCCGCCTCTTCCTTTGGCTCCTCCTTCTTGTCTCCGTGCACCTTCTTCCGCAGAGCGTTCAGCCGAAGCTCCTTAGCCTTCTGCGCTGCTTCGTCCGCAACAGACATGACAGACCGCACGGTGTCGATGCTGGCTCTCGGGGTTGACGTCGTAATTGATTTAATTGACGCGGCACTCGATCCAACCTTGGTCTCGGGAGCGGGACCAGGGGGAGGCGGAGGAGGGGCCGCGGCAGCAGCAGAGACCTCGGCAGCGGCAGAAGCGGCGGCGGCGGCCGACTTCTTGACCGTCTTCTTCTTCTTGACCGGCTCGGGGTACTTGTGGTTGATGTCGGGAATGGTGGTCTCGTCGTAGTAGATCTTGACGTGCTGCTTCAGCTCGCCGTACTCGTTCCACTCTTCGATCTCGACAATGTCCTGGTTCCCCCGGGTTAGACTGACTGAAAGCAGTTCAAGATACAAGCCCAACTCACTCCCAGAACGATCCCCTCCTGCACCAGCGCCGGAAACTTCCTCGCCCTGCCATTTTCGTCCTTTCCGGCGCGGCGGCCCCAGAGCATGCGAGCCTTGTCATCGGTGGAGATGTCGATGGCCTTGAAGGGCACGCGGTTCGCTCGCAGGATCGTCTCGAGGCGCGACGTGGCGGTGACGATGTGCGATGAGCCCGCTGTCAGAGACGTGTAGATGTACAGCGCCGGATCGGTCGAGTACGTCGCCATGGTTCCGTCTGCAGAGACAAGACAAACAAAGACGAAACAGACAGACAAGAGGGACAGACGGTCAGACAGACGCTTAAGCGAATCAGGCAATCTTGCTTGCTCGTTTGGCGACGGTACGGCTCTGGAGAGTCAGAGTTCCAGGAGCTTGCAAAGGGGAGGAAAAAAGAAACAAAGGGAGAATTGCTATGCTATGCGATGCGACGCGATGCTGGAGCTGCAAGCTGGTGCTGATGCTTGTTGCTTGTCTGGCAGCTGTTTGGCGGCGTCTCGCAGCTGTGGATCAACAGGAGAAGCTGGCCCCGAAAGCGGTGGGGGCGGGGTCGCTATTACTAGACAGCACCAGTGCCTGGATTAGGGGAACCAGGGCCTGTGAGCCGCTGTAAAAGGGCGGCAGAATCACCGGTTCAGGGCAAGACAGGGCAGAAAAGGGGTCGAGCTTCAGCGGGAGAATGTGATTCGATGGGCGGCGCTAGGACGGGCCTTAATTTGCGTGCAAGGGACCTGTAAATTGCGGCTTCATTTGGCGGGTTCGTATTACAACTGGCCGGGGCTGCACAGGATGGGGGATCAATCGGGGCATGTCTTTCAGCTGTTGAGTCTACGGGTAATGGTCACTACATCTAGAAAGGAGTGAGATGCTATTGGTGAAGTGACGGGTGAAAGAGCACCAGGAGAACGAATCTACATTGCATGTACCAGGCACGAGGGACCAACGGGACAGGGCCGGCAGCAGGGAAGGGCCATACTAGGTACATACGAAGTACCGGCTGGGCCGAAATTGGGACGTTGATAGAGATTTAGACAAGCAGATTCGACGCAGACGGACAGCACCAGTCTGTTTGTTGTGTGTCTACATCTAATCTGATTGGTGTTGTCTGTTGTGTAAGACAACATGATCCTACAAACACATGAGACGCCCTTGTTAGTTGGCACATACATAAGGGACGGCAATGAATAAAGTGTGCCTGAGGCACCATATCAGCTCAATTGATCGTGACTAAGCAGGCGGGCTTTCGGCGATTATCTCCCGCAGGTTAGACCCAAATGGAGCACGCGAGAATTATCGCGTCGCCACTCAAACGCTCGGTTCAGCAATCGCCTCTGCTGCATCTCCACCAACAAGGAGGAGCAAAAGAAAGGAAAAATTCTCAATGTGGCGTCTGGATGCACGCTGGCTGTTGGTAGGCCCAAAGTGCTCTGCCCTGGCGACAGCCTCGACAGACAGCCCGTGATTCAGCCAACGGCAGGGCAGAGAAGCTGCTGCTCGTCGTCCAACACAGTATCAACAGCCCTGCATCGAGCGTCTCACGGCACGGTATCGTCCTCGATCTCGCTCGGCGGGGAAGAACTTGTTTCCAAATTGCCTGTGGGGGGATATCGGAAGAGGAGAAACAACTTGGAGACACACAATCTCGCCCTGGCCGCTTTTGCTGTTTGTCTGGCGCTGGCCGGTGTTTGGGTTTGAAGCGCCCGCAGTGGTCCTGAACCAGGGGTCGACGGAAAGCTAATATCAAAGACTGTTAGGAGACGAAATGAGCTCTTCGCCCTGAACTGCTCAGAACTGGCCTGGCCTGGCTGACGGCGTGCGCTTGAAACGCGCACAGCATGCCCGGCCACGGCTACCGACCTGGGGCCAACTGCTGCTGTGTATGTGCGTGCGGTAATACTGCAGCAAACGCCTCGACGTGAAGAGTGGGTGAGGCATTATCATGTGTGACGGCAGATGCAGCCATTCACACTGTGGCCCAATTCAAGGCCGTGGATGGGAGAAAAGAAAAGCCTCGAGTAGGATGGCGACAAGATGAAAAAGTTTTCTCCTCGACATGTCCTCTCTGCCCAATGAACACCGGCTGCTGAGGTTGCATTTCTGCCCAGTTCTCCCGACGAAGCATCTCAACGGCGGCACATGGCCAATCCCGGCTCCCGGATGCAAGAATAGCTCAGCGGAAAGGAGGGTCAATGGATCCAGGCTGCTAGGATGCGCTTCCGGGAGACCATTTATGCAAGGTACCGCGACATGGCCAGTCAGATGCCGGCCCCCGATCCACCGCCGGGTCTTTGTTGCGTGGTGGCATCCAATCACAAATGGTGCCTGGACGCCAGCTCATGAAGCCAGGGCCACAAGCCGCTCGATGGTCTGCGCCATGCCAGGCCAGGCTGACCGGCTCCAGCGCCCTCCTACGTGGCGGCGCCCTGGTGGAACTGTCAGAGATTTCCCGGGCCTGCAGATGCTCTCAAGACAAAAGGGAAACGGGCCCCTCGCGCTCTCTCAGTTCTTCTCTTCCTCTCTTTCAACACTCACCACACTCTTTCAATCTTTAGTCTCGACGACACTGCCAAAAAGCAACTCACTCTCTCTACAAATAACAAGCCCGGCGCTCACTTGCCCACTGCTCTCATTCACCAGCACGAATCGAATCTCAAGTCTACGACTCCGATCTCAACACAGCCAAACAATCAAAATGCAGTTCTCTACTCTTCTCGTTGCTGCCGGCGCTGCCGTTGCCGCTGCTCAGAGCACCTCTACTCTGACGGCCACGACCACCATGACCTACACCATCACCCAGTGCCCCGAGACGGTCACCAACTGCCCGTACCGCACCCCGGCCGCCAGCTCCTCGACCTCCGCGCCCGTTGAGATCACCACCTCTGCTGTCGAGACCTCCTCTGCTGCCCCTACCACCTACTCCCCCATCTGGACCGTCTCCAACTCGACCTCTGCCACTGCTGTCGGCACCAACCCCATTGGCACCGGCGTTCCCACCACCATTGTCCAGATTCCCTCTGGCACTGGTGCTCAGCCTACCGGCCCTGCTGGCAACGTCCCCTCCGGTCCCTCTGGCCCCTCTGGCACTGCTCCCCCTACCATCCCCACCAGCGGTGCTGCCAAGCAGATGGCTCAGTCTGGTGTCCTCGCCGTCGCCGTTGCCGCCGTCTTCGCCATTGCTTTCTAAGCGCGAAACTTTTCTCACCTGCTTGGCGCCAAAAGCCCTAAGCAGCCCCTTTTCAACTTTTCTTCTTTCCTTCTTTTCAAAACAACATTTTTCTACGGGGAAGGACGCTTGGGGACATTTTTAAACGGTGGATTACGATGTGAATAGATGACACATGAGTTTTTGGGTCGATACCCGGGTTACTTTATCATTCTGCAACGGATTCACTTCTACGCTCTGGACTGAGCGGGCCGGTGCTTGTCGGCCGGGACATATCGTCGACACACCGGACGGGCGCATGGATGCGGTATTGGGCTTTTCGGTGCCCAGGCTGCGGCGAACGCTTTTTGGATAGGCCATGATTGGGCACTTGTTTGGCATGAGACATGAACCAAAAAGCTTTTTAGATACCTTTGCATTTAATCAAGACGCCTTGTCACGATCATTCGCTCTCCTGTCATTGGCTACATGTGACTGTTGTACACTCTACACTCGACGTGCTTAAACCCACCACGTGGATCGAGGCGGTGTTGCGGAATTGGATCAATATGCCATGTAGGATGATTGACGGCCATGCTTCTGTTCTTCCAATGCCACGGTAAGCTGCAATTCTCACAACTGGCCGCCATAAAAGGATTGTCTAGATATGTAGCAGTGCGTAAATGGCATACCAATAGATTAAATGCCACACGCCAAGGGCAATCAAACCAACACCTCCGGGAATATGCGTCAAAGGAAAAGGCTCAAAGAACGAAGACAGCGTTCTTGTAATCAGTACCAAAGTGCAGGGGATATATACAGTTCTGCTGTTCTATGCACCGACACGTGGAAAATCTGCATGCATCTATTCGTAGGAAGTGATATCACATAGTTATCGTTTGCTTTCCACCATGTTGTCCGTTTGCGAAGCTGGGTGAGAAGAAACTTACTACTGACATACATAAGCCTACGTAAATAAGTCTGATGATCTTCATCAAGACGAAAAGGGGGAAACGGATGTCTGAAAGGGTGGTTGTTTAAGAAATAAAGTCGAAACTAGTAAACAAGGGCTTATCCGTTGCCCGTTTCCCATTCCCGTCTGCCCGCTGTTCGTGGTCCTGCCTTGCACGTGTAAGCAGGCAAATCCGACGGAATCCTTTTCTTTCTCACTACCTTACCTTTCACCTCACATGCGCAAACAGACGAACACGCCTTTCCTCATCCTAAGGTACATACCCAACAAAGTCCCCAGAAAAGATAATTCGCCGAACCAGGAAATCCACGCTTCAAAGGATCCAAAACCCACCGGAAGAGAAAAAAAAAAGAAATAAATGATAGGATAAAGATATTACTTATATGTATTCCCGAAAAAAGGATCCAACAGACAGTTACAATGTAGGAGACAAGGACAGTCCTAAAAGCCAACAGGTGTGGATGGGAAGGAAGAGCTGTAGACTGCTGAATCCGCATGTGCGTACAAGTTACGGCTCTTTTTCGGTCCCGAAAGGACTTGAAGTTGCCTGTAAGACAGTCGTGTTACGGCTGATGATTGGATGCTTCACTAAATGACAAAGCTAAAGGGAGACAAGGGTCACACAATCCTATTCCTCACGTACACGGCGCCGTTTGCTCTTCCCACTGCTTGTACCAGTACGACGTTTTGTGAATCCTCGTTGGCTCTTCTTTTCAACGATGCGGCCCGATAGAACATGCTTTCTGTACTCTTCCACTTTAGGAGATGGAAAAAGTGGTTCTGGTTCAGTGCAACAACAACATGTAGTAGTAGTAGTATCCTCTATCTAAAGCATGTTGGCCGATAACACAAATCTCAAGTGGGATGAAAATCACTGACAAAGGCGGGTGAATAGCAGTGGATAAGGTAAAGGAACCATTGACGGAATGTGGCATGTTGGGACTTTACACACGCCCGAAGATGGCGTCATCCTGACAAAAAAGAGCACCCCGGAAGGTCCTTTCCTGCAAGTGATTGTAAGAACTGTGATCAGGAGGTGCATCTTGAAACCTGGAGCTTCGGAGTGGGATAAAAAGTGACCGCATATGATGGACAGGGGGGAGAGGGGACGTTGTAGTACTACGAACTGTGAGTAATATGGAGAATGGAGAATGGAGTCAAAGGAGGAGCCCCGCGTGTTAAGATTAAGCTGGTGGAATATCCCCATTCTTGACAATAACTGGAGCCTGGATTTCTATCATGTACTGTGAACGCTTGGGCAAATAATCCTGTAACCCAACATATGCCTTTGTAAAAGAGAAAGTCAGAAGAAAAAAAGTTCCAAAGAGTTCGCTGTTCCTTTGACCAACTCTCCCCTGCACCAACAAAGAAGTACGCGTATGGTAATACGGATGGGAATGACACACTCCCAACCGCCATCGTGGCCTCGTGATCAACAACCACACACAGGAAGAAAAAAAAGTCAGGAAGCAAGACTCAACGCGGAACGGAACCAAGAGAAAGTAAAAGAAGAATGAGAATAGAAATGGAAATAAAAAGGGGGGCCTGTCATCTCCAGGTCCCCGCATGCAGCTCGTAACGTGTATGTTATAATAACCCTTTATCGTGCCCCGTAACATGTATTGTATGCTTCCGTTGCCCCTCCACAATCCAATCCAATCTCTCAAATGTCATCTCCTCCACTATCCACTATATATGTGCCCTTTGCAAGGCGCACGCAAGTCTAGAATGACCGCTTCAAAAAGCTCGCTCGCTGCACGCTCAAGTGATCCGTGTATATAAACTCCCAATTAAGAGAAAATGAAAGAAGAAGGAAATTGGTGAAAGATAGAGACAAGGAAATGCCAGAAGAACAGAAATGAACTCGACAGAGGAGAGTGGGACGAACAATGACAAAGAAGAATCCTAGGACCCCCGGCCGGCTCCCACATGTTGACGGACATTTTCCACTCTCGTTTGCTGTGCGTTCCTTTGACAGCCCCCCCAAGGTGCCCACATGCGTGTTTGAGAAGGAGGGCCTTGGCATAAGGGGGCTCAACATGGACCGATTCCAGCACTGCCGGACTTGCGCCTCCGGCGCCTGGCTCGGCAGTGATTTAAATGTTGGTGATGGACCAGACTGCCCTTCGATTGCTCCTTCACGTCATGGCCGCGAGGGGCCCCATCCGGCCGCACCTCTTCGCTGGGTACGTATGTCGTGTATGCGTGGGCGTCGTGGTAAAGACGTGTATCCCCGAAATTGAGCTCTTTCCCCTCCGTCTCCATAGAAAGTCATCCCAATGGGAGGACCTGCTCCAGCACGGCAGTTGTCAAGGACATGGCTGGCCGTGAGCCACCGCGTAGGCGCACGCGGTGCAGAGCGTGGAGTTGGAATCGACTAGAAACGGGCAGTCGTGCGTCACGGCGTGAGCGCACTTCTTATTGGAGAAGGATATCATGCCAGGGGGCAGAGTCCCAAAGTATATGTCAACCTCGTCTTCTATTGGTCCGCGTGATGACGGCAAAGGTGACATTGGTGGCATGGCTTGGTGTAGGTCTCCGTCTGAGAAGCTTCTCATGTTGATAGAAACGGGATAGGATGTGATGTGTATCACGGCCCGTTCAAACTCTAGACGCCTCGCTAACCCGACCTCTTTTAGCTCAAAAAGGCGGTAACTTCCGCGTTGCAGAGGAGACTGACTTGATGGGTCAAACGATGGTGGCCGACTTGTCTGAAAAGCTCCTTAGGTGGCTTTGTTTTGTGGGGGGGAAAGGCGAAAAAGAAGGGAAAGGGGACCCAATGGGCTAGAGGGATATGTAATGGGGGATGTATTGTCGATTGTGACGAACAAAGTGTGGGATATGACTGGCCTTATTAAAGTTTGGGAGAGGAGTGAAAGAACATCCAGTGGCCTTTATTAAAGGCAAATGAGGACAGGGTATCTGGCAGATGGAAACGTGTAGGCCACATGAACACCCTGCTGCGGCGCTTACTAGTATGTGAACGACGTACAGCAAGGCTGTCTACTACGTATGCTAGTAGTAGTTCTTACACGGGTAAACTGGGTCGACTTTTCATGCTCCACCCTCGAGATGCAAAAGTAGGGCTGAGGAGACAGGACCAGGAGCAAGTGACTGCAGTGAGGCTGGGCCCGGGAGTGGGAGAAGGTGAGAGGAGTGTGCAGGCAGACATGAAAGAACGGAGAAAGACAAAGTCATAAACGGTTGAAGGACGATCCACGTTCGCCTCGGCATGACAGTGGACAGACAACCGGGCCCCTGGTATGCGTATCGTGACGTGTGGGCATGCGGTCAGTGTGCTGGGTGTGAGAGAAGTGAGAAGGAATCGACGCAGCGGGTAAGAGCCGATGAGCGCCTGAAAGGAAAAGGCAAACAAAGACAAGAGGCCGAGAGAGAGAGAGGGAGGGAGAGAGAGAGAGAAAGACGGAAACGGGGAGGCATGTGTGCGTGAGAGCCTTCAGCACACCCCCTCCTTGACTCTGGCCTTCCATCTTGTCCCCACGCCTCCCTGACGTACCGGCTGGCCTTGGGAGGCTCGGTTGGGTGCGAAAATAGGAACCATGATGGCCGAAGGATGCGTGGTTCCGGCTCTCTGGGCGATATGCTGGGGTAGGATGATTGTTCCGGATTAGGGACGGGGTTGGCTGCACGTCTCTTGATGAGGGTGCTCAGCTCGTCAACGCTGCTGCCAAATACGTATATCGAGACGTGCCAAGCGCCTTGCACGTACGTCCGCTGCCTCCCGTGATATGACCAAAGGGGATTTGGCCACCCCCTCCCACCTCTCGGTCCCCTCCTTTCGTAGGTCCATCCGGTGCCTGCCGCTCAATCCAGAGACACACCCTCCACCCAGTTGTCCGCCTTTCAGAGGCATGCCAGAGCGAGTGTCACGTCCCGGCAGCTGCAGCATTCACACGTCCACTGCCTCAGCACCAAGACGGAGCTGGCGGAGAGGCGCTGCGGTCAGGGCTTGGAAGAGATTGGTTGCAAATTCGGTCACGTTCATGAGAGCGGCCTGTCATAAATGCTGAATCCTGAGATTTCATAGCCACCATCGCGGTTCCGAGCC